AACATGGCTTTTGCCTGATCAGAGATTTTTTATACTCTAAAGGTCTTTTTCTGAGAAAGGTTCCCTCTAAACAGAGGCTTTGAAATCTTGATTGAAATTGATTCCTCTTAAACAGAGGCTTTGAAATCTTGATTGAAAACGGTTCTTCTTAAACAAAGACTTTAAAACTTTAAAAACATGCCCTTTTTTTGTTTTTAATACTTACAAAGTTAATAAATGCAAACATGATATAAATGTCTATTCTCATCAAATGATGCTAATAAAAATGTTGATGCAAATGTCAATGCCAATGTAAGAATGCAAATGCTTGATACATTTGACTTTTTCACAATGTAAATGATAATGTCCTTTTCATGTAGATGCCCCTACAAATTCTTTTCTTAAAATACAGATGCCATGATCAAATGTAAATTCTTCTTATGGTGTGAATGTAAATGTCTTATACAAATGTCAATGTAAGTGATGCAAATACGAATGTCTTTCTTGTGATGCAGATGCAAGCGATGCAAATGCAAAGACTTTTCTTGCCCCCCATTTTTTTGAAAATTTTTGTTTAAATTTTTATTGTTTTATTTTCACCCAAAAAATGATCTCAGTATTATGTACAAAATGCTTCAATAATCTTGAAAATTTTTAAAAGTAATCAAAAATTACCCCACATAAAGTATTTTCATAATTAATGAAAAATTTAGAATTCAAGACTTCTGAATCTCTTAAAAGTTGGTGATCACTATTTGAAAAGCTTATGGATGAGAGGGTAATTGACAATTCAACTCCTTTTACTAGTGGGCATATCTTATGGAAAAGCTCGACAAGGGTTGCACAGATTTCATCTTGGCCTCACAAAAAGAGATAATTTTTAAAACACCTTTTTTTTTATTGAAAATGTGATACTCTAATGTGAGTCAAAACTAGCCATTACTTTTCAAACAAGATTTGAGAAAAAGATAAGGCTGGTCATTTTTTTTTTTTTTAAAAAGGTCTTTAATGGAATCTTGGAACTTGAATATTGTCGTAACGGTTTTAGGACCGTCAGACGTAAAATATAATATTTTAAAATCGAAAAAAATAAAAGGAAAGAGTCGACACCAATCTTTGTCAGGGTGTGATTGGCCATCCAAAAGTTTATCATTTTAATAAAACTATAAAAACGGGTTTAAAGTTTATCAAAAAGATAAATTTTGATCTATGAAAAATCAGGTTGGGTCCGGGAGTCGATTACGTGTGGGAAAAGATTAGCACCCCCATAATGCCCATAAATTGATACCATTTAATTACGCACTATTTTCAATGTTTGATAAAAATGATTTTAATTTGAAATTTAACACTAATTTTCTTCATTTAAAAAAAATATTTTTGCTAAAACTTTAATTTAGGAATATTGAGAAAATCTTTAAGTTAAAGAATTATCTTGAAATTCTCTAACATCTAGGCAGAATTTGAAATAACTCTTTTCGCTTAAGATTTAACACAACAATCCTTAAAATGAAATAACAATCTTTATAAAAAATTATTGGTGACTCTCCAACATCTAGGCAGAGTACAAAAAATTATTTTTTCGAAATGTTATTTTTATTTTATTTTGTAATATCATAATTTTTAAAAAAATAATACAAATAAAAATTAAAGACAGAATAGTACAAATAAATACTAATAATAACATGCTAATGTGTGTATGTCAATGAATGTTATGTAAAATGAAATGTAATTTAAAAGTTGGATTCTTAAGTATAATGAGACCACCTTAACTCTCTAACATTTAGGCAGAGCTTAGGTGCGACTGTTTATATTTAAGATCTCAATTTACTATTATACTTTTTATTTATTAATCTTATTATTAATGAGAATTAAAAAATCGTGTGAAAATACTTAATGAAGTAAAATTTCTTAAATACCCCATCATCTAGGCGACATTCAGAAATAAATTGCTTCAAATAGAATTTTCACACGTGTCCTTAGAATTTTTAGGATGTTTTGAGTAAGGGCTTGAGTAGAGATTTTGAAGGTTTGGTTTTAAGGTTTAGAGGGTTTTAAAGCTTGAATTTTAGGATATGAAAGGTTTTGGGTTTTGAGTTTAGAGATTTTAGGGTTTGGGTTTTGAGGTTTGGGGTTTTTGATTTAAGGGTTTGGATTTTTATGGGGTTTTAAAAACTTAGGATTTTGAAAATTAAAAATCAATGTTTAAGGTTTAAGTACAACGCGAACATCTATAAAAATCTCCATCATTCAGGCGGACTTTCAGAGCAAGTTTAATTTTTTATAATTTTTAAAAATTAATCAATAATTTCTCATATATTTATTTTTTTATGAAAATTAATTCATAATAATTCTCCAACATCTAGGCGAAATTATTTTTTTAGAAAAATATATTTTTTATTCCCTCCAACATCTAGGCAGGGAAAATAATAAAAATTATTAATTTTTTTGAGTAATTTTAATATATATTTTTAATTATTACTTGTTTTTAATTTTATTATTATTAAAACAATCAAACATTTATTCTAACAAATTTAGAAATTTATCATGTATAAATATAAAAATATACTTAAAATAACAAAAATAATAATATAAAAAATTTTAAAAAAATTTTTTTTTACCTGAATCGGACCGGTTAGCGGTCCGATAAATGTTGGTCTGGGTCGGTCTGACCGGTTCGACTGTTCGATCAGCGGTTCGGGTGATCCAGTGGTTCAGACCGGTTCATTGACGGTTTTTTTGGACCGATTCAAGGTTGGCTGAAGCGGGTTGGCGGGTCGGTTCGTGCGGATCTCAGGTCGGATCCGGGTCCACGCGCAGATCCTCCTTAGTTAAAACAGCGTCGTTTTGAGTTTTTTCCTAAACGACGTTGTTTTGAGTTTTGCTTTCCTATATATAGCTAAAAAAAAATTTTTTGGTTCATTATTTTCTGTTTTAAAAAAAAAAAAAGAGAGAGAAAGCTTTGGGGGGAGAGCTCCGGTCGTCTCGCCGTTCGACAGCCAAAGCACTGTGCCGGCCGTCGCCTGGTCCACCGTCGTCGATGATTGAAAATTTCAAAAAATGATCAGAAAGCTGCTTTCAACGCAATCTTTTCAGATCTGAAGTTCGTTTTATCATAAACAGCCCCGATCGACGTAGATCAGGGTTAAAGCTTTCGGTTTCTTTTTTTTTTTTTTTTTTTTTTTTAGAAACTGACTTTTTATTTTTTGGTTTTTGCAGAGCTTGCTAGGCACTGATGGTTCCTCGTCGTAGGCAAGGACAATGTTGTTTTTTTTTTGTTTATTTTCTTTGGTTTGGGTATTTGTTTGGTTTTCTGATGGGTAGGAGGTTTCGTGAGAGGTTTGGGTTTTTCTGAGTATGGGAGGCTAGGATTTTGTATATTCAAAAGCTTGTTCAAAGGAAGGGGGGCTGTGTGTTCGAAAAAACTTTCGAAAGGGGGGTTTCAGAGAGAGATTGAAAGGGATTCGAGTTGTTGATTTTAAAGAGCTTCAATTAGGAGGATTTTGGTGGTTATAGGGTGGTTGTAGGTGGACTGAACAGGGAGCTAATCAAGGGATTGGTCAGGAGGCTGACAGGGGGCTGGTCGAGTTGTAAGGTGGCTGGTTGCGACAGCAACGCCAGCCACCCTACTTTTTGTTTTTTCTCTTTTGTTTGTTTTGTTTTGTTTTTCCTTTTATATGTTTTTTTATATAATTAATAATTATATATATTTTTAAAATTATTATTATTATTATTATTATTAAAATTAAAACAGTAGATCCGAACAAAATCGATGTCTACAAATATGATTACAATAAAAGATAGATAAAAATATAATTAATTTTTTAAAAATTATAATGCATAATATTAGATTAAAGATAAAACTAAAATTAAAATGTATCAATTTTAATGTAAAAATCAATTTAATTTAATAGAAATATATAAAACAATTATAGTATATATTATATATAGTACATGTTAAAAGGATTTTGAAACTTTTGGGGTCAAGGCCCCCACTAGCTCAAACGGCGGTCCGCCATTGCATTTTTATTATTTTTTCTTTGATTTTGAAATGTTAAAGAATAAAGACAACTCTGCCCAACAAATTTCATTAGAGAGGTATTGAATGTTTGATTGTTTGAAGGTTTGTGGCTTTAATTTGGACAATAATCTTCCTAACAAGTTTTGGGCATGTTTAATTTGTTATAGGTAAAGTCTGTTAGATGTGCAAGTCAGAGATTTTGTGGATATTTTCCCTTTTCTTCCTTTCATAATGGTAACACTTGCCCACTGCCCACTGCCCACTGCATTTATTCTCATCAATACAATCAAGAAAAATAAAAAGAAGAAGAAAAATATTTGGTTTACAAACCTATCAAATTGCTCACCAAACTATCCTAACCACTCAAATTGGTTGCGTTTCAGCATTTCTGGCAAGTTCCTACCAGCATGTCAAGTAGTAATTGTAAGAAAATTTATGAACCTTTTAGAAATTCCCAAAACCCATTCATATCTTTCCTCTAGCAATTAACTATTTCACTTGTTTCATTGAAAATTTATGTACTTGTTTTAATTATTATTTTAATTACCTGTTTGATTGAATCATCTAGAGGTGTCATTGAGTGAAGCCTTTTACTTGTAATTTTTGGCTTGGGCCAAGTCTCAACCGTTTGTACAGAAGATAGTTAAGCCCATAAACAAACTAGATCTAATGAGTATCTATTCATAAATTAATATATCCAACCCAAATTGGTTTCCCGTATATATATACCTCCACGATTAAATTTTAATATTAATTTTTATAGAACTATTTCCCTGTTTTTAATTATTTATTCTTTTTTTCTATAAATATTTAACCATATGTAATTGCTAAATGCATGCTAATTTAGTGTTGACTTTTATTTGTATCAGTTAAATAGATATGTATGATATTCAATTTTTTAAATATTTAAAATTATCAAAAATTGAATTTAAATTTTTTAAATAAAATATTTAATAATTTATCAACAAATTACACAATCATTGATAAAAAATTATTACTACTGCTTAAATTTAACAACACATCAAAGTAGGGGGAAAGGCAATATCACCCAAATACTTGAGATGCATGGTTTTCTTATCACAAATATATAATTTATAATGTGCTATGATTTAATTTAAAAAATATAATGAACAACCCAAGAAAGAAGGGAAAAGAAACCAGGCATTCTCGTCCTTTAAAAACAAAATCAACAAGAGCATGTAGATAATTTTTTCATCTCACTTATTTCTAAATCAGAACCAGCGATCAACTCAATCTTTGATCCTTTCAACGCCGTGGCATGATAGCCACCGTTGGATTTCCCATTTCCGCTTTCCAAAGATTTTTTACACATCACATCGTAAATTTCATCCAACAGCTTGAAAAATGCTTTATCCACGTTGTCACCGCTAAGAGCGGATGTCTCGGCGAAAAATAGGCCCTGATCCTCTGCGAACTCAACAGCGTCTTCAGTTGGAACCGCCCTGTGGTCCACTAGATCAGCCTTGTTTCCAATCAGCATTATCACAATGGAATTGTCAGCGTGGGCCCGTAGCTCCTCGACCCATCTCGCTACGTGATCAAAGCTCTGTCTCTTGGTGATGTCATAAACTAGCATTGCCCCTAGTGCACCTCTATAGTATGCGCTTGTTACTGCTCGGTACCTACCGACATGAAATTGCAAAATGTAAAACAAAAACATTGACATTTGCTTTTCTTAGTCAAAAGTGGCATCAAGCAGTCCAAAATTCCTACTGGTAGGTCCAATTGTAGGCCAAAGCACCGAAATCATGTAATTAAATCCAAAGCCTAGGATAAGACTATTAAGTAAATTTAATCCAATTTATTAGAGAATAAACCAAAGTATAAGATAAGACTAGGTCACTTACTTGTCTGGCTTCATAATATATAATGACATCAATTTATTTTGTCTTTTTCATTATATTTGAATTCAAGATTTTTTTAATTTTAGAATCGTTTGTGATATGAAAATTTAAAGCTAGTAATGGAAACATGTTATGTCATAATTTTATTGAAACCGAAAATTTCACTTAAATTAATATACTTTAAGTTTCACTCTTATCAAATATAGTATTGATATTTTTTTCTAAACATTTCCATGATTTGCATTTACATATCTTTCTGCCTTTGTCTTCCACATGACAAAAATAAAAATTATTTCATGGAGCAACCGGACAAGGTTGAGATGGTCAAACTTTTAATTTATTATTAATAAAATTTTGATAATTTTAGATACGGATTTTGTAATAATTAATATAATTTTTGTAATATTTTATATGATTTTTATAATTATTGATACAATTTTGATAATTTTTTATTTTTTTTAATCATTGATATAATTTTGATAACTTTTATAATAATTTTGATAACATTTTATGTCATTTTGGCAACCTTTTACATAATTTCGAGAACTTTATAATTTTGATAGCATATAATATAATTTTGATAATCTTTCTTATCATTTTAGTAAGTGTTGATATAATTTTGGAGACCTTTTATATGGTTTTGATAACATTTGTTATAACTTTGGTCACTTTTCATACAATTTTAGTAATATTTAATAATTTTTTAATAACATTTATATGATTTTAGTAACTTTTTATATATTTTCAATAATTTGATATAAATTTGAAAACCCTCAATATTATAAACCATTCATACAATTTCAGTATCCTCCAATAAAAGTTTGGGAACCTTTTACTTAATTTTCATATAATTTGATATAATTTTGATAAATTTTTTAATAGTTTTTGTAATATTTGTTATAATTTTTTGTAACCTTTCGTATTGTTTTGATAACCTCTAATATAATTTTGGCAACTTTAGTAAAATTTTGATAACATTTAATATAACTTTGATTAAGTTTTGAAGCATGACTCAAATTTTATACTTGGATATTGACCAAATTCCACCCTAATTTTAGTATTGCTTTACTGAAATTTTGAAGTAGTACAATTTAAATCAAAATAAATGAAATATTGAAACGCTGACAGTGTTATGCTTAGCTGCACTATTTGCTTCAATGAAGCACCATTTAAATTCAAATTCAGATAATGCTTACAGAACCACCCAATTCAACTATGGAATTTCAGCAAATCTAAATTCAGGTTCAGAACCACAATTTAATATTTGACCATAAGCAAATGATAAATTATGTTTTCGTGCAGCATTTGGAAATACCATCTGACCAATCAACTAGATTTTGATTAATTTGCATTATTAACTCAGTGATGAAAGTTAAAGATATCTCAGGTAAGGTAAAGTCAAAGAAAGAAGAATTCAGAGAGCTTCAATCTCAAAACAGAGAGGGTAGAGGGGAAAGGGGAGAGAAGTTAACCTTTCTTGGCCAGCAGTGTCCCAGATCTGGGCTTTGATGACTTTTCTCTTAATGGTAACAGTCCTGGTCTGGAACTCAACCCCAATGGTGGACTTGGAATCAAAGCAAAACTCATTCTTGGTAAACCTGGAGAGAATCTGAGTCTTGCCAACAGCTGAGTCACCGATCACCACCACTTTAAACACGTAGTCTATTTTCTCAGGAACAATTTCTTGATGCTCGACGCCAACTCCATTCATCTCTTCGTTCATTTTCACTCCTTACAATCAATCAACCACTAAAGCCAAGAAAAAGAATGAAAAACACTTTTTTTTTCTTCTTTTGCAGAGCTGCAAAAACAACTACTAGTATAAAACTAAATATGATGCTTAAATCTCGGTACCGTTCTTGGCCTCTAGTGTTGCGGGTAAGAGGGAGTCAGTAAAGAAAGAAAGAAAAAAAATATAAAAAGATGTAAAAAAGATGATCAGACAAGATTTGGGTTCAAGGGTTGTAGCCACCAGTCACTGATGAAAAAGAGAGAAAGTCATGGCAACAAGGGTCCCGTCCTTGTCTCTCTATTAATGCTTTATCGTGAGTGTACCAATGCTGTTTTCATTAATTTACTTGAAAGAATGATGAAGGCTAAAGGCTAACCACCACTCGGCAGAAAAGCTATAATATAAAATTTCTTTTGCTAAATGGGGTGGCGGATTAGGATCTGTTAAATTGAAACTTAGCACCACATACACAGAACAATAATCTCATAGTTCCTGGCATAATCTCCGGATGAAGCTGTTTTCTTGATAGTCAGAAGTGGATTTGCAAAGTTGATTGAAAAGCAAAACTTGTTGTTTTGTTCCTTAAAATCCTATCATCGAAAATTTTGAAACCTTGGTTTGTAACTCATAACTTTTAATTAGGATGATGCTTGGCTTATGCAGATGATCGAGAGTAGTTAATATGATCAAAGCAAATATGCGGTCTGCCAAGTTATAAAGTTGACATTAAAGGAGAGGGCAGACCCACCATTTTATAATGACCCCAATTTAATACGTTGGGGGTACAAAAAAAATGCAGTCTGATTGGCAGGCTTTAATTTTCTGGTGTTGAATTAATTTGCATTTTGGAATAGCAGTTGATTTTTTTTTTCTTAAATCCTGCCATGGTCGAACGTGATCCATCTGATGGCATGGCTATTGTATAATATTAATTTTGGATGCTAAACTATTGTTCTTTGTGCATAATTATAGAGTAGCAATAAATAACAAGTGAGAAAATAGAAAGGGAAAAAGGAAGTGAAGCTTCTAAATGATCTTTTGCCTTTACAGGAAATAACGTGGACCGACAAACTTCAGCATATTATCGTTCCCAAGAATAATGATGAAGGACCCTCGTCTCTGAAGGAATTCAAAATTGAATCGATTGATATATCCTTGAATAATGGAATTCTGCCACCGACAGAAATTCTTTTTATCAAAATTATTGAATGAGTATCTTCCAAAATTTCCAACCCCAAACCGATCGTTATGTCTTGACATTGATTTTCCATCAATGTGGCGTCCCTAGCAACTGAGCAATGTTTTTTTTTCCCCAAAATACCGTTGCCCCAGGATTATCAGCAATAACTGCATTTGTTTAGTACTGTTAGAACGACCTTTTTCAAGGTTTAACGTGATGACGCTCGCATGTAGGTAATGAAGCTTAGTGAAAAGGGTAAATGTACAGGAAAATAAAGAGAGTAAGAAGGGGAACACAATGGAAGGGAAAAGATCCTGAAACAGTGAGCAAAGGATTGGAGGCTTCACTGGTTATGTTCTCCAAATAATGTTTGCTTCGATGAAATTCCCATTCAATCCCAGACACAAAGACTCCGTACATTTGAACTTTAGTGGACCATGAAATATGGGTGTATATTTGAAGGGTTTCGAGCTGGGTCCCGAGAGGCCTCAAACAAAGAGCAAAGGGCAGAATACAGCCCAGGGAGTACAATTGGTGTCTTCTATTGATTTTGAATTGTGATCTCGTCTTTTTGGCAGTGTTAATGGGCTGATCCCATTGTATTTTACAGAGGTTTTGTAGGCCTTAATGAGGAAGAAACAGGTGTACCATCATGGGCCATTTTAGTGAAGTCCAGACTCGGTCACCAATCTAACTCTCTCGTTAACTTCCTCATCGTAAGTCCCTTTGACTCGCACTCCAACACTTGTTCCTCTCAATCAGCATCTTCAACAAGCTAACCGGGTGCTTATTGAACTTCCCTTGGGCAGAGCATCAGAGTGGCTTGTGGCCATCTTTTATTGCTGCGAACGCAGACAGCTGTTGCCTGGTGGATAACGAATTAACGATTGCCCGGTGGATTCAGCAAAAGTTAACTAGTAGTTTTAGCTTGAATCCATACTCTGAAACATGAAAGACTAATGACGATACCTAATTCTTTTTCTATGAGCATGAAAAACGCCAGGGCTTCGCTTTCTCGCAACAGTTTTAGCATAACGTTTCGTTAGTACATCCTTTCTAGCCAACCTATAACAGATCAGCCTAGTTCTGAAAGATGTCATGAACCAACTGAAACAATCCCTTGCTTACACTCTTAAAAATGGCCTGGACCAAAACCAAACTCAGCTTCTCATCATCCAACTTCTCCAAACCTCAAATATCCCTTACGCCCAAAAGCTCTTCAACCTCATTCCAAAGAAAACTGTCTTTCTCTACAACAAATTCATCCAAGCCTACTCCTTAATCAACCAATCCCGCCAATGCCTCACTCTCTACTCTCAAATGTGCCTCAACAACTGTTCCCCCAACGAGCATTCTTTCATCTTCCTTTTCCCTGCGTGTGCTACACTTCCTTCCCTTCTTCACGGTCAAATCCTTCATACCCATATCCTCAAATCTGGGTTTGGTATTGATTGCTATGCCTTAACCGCTTTGTTGAACATGTATGCAAAACTTCGTATGTTGCCGTTGGCTCGGCAAGTGTTCGATGAAATGCATGTTAGAAACGTGCCCACTTGGAACGCATTAATTGCTGGGTATTCGAGGTGTGGGGATATGAAGGAAGCCACAGAATTATTTAAATCGATGCCTGAGAAGAATGTGGTTTCGTGGACCTCCATGATATCTGGGTACTCGCAGAGTGGGCAATTTTCGAGAGCCTTAGATATGTTTCTAAGGATGGAGAAAGAGCGAGGAGTTAACCCGAATCGAGTAACTATTGCTAGCGTACTACCAGCTTGTGCAAATCTTGGAGCATTGGAGGTTGGAGAAAGGATTGAAGCATATGCAAGAGAGAATGGATTGTTTGAGGATTTGTACGTTAGCAATACTGTCCTGGAAATGTATGCGAGGTGTGGTAAAATTGAGGTGGCGAAGCGGGTGTTTGATGAGATCGGCCAGAGGAAAAATTTGTGCTCTTGGAACTCAATGATCATGGGTTTTGCTCTTCATGGAAAATGTACTGAGGCTCTCGAGTATTATGATCAAATGCTGGTGAGCAGTTCCTTGTATAGTTAAATTGTTCAAATTGTTTTGAAATATTTTTTGCGCTTCTATTTAGTTCTTTTTATGTTTATTTCAATGATGATAACAGTATGAAGGAACTGCACCTGATGATGTTACATTTGTGGGAGTTCTCTTAGCATGCACGCATGGAGGATTGTTGGCCATAGGACGAGAATTTTTCGAATCGATGGCTGAAAAGTATCATATTAATCCCAAACTGGAACATTACGGATGCATGGTTGACCTCCTAGGTCGGGCTGGAGCATTGCAGGAAGCTTATGATCTTATAAAAAGCATGCCTATGAAACCCGATGCGGTGGTTTGGGGAGCTCTTTTAGGAGCTTGCAGCTTCCATAACAATGTCGAACTTGCAGAAAAAGCAGCTCAACCTCTCTTTCAGCTTGAACCATGGAACGCGGGAAACTTTGTCATTCTTTCTAATATATATGCATCTGCGGGCTGGTGGGATAGGGTTGCGAAGCTAAGGAAGTTGATGAAGGGTGGCCAAATTACAAAGACAGCAGGATTTAGTTTCATTGAAGAGGGAGGTGAAATGCATAAGTTTCTTGTGGAAGATAAATCACATCCTAGATGTGAAAAAATATACGAAATTTTAGATCAGGTCTCAACAGTGATGAAGATACAAGACAAATTCATTGACTCTGAATCCGAACTTAACGAATCATTGATAATGGAGTAGATCTGAAATATTATTTCCAGTAGACTATCAAGTACCAATTATTCATTAGCTTTCTTACAAAATGAAGGACATGCCAATCATGAATTTGGATTTTAATTAATTGATTCATTTAATCATTTTTTAGAGAAGAGATGCTATAAATTTAAAATTTAAATTTCAACATCCCTAATTTTTTTAAAACCTTTTCTTTTGTAAAAAAGTAAATACGTCAGTCAATGGAATGGAATAAACCAATGTATTTCTTTCAGATGATTAAGCAAGGTATTATCGGCCAAAATGAAGATGAGCTAAGAATACAAATTAACGTAGTCCCAGTATTTTCCTATCTGTCAATATAGACCTGGTGCTGTTTTATGCTGCCTTCTCCTTCACCCTATATCTTTGACTCCTTCCAACAAATTTAAGAATCTCATCGATGAATATCACGGGTATTGAGAGCAAAATCACCAAAAACCACTCATTCAGACTCAATGGAACAACACCAAACATTTTTGCCAGGAATGGAATGTAGAGTACAAAGCAATGGAGTCCAAATGAGACTAACATGGCAACCAAAAGCCAAGGGTTCCTCCAAGGTGGCACCGTAAGCAGGCTGCTGTCTTCAGAAAGCGCGTTCAGGGAATTGAACATTTCGATTGCAACTAACACAGATAGTGACAGAGTCATTGCTTTCACTTTACCAATGGTGAAGTATTCACATGGGTTTGAGAAAGTGATCAGGTGACCTCCACCAACCATATATGGAGCCACGGAGAAATTTGACCATGTAGAGCACTCTCCCCAGTTGCGAAGCTGAGACGGTTCAACTAGTGTGTGCCCATCACTCACAAGGTTGATACCCAAAAAAGAAGCCTGAGTGTACCACAAGATGAAGATGCCAACAGTTGCTATCCCCACATAAGAACCTATTATCTGCAATTGGAAAAAAAAATGTAAAACGCTAATCCATTTCAGTTTTTGCTTGCTTCAAAACAGAAGCACAAATTCACGGATAAACACATCCATCTTTTGCATCAGACAAACATAAGTTGTGAATAGTTTCTGTTACTCTTGATAATATTACAAAAAAAACCCACTAAGACTATCACCACTACTGCAGTGAATATGTGCCTGCTTAATGATATGAGAACACTGATCCAACGGGGAAAAGAAATTGGCATTCGTTAAATTATTTTGATGCTACCAGAAAGAGAGAAACGGAAGGATGATTCGGAAAAAGAATATGCCAGATGGAAGATATTATTATAAGTCAGGATAGACGATTCCTCTTAACCATTTTAAAAATTCAGTACCTTGCCTTACCTAGATATTAGTAGGCACAAATTAACATAAAGTATGGCATACAGAATTTCAAGGGGGAGATAATAAGTGATGATGAACACAAACCAAGTAACGGAAAAGAACCCAGGAGTTAATGAGAGCATCATCACTTCTGCCGGGTGGCTTCCGCATTACGGCAACATCTGGAGGATTAAACCCAAGAGCTGTCGCAGGAGGACCATCAGTAACCAAATTCACCCACAAAAGTTGCACAGGTATCATACATTCTGGTAACCCCAGAGCAGCAGTCAAGAATATGGATATTACTTCTCCAACATTGGATGATATCATGTATCTGTGAATTTAGGAAATGACTAAATAAGGGATATCTTAATTGCTCAGAGTAAAGTAGAAGAACAAATTAACATACCTTATGAAAGCTTTCATGTTATTATAAATTGAGCGACCCTCAGCAACAGCTGAAACAATGGTGCTAAAGTTGTCATCTGCCAAAATCATATCCGAAGCTTCTTTTGCAACCTGGAAAATTGAACAATGAGCATGTTGAGTCTAAAAGGTTTTAAGCAGGATTGACATCCTTTTCTTTCTCATTTTCTTTCTGAAGTAGCAAGGACTTATTTGATGGACATTAGTAGGGAAGAATATAAAAATATTAATTCCCAAAAATGGTACAGATTTATGTCAAGTGATAGGAAATGCCTAAACAATCATATAGTTTGCTCTAGGAAAAGTCACATGCAGGCCATAAGAATCAAGATTCCATTTTCAAGAGAAAGAATCATGGTGATAAATTTACCTCAGTTCCAGTTATGCCCATAGCAATTCCAATGTCAGCCAATTTGAGGGCAGGTGCATCATTCACACCATCTCCAGTCATTGCAACAATTTCCCCCATCTCTTTTAGCATCCTAACAATTTCTTGCTTTTGCCTAGGCTCGGCACGAGAGAAGACCTTCCCCCCTGGCTTTGTCAAAGTTTCAATTTGTTGTGAAGGGGAAAGAGCCATGAATTCTTTACCAGTAAAACTTTTTCCTCTAAGATCCTCTCCATCAGTAAACATTTTGATTTCACGACAGATAGCCTCAGCTGTGGATTTATTATCTCCAGTTATCACCATAACTCTAATCCCCGCTCCTTCACAATCTTCAATTGCTTTGTGAACTTCATCTCGTGGAGGATCCTATAAGATGGACATGGCAAATTATGTCTCTGGAAATCATTAACTTGAAAATTTATTAACTAATATGAACGACAAAAGCTGTCGACATATGCTTACCCTGATACCAACAACCCCTACAAAAACCAAGTCACGTTCAATGGAAGAATAGCAAGTTGGATCAAGCAACTTCTTATGAGCAGAATGTTTCTCAGAATAGTAGTCTGAAAATTCTCCCAGTTCATCCTTATATGCCAGTCCCAAGCATCTCAATCCCTTTGAACTCATCTCTGAATGTCTTGAAAGCAATAATTGCCTACAAGGTTCATCCATTGGAACAAGAGTTCCATCTGCAAGTTGAACATGCGTACTACTTTCCAGTAAACTCTCAACAGCACCCTATAGATAATGCACATTAATTTAATGATCAAAGAAGAAAGGACATAACAAATCATTTATAATATTAAAAAAATGATGTGAAAGATTAATTATAGTTGATAGGGCACAGTAACAACTGCAAATAAAGCAATATACATAACAAACACAAAATGTATATAAATATATCTATACTGTTTACTATTTCAATCTATTTATGCTTCAAGTTTAACATAACTGCTAATTTCAAATTGGAGGAAGTTAAATTCTAAATAAACAAAAAAGATGGTAGTCATAATAATCTAATCCACTTAACCAAAAGCAGAATAAATTGTAGACAACAATATGAAGAATATGGCCATTTATCCATTGATGAAAGCTAGGAAAAAATTTTGAACCAGCTTAAAAAAATGGGAAAAATATGACAGATACCTTGACAAGGAGCCGATTGAGCCCAGTAGGCTCTCTGACAATAATGCTCATAGACTTTCGTTCCCGATCAAATTCCAATGTTGCAAGCCTTTTTGATCTTTTGGACCACCACTCGCAGCAATCTATGTTTTGCAATAAATCATAAATCAAAGAAGTGCATCATAATGCCTGACATGTGATGTACATAGAACTAGAAAGATTCAAGCTCACCTAGCTTAACTGTGCTTCGGTCAATCAAATAGTTTGCAACAAGTTGTGAGTCACGGATTTTGTTCCTCATCTTGGCATCTGGAACTCCCATCTTTTCAACCAAAACCTTCAAAGCTGCTTCTGTGGGCAAACCTGTAGCTCGGAAAAGACGACCATCACAGAAAATCCCAGCATCATTGCAAACGGCACATATTTCAGCCATGACTTGTAAGTTAGGATCCATATTGTAGCAGGTCCAATCAACAATTCCACCATCCTTAGGATCATAGGTTGTGCCTTCAACATGGAAAATACAAGTAGTAGTGGTTTTTCCACCCAGGGTAAAGAATTCAGCAACAGACATTTGATTCGTGGTTAAAGTCCCAGTTTTATCTGAACAAATCACAGTGGTGCATCCTAATGTTTCAACACTAGGAAGCTTCCGTACGATGGCATTCTTCTGAGCCATTTTTCTTGTACCAAGAGCTAAAGATGTTGTGATTACAGCAGGGAGGCCTTCTGGAATTGCGGCTACAGCAAGGGCAACGGCTATCTTGAAATAGTAGGTGCATTTCTCAAAAGAGAAACGGACATTTGCAGGCCATCCATCCACCATATCCCAAGAAATGAAGTTTTTGTAATTGATAAGCCACACAATGAGACAAACAAGCCCGATTGCAGTTGTAAGCCTGCTCCCAAATTCATCCAACTTCTTTTTCAAAGGCGTGTCACTCTCTTCCAAAGAGGCCTCATGTATTTGCGTCTGTATTCTCCCAATCTCGGTGTTCATTCCAGTGCAAACAACGATACAGACACAGCTACCATTGACCACAGTCGTGCCTGCGAAAACCAGATTTTCTTTTGCCTGCAACTCACATTCCTCCGGGAATATAGGACTTGTACCTTTCAAAACAGGCATTGCCTCTCCGGTCAGTGCACTTTGCTCTAATCTCAAAGTTGAGGTTTTCAGAGCCGCTATTCTCATATCAGCAGGAACCTTATCACCAACCTGCAATTCTACTATGTCCCCAGGGACAAGCTCCCGGGCTGGAAGGTCTGGTACAAGGAACCCATCTCTTAAAACCTTTCCAGATTCGCATTGCATCTCCTTAAGGGCCTCAAGTGCCTTCTCAGCATTGGTCTCTTGCCACACTCCGACAATGGCATTAAGGCCTAAAATCAATAGTATCACAAATGGCTCCACATAGGCCTCAAACCCGGACTCCTCAGATTCACCTCCATGCATATACGCTAGAATAAAAGATATAACAGCTGCAACTAGAAGTATCTTTACAAGCATGTCATCAAATTGTTCTAACACAAGTCGCCATAAGGGCTTCCCTTTCTCTTTGGCAAGCTCATTCCAGCCATACTTCTCACGCTGCTTTTCTACCTCATAACTACTCAAACCCTTGTCTAGTTTCACATTATACTCTTTCAAACACTGCTCAACAGACCATGACCACGCAGGGAAAGGTCTTTCCTCCATCGAATCCTCAACTTTGGTTATCACCACAAAGTAAAAATTCCTTCAATTTTCACTTAAAACCATATCATTTTCCTGCAAAACAGATCAAAATATATGAAGCTTGAACTACAATTAAGTTATAAGAAAGAGATAAAAAGTTCCCAAGTTTCCACCAATAGCATCATAATTAAACAAAGAAAATAAGTAAGAAATGCATAAAGTTTAAAACCGTGGTTCAAAAACAGAACAGAAGCAGAAGCAGAAACAGAAAGCTTGCATTAACTTCCTCTAACTAATATGAAATTTTGTCGAATTACAACAATAAAGAGAGCTATTAATTACCCAACAACAAAAGGCAATGTTCTTTTTCCACTTTAGCTATAAAAAAACAACCACCTACACGAACTAACTAGCCACCATAACAATTATTGATCCAACTGAACAGAGGAATTACAAAACAGCAGTTTTAACAAAGACCCAAAAACTCAAAAAAAAAAAAAAAAACTGCTCAGAGTGGCAATTAACTGCAAACAAAAGTTAAAAAACTGTAACTGCAGTTACCCATATGACAAAGAAACCAAAAAAAAAAAAAGAAAAATGTGTAAAACTTTACCTGTAAAACAAAAAACAGACATGAAATGACTAAACTCCATGACACATAAAACTTCTTCTTATATGAAAACCAAAAAATAAAATAAAATAAAACCTTTGAATAAGAGTTAGACCAAGAAAAAAAAATGACTTGGAGAGCGAGTAAAGTTCAAAGAAAAATCTTTCGTTCTCTTTTTCTTTTTTCTTTTTTTTCGTTTAAGAAAGAACTCTTAAAATATAAGGAAGGAGAAGCTGTTATTGGCCAGCCTTTCTTTTGATCTTCCTGTGGCTCCGCTTTCTTTGGGAGCGTGCCCCTGATATGTAACGTACTGTAGCTCCATGTGTTGACCAGATGCGGCCGTATCATTTGACCGTACAGCGCTCAAGAAATCCTTGTGTTTCATTGAATAAATACCAAATACTAAAAACGAAAACAAAAACATTACTTAAACAACAAAAAAGTTTGGCTGCTTGGCCTGAAACGGCACACTCCAAAGACAACATTGTTTGAGGTGGTCTTACACAAATCTTTTTATAAATTAATATATTGTTTATTGCATTTAATTCATGAATTCTTTAAAAAAACCAATGAGGCAGCTAATCGTGCATGCATGGTTGAGATCTTAACTAAAATTCCAATTTTCAAGAATAATTTTGTTTTCAACATTGTTTATTTATTATTTAAATCCTCACTTATAAAATATATTTTTCATAAGAGTATTTTAAATTAAACTTTTTGAACCGTTGATTTTGATGTTTAAAGACTAAAATATATATTTTTAATTTAATTTTTATAATAAAATATAGAGCATAAAAGAATTAAAAGTTTTTGAATGGGATTCCAAAGTACTAATCTATTTTCATTATTTTGATATGAAATGTTTGCTTTGAATTAATTTGTTTGCTCCCATTATTACAAGAAAACAAATTAATGGGGCCTAAATCAATTATAGCATTTGGTTGGCAGGCAAATTAAAAAAAAAAAAAGGTTGGGAAATACAGTAAATAAAAATATTTTTAACCTCACATTGCAACTTTTCAGCAATTAAATTTGTATTGCATGCTTGAAAGTTTTTCTTCTTTCACTTTTTCATTGTTTCCCAAATTTTAGCGGTAAAAATTTTTGAAACTACTATGATGAAACTAGGGTTACATATTAATTACCCAAAAAAATCGTATAAAGTCCGTTGGTGACATAACAGAATAGCTGGTATAGCTTGTTAAAAGAGAGTTTAATTTTCCTACTGCAAAAGCAATGTCTGTATGGAAAGTTGGGAACCAAAATTCCAGGAAACTTCCTTGTTTCACCTGCCACCCAAATCCATGCTAGTGATCTCATCATTTCAGCCTCCGAATCATTTGACAATAGCATGGTTTTGGTCAATGGGAATCGATGGCTTATCAATACACTTCATTTATTTATCTAATTTACTCAATTAACAATGCTTTGATATAACATTGTTCTTTGTGCTCTGTCCATCTTTTTCTGCAAGTTGGAGCCTCTCCTCTGTTTTTCTTCATTTTTCCCATCCTTTTTCTCTGTTAAGATTTGAAAAGTTAAGGTGAGTCCAAATTTGCTAGTACTACTAATATTTAGATTTATTCATGGCTTAATGGAAAAGCAGTCCAAATTTGTTAATAATGGTGCTTTACAGAACTTTGTGAAAACGATTACTTTGTTTCTACTGTCAAAATATCACGAGAAAATAATTGGGTTTTACTTCTTACTGCTACTAGCCCGTAAGAAATGCATGTATTATCAACGCATAAGTGATAAAAAAGAATCTGATTTTTGCTTTATTATTTAAGTTTAAATTTATTAAGATTATGATAAAATAATTTTTTTTATAAATTTATTAAATTTAATGTAAATAAATTTATTTAAATCGTTCCAATAAAAATATATATCGGATAAAATCTAAAAATCATTTTTCGTTAAATAAAAAAATATATATATCTATGTATTAACATTATATTTTCCATATGAAACGGTTGAAATAAGAAATATCACCTTTTCGATCATGAACTATATACTTACACATGTAAAAATTGACAAATGGCAATCCAAGGCAAACTCCTTTTTGTTTTTAATATTAAAATGAAAGAAGATTTTTTTATTTAAAAAAAATATTAGGTATCACATTAAACAAGCAACTGTCTATTTTCCGACATGTGTCAGTATGGCAAGATTAATAATTCAAACATTTGATAAGTTTTCCACCAAGAGTCCACTCGAAACTTAAATAAAATAAAAAAATAATAAAGATGAGGTTTTCATTTTTCACGCATGCACGAGTATAACATTAGATAATTTATATATATATATATATATATATATTTTATATAAAAATTATATATTATAATTTATATCGATATAAAAATATAAATATTTTTTTTATTTTATTAAATTTATATAATTTTTTTTTAAATTTTAAATTATATTATTTTTTATATTTTATTTATTTATTTTTATCATATCATTATATTATATTTTAAATTATTAAATTTATATCTATTAATTGATTATATTTAAATGAACAAATTTTTTTATATAATCTTAGGAAGCATGAAATTTAGGATAATATTTTTTATTAGAAATTACCAAAATTTAAATCTTAATCAATAAAATTAAAATTTTAACATTTTGCTAAATATTATTTGAAAATAAATAAAATTAATTTTTTATTTGAAGTATAAAAGGGCACTTTTGTCAGCGCAAGTAATTCGACACGAGGTGAGTCGCGGATTTTTTTTTGTTTTCCTAATAGACCATGTTTGACAAAATCACTATAATGTACTTCTTCATGACTTCAGGTTTCATTATCCGTACCTAAAAAATCAAAGACTTTAATTTTAAATTTATTGAAAGTTATTTGTTAAATAATTATATAAATTAATTTAGCTAAATTTCGACTTCTTGCATTATTAACAATTACATGAAGTTATTTTTATTGTTGTCCTGTAAGCGGTATAGTACTCAAAATCTATTGTTGGAATTGTCTCATTCATAACAAGTCAAATATTTTTATAGGAGTATTGGAGGTTAGGGTTTAGGATATTTTATGATCTTGTTTGGTATTTTTTATACAATTGTTATGATAATATAATTATTGAAGTGATTTTATTATCGGTGATTTGAAATTATTTTATTTAGTTAATAATTATTAATTTTTTAAAATTAAAAATTATTGTATTTTGTATTATTAAAAATTAAAAAATATATATTTAAAAGTATGAAAATAATCATATATATTGTAATAGTTACACAAAATATTAATTTTAATATTAATTATTTATTAGTACTATTTTTTTATTTTATAATAAAATATAATTAATTTATTATATTGATAAATATATTTATTAATAGGTAAATTAAATTTTATAATATAAATTATGTAAAAGAATATTTGGATTAGAAAATAAATATAATCTATTAAATTCATAATAAAAAAAAATTATATATAATATTAAAAAACAAAAAATACAAATTATTTTAAACTTGTTATAATGAGTATTGATTTAAAAATGTAAAAATTATAATATAAAATAATTACATCTTTAAGATGAAATAAAAATTTAATTTACATATTAAATGAATAATATTAAATATTATTAATTTTACGTATAATTTTATATCAATAACAAAAGTTTCTCATTTTTTTATATAAGAATTAAATTATACCTCAAGATAATAATATAACTACTATTAGTAATACAAAATCACCAAATGTTTATTAAATACAATAATTTAATTATCATGATAAATTATTGTGATTTTTAAAGTGATTACCCTATATCAAGCACCGGTTAATATAAATATAATCTTCAAATATTTTCCTTTCTCTTCAACTAATTTTACAAATTTATTCGAAAAAAAAAACCAATATTGCAAATTTACATGAAATCCACTCATTCACGTTGTTGTTGGTTTTTTTTCAAACGCTTTTTTAAATGAACTAAACGGGAATTTAATATTATGGTAAAACAAAGAAAAAACCCAGGAAGATAAAAAGCAATATTCGATTCATCAACAACTCTCGATATTTATGATAATATTTCATGAACATTCCAAATGTAGCCATTTTAAAGCATATTAAAAAAGAACATCTAGGTTCCAAATTAAAAAATTATAAAAATCTTAAATGTGACAAAAAATTATTATTCTATTGTGGCATGCATCAATTAATCCAAAGTTGATGATTTTTTTAATTAATTGTTCCAGTAAAGAGTATTACTAAATTTATTGTTAAGAATTTTGGTGAATGAACATATTTAAAAGTATTAATAATATTAAGTTTGATTTTTTAGATTACAATTGAGATTTAATTTCAAAACTTCTAATATTAAAGCATATTAATTAACTGACAATTCATTGGTATAATACTATTTACATTAGTGATTAGTGTTAAATAATATCATTGGCGTTCATTTTTCAAGATTATTTTTTAGATTTGTCTAACAACAAAATTTAAATCCTCCTTGAGTTAAAAAAAAAAAAAAAGAAAAGAGGAGAAATGGTTTGGTCCATTTTATTCAGCGTCACTTCTCAGCTTTGGGCCCAATGATCCACATTCAGATGGGCCAAGTCTGATTCCGTATTGAGAAGAGGCTGATTCTTTGTCGGGCCGAAACAACACATTTGGCCCGCCCTGAGTTTACTTATCAAGCTACGCCCTTTACATTCCAACGAATAATATTGTGTTACGCTGGATGGAGTAATAATCAAACGGCCAAAATAGACCAAGCCAGCGTTGACTCTTTGACTCTTTTAGGGCTTTCTTTGAGACTAGTATAAGTAGAATTTACGCCCTTGTTAGTTATTTACTTCATCTTAACTTTCAATATCCTATTTTCCAAACACGCTTCCTCCCTCTTCTAGGGTTTTAGATTGAGGTTTAATCGCAACTTCGCAAGGCACTTTCCTTACTTTTTTCTTGAAATATCTTGTCTCGTCTGTTTGGTTCCCAAGCAAACGAAGGAAAACGTAATTAAACGTTGTCCATTGTATGTTAATACTAGTGAATTCTTTTTGTTTTTTGTTTGTTCTAGGGTTTTATAATTTTCTTTTCTGTTTTTTGCTTTGATTTAGGTTTCAGTTGGGGACAAAGGTGCTAACACTTTTGGGGGGCAAATGAGGCCTGTTTTCGTTGGGAACTTCGAGTACGAAACTCGGCAGTCAGAGCTGGAACGGTTAATTTCAAAGTACGGGAGGATCGAACGAGTTGACATGAAATCTGGTAAAATATCTATTCCAATGACTATTAAAAACAATGAATGTGTCCTGTTTGGACTATAGTTCAGTGCTATTAGCTAATTGGTATTGCTTTTATGTTATATTATATCGGGCCCTGACTGACTTGAAGCCTTTCTGAATCAAACGGATTTTATTATTTTGGCGGGGTGCACGGTCCCTTTTACATTTTTTTTGATAGTTGGTTGAGTGTGGTACATATATCCTTTCCTTATTTTAATTGATAAAGAGGATTTAATTTCATTGTTTTTGAAACCGTTCTGGAATCTGGATCATTTGGAAATGCTGGTGTCTCATCAATTCTTTTTCCGATTTAACTCCAATGGAGTTTCTCTTATAACTAATACACTGGTGTAGTTACGCTTTTGGATTTCTTCTCCCTTCAGGTGGCTAACATATCATTAATCTTTTTTCTTTTGTTCATTTGTAAATGAGAACAGCTCATTTGCTAGTTTTGTGCTTTGCCTTTTTGCCTGCCAGCTGAGCATCTTGTTATCCCGTCTCATATCGTTTCGTTAATAATGTCTTAACTGTGAGTATAATGAGGAGGATGTTAGGACTGATTTTTCAGTAGTAGTCCTGCCTATATCCTGGCTCGAGGATGCATGTGGCACTGATTTTTGAATGAATGGAAATTGTTAAATGGGCCGTTACCTTGTTTTGGAATTGGATGTCAGATATGCAGCATCTGCTGGGGTCTGTATATCTGATTACACAATCCAGGAAGAAATTAAAATGGGACCCGCAGGTTTTCAGTTTTTCTGGAGAAAACCTCCATATTAAGTGTTTGTTTTGACGCAGGAACTTCTACTAAGGGAAAATGAGCTTCTATCTGGGCTCGCCAACTTTGTGCAAAAAACTTCTATTGCAATGGAAATATTCCTGCCTGCCTGCTCTCCTGCCACTCACAGATGGCATCATCCTGCATTTTCTTCAATCGATTATGTTACTCACCCTCCTCAATGGCTGGTGGGGACTTTTCAAATTATCATGTCATGCCACTACCACCGATTATAGAGGATCACTGAATTCTGTCATGCCATGCCTTCCTTCCATTTCTGAACTGCTGTCTGAATGGCGAAGCATGCTTTGCAATGTCTCAGACCTGAAAACTTGGCTTTTAACCTTTAACATGCCACTATCTTGATTTAGTTCATCATGCAACGCTTCTACATCCTTATGTGCATCAGCCCTTCCTTCACATATATGCAGGTGTCGTATATTTTTCTTAGTTCTTGCAGGGAAAAGAAATCCTGTGATTTGGCTGATCTACCACTAGTTGTGTGGGTATAACACCAATGGTACAAACTGTCATTTCTTCCTCTGATATGAGTTTATATTGCAGGGTTTGCTTTTGTTTATTTTGAGGATGAACGTGATGGTGAAGATGCTATTCGTGGACTTGATAATATCCCCTTTGGTTATGACCGGCGGCAACTGTCCGTGGAGTGGGCTAAGGTGTGTTTTTGTTCTTTCTGAGTTACTCATTTCTAGAGTTGCTGGTTTTGGGTTTTAATGGGTATGGAAGCAATAATTTCTGATTTTAAGATGTATAATTTATTGTCAGGGTGAACGTGGTCGGCATCGTGATAGTTCTAGGTCAATAACTAATCAGAGGCCCACCAAAACCTTGTTTGTTATCAACTTTGATCCAATTCGAACAAGGGAACGAGATATACTACGGCACTTTGAGCCATATGGGAAGGTTCTTCATGTTCGCATTAGGCGAAACTTTGCATTTGTGCAGTTTGCAACACAAGAGGATGCTACCAAAGCCCTCGAGGCTACACAAAGGAGGTAGAAATATACTCTTTTTTATTGATTTCATGGTAAGATGGTATTGCTTCTAAGGTATTATGTTGTGCCTTTGCAGCAAATTACTGGACAGAGTTGTGTCTGTTGAATATGCTTTAAGGGATGATGATGAGAGGGATGACCGATATGGTAGACGTGGTGAGAGTCCATATGGGAGGTCCCCAAGTCCTGCATATCGAAGGCGACCAAGTCCTGATTATGGTAGGGCTCACAGTCCTGTTTATGATCGCTATAATGGTCCTGCTTATGACAGGCGCAAGAGTCCTGAGTATGGGAGGCACAGGAGTCCAGAGTATGGCAGATACCGAAGGTAGTGGTTAAAGCCATTCATTGTTGCTTGCTGGTTTTTTTTTTTTTTTTTAATCTCTGTTTTTCAAGTTTGTTTTGCGAGCCTATTATGGCATGTTTCAAATTATTTATTTATTTTCCGTAAATAATTACATCCTTATTGTTCATTGAATTTGCAGCCGATCACCTGCTCGAAGGTCATAAATGGCTGTCAGATTAATGGGGAAAAATTGTTCAACACATGGGTCCTTAAGTATTTTGTGGCTCTCTGCGTCTCCTAGAATGATGAATTAGCATTTTCCTTCTCTTTCCTGTTGTACTTAAAGTCTATAAGTTGGGAGATTGTTAAAGTTAAACTACAATTAACACTCGGTTGTAATTTTCAGTCTTAGTTGGGGTTTTATCGGCTGATCATTTTGGTACGCACTGGAGAACCTTTTATTCGTGTTAATATAGATTGCTGTTTCGATAAAAATGTGATGTTTGCACGATTTTCTTCCCCTTTAATATCTTCTATTGCAATTTAGTTGATATATGATTTTCTTTCATGACTTTAAACTATTTTCAAATATCAGGATAGAGAAATCATCGTAGAGGAAGGGAACCGAGGAAGGGAACCATGGAAGGTTACCCTTTTATTTGAATTTATGAAACGCATGGTTGTCTATCAGAGATCATTTCATTTGACCAGGCTGGACAACTTTTTGGTCTATTTTGGAGACGCCGAAGAGTCACAAAATAGCTAATGCTAAAAACAGGGCTTTTAGGAGACCTGCCTGCAAATTTGAATTCCGTATTCAGTCTGATGTTTTTCAGCTGCAAGTTAATATGTGGTAAGAAGTTTGGCTTTTTCTTTACCCAATACCCACTAATAACTCAGCGTGCATGTTCCCTACCCAGATCATCAACTGGATCATAAGTCATAATCATTTTAATTAATAATAAAACCTTGCAGTACAATATGATAAATGTAATGCGCCAAATACAAATACAGTTAAAAAAAAAAAATCAAGACGAGGATTTGCTTAGTTCCTGATCAATCGCCTTCTGAAGCCACGTCTCAGCATCCTCCATCATTCCAGGACTAAGTCTCACCATCAGGATGCAGAACTCAGTCTGGTTAAGTGCCCCATCTCCATCAAGATCACCTTCTCTAACCATCCCTTCTGCTTCCTCTTTGCTCATCCCTTCCGTCCCTAGAAGTGCTGAATTTCTCCTCAGACTCTCAGGCGTTATCAACCCTTTTTCCTGGTCGGCTAGAAGCCGAAACCCTCCACATAATTCAGACACAAAAGCTTCCACGTCGAGTTTTTCGGCCATCACAGGTAACAAATCCTCGTACTCGCATCTTGTTGTTGTCGTAGTTCTTCCGTTCATTCCCTTGTTTTCCATGAGAACCTTTTTTTCTCCTCGAGTGGTCTAACAAAAACAGAAAAAACAATATTGAGGGACAAGGATTGCGCACTGTGGACTTTGCACCAATGGAGCGGGTTATATAAAGAACTAGCGAAGCCTTTACGAGCATGCAAAGTTTCATCACTTTCTCTAGCTTTCACACCATTTGATGGGATGATGTGACACCCGAATCCATTTCGCCAAAGGAGTGTAATAATCAAGTCTCTAAGATCATCTTCTATTAAAATGGACGGTTCGATTCATTATGATGTGAAGATTTTATTTTTTCTATTTATGGTGGTGTAAAGTGTAAGTATAACCGCTTATATTTAATCCTAATTGGTATTACTATATATTGTTTTTTTTTTTTTTTTGGATGGGTTTATATTATTTATTTTTATTTTCTCAATCTAACAGTTTCTAGGAAGGTGCAGATGTAGGAGCGATAAGGGATTCGGTGGATAGACGTAATCCTTTTGGCAGAAGGGAATTGCTTAAATTGTCCGGTGCTGGCTTTCTATGAAGGTTCCTATTCCCTATCTCCCTCTTAAATTAGACATAGACTTCGTTTCTTTCAATGTGTTGTCAGCTCTATTGTCCATGATATCTGCCGTCCAATTTTTCACTTCTTCGTAACGAAACAAGAAGATTTCTACACCTCGCCCAATCCTAGCTTTCTTTACTTTTAAAAAACATTATTTTTTATTATAATATTATAATTATTTAATCATAATAAAAAACTATATAAAAATTTAATATTTATAAATATGAATTTTATATAAAATTTGATAAATCTCATCTAATTTTAAAATATGATTGATAAATTATAATATAATAATTAAAAATAATATATATTTTTTAGACATACAGCGTCGAACTACCATGTGTTATTGTCCTCGCTGTTATGCTCATTCCTTGGTGTTTCTCTTCTTATTGAATCCCTGATGGTTCTTGGCTCTTCCTGCTAATAAAATTACAGTTGTATTTCTTTTGGTTCCCCTCAATTGTTTTTTTTTTTTTTGGGTATTTTGTTTTTTTAATCTTCATGCCGTTTAAGAAAAGATATACTAGTACTTTCTACGTATTTTTGTATTCATTAAAATAGGCTTTCGTTGTATGTCACTAAGATTTGTAATATATTTGATAGGAATTGTCGTCAATGTCGCCCTCATCACACATCGATTATGTGATTGCCGTTTGGAAAGAATTTTTTTAATGAAACACGGGGCCCAACCCCAAGGATCATTCTCCATTAATACAAAGACATTAAAGTGGGAAGGTAAAAAAAGCCGAAGGAAGTTTCTTATTTCTTTTCTCCGGTTTCTCGAATCTTGGCAAAGCCCAGTGTAGTTGGCATGTCAAGGCAATTATAAAATGGGTTCATACCTTATAAATATACGTTTATAGGTGCGTGATGAGTCCGTCTCCTGGGACATGCCTCCCCTTGTACTGCAGACATCAAAGCTTTTTTAAGGTATATTATTTCCATTTTTTTTGGTGAGAGTTGTTCCCATGATTTTGTGGCAGTTAATCATCTAAAATGTTAATTAAATTGATTTTAGTTTTACCCATTTTAAAAAGCAACAAAGCACCTTGGCAATCTTAAATTTCTGCAATTTTGCCTTCCATTAACTTCTCTATTTCCTCTTAAACTTTTATATACCTCGAACCCAATCACACTCCACAATCAGAGCAGTAAACATTTCACACTCCACAATCAGAGCGGTAAATATTGGTTATAGCATGGAGACCGGTCATAATCACACTGCACAATCAGAGCAGTAAACATTAAACATTTCACACTCCACAATCAGAGCAGTAAACATTGGTTATGGTATGGACCGGTCATTACTTGACAGTCCTTAGGATCATCAATAACGTTTTGCACATGGCATCCTCTGTGTCTAAGGTTCGCATCAACCATAAAAAAGATCCGATTGTGTGAATACCTTATATATAAATTGATACAAATTGAAGGTAATGTGGATATCTTATAACAACTGACATGGAATTTATGATCTTTTATTAAGATGATGAGATCATTCCTATTTTATTAAAGATCTATCATCCTTCATATATTAAAAGGTGATTTGAATACTTATATTTTAAGATAAATTTTAATATACAGTTGATGTGATGTTCATGATTTTTTTAAAAATTATGATATTTTTTTTCATTTCAACGAGAATTTATTATTTTTTGTGATACATCGTTAGTATACCAAAACTAATTTTGATACAAAATGTCAGAATTCATATTAATTTATGAAGTATTGTCCGCTTTGATTCTGTTATATCTTATAGTTTTATCTCACAAAAAAATATTTTTCAAGTTGTAAGCGATTTAATCACTTATATACGAAAATCAATTTTAATATACTACTGATGTAAAATTCATGACTCCTATCATAACACCTTCCCTAACTCATTGGTTAACATTGAAAATCAAGCGGTTTCATAACTTTTGGAATTCAGATTGAGAAACACTACCAAGCAAGTTTACATGAATACTGATTATGATCATTGAAGAGATTATCAATTCAACTTACAAAAAAAAAAAAAAGACCAAAATGAAGAAATAATAAAAAATCATAAGTAAAATTTACCCGAAAATCTTTAGAAACATTATTGTCGTGACTAAATAATATTTCCACATTTTTTTCTATAGTATAGCCTTGGCCCTATCATGCAGTCCGCCATTGAAGAACATGCTGCTCGCTTTTTTTTTTTTTTTTTTTGGTACAATGGAGGGTCAAAATCCCATACGATTAACTAGAAACAACACTGGGGTGACAAACCCATGGCATCTCAACAAGCAAAATAACTTGTTGCTATAATTATCACTAAATAAACATAAATTTTGATCAAGAAGGATCACGACTGTCAAAAAAGAGCCGCATCCAATGCAAGAGGTTTAAGTTGATGACATCACAATTCTTAAAGGGGGAAAAACGACAAGATAAACAACAATGAAAACAGAATAGTAAGAAGAAAATTGTTCATGTTCCTTTTCACTGAACAGCCAACTTTTTCTTTGCCATCCATCTCTTTTTAATAGCCTCCAATGCTTCCTCTCTCATCCTGGAAAGCTCTTGAAACCAATGTTGATACTGTGCCTCAACTGCATCAAGCTCCAATTTTAGTTCAACATCTAGATCTTTGTCCACTGTATACTGGGATGAGCAGCTACTTGGCAAACTCATAACTAAATCGGTGAAAGAGAACCCTGAAGTCTTCACAAATTCATTAACTGGTATGCACTCTTCTGTACTGCTATCATTTCTTCTTGAGTTGCATTCATCATAACAAGTATCCTGAAGGTCTTGCTCAGATATATATCCACCTAAATCTTTACAGATTCCTTTTATTTTTGAGTCAGCAGCCTCAGACGACTTAGCATTCTTAGTAGAAATCACCTCAACCAGTATATCGGAAATGACTGATGCTTGTGACTCTTGATCTTCTAAAGAAGAAAGATACTCATTATTGAAACCATCTCGGGCTTGTATGACACCTCCTTGGAGGCTTGTATTTAGTGCAGAGACACTTTCTTTCGCAACCACCGCTATAGGATCACATGCTGGAAATGCATCCGGCGGGCAGGGTATTGAGGTTTTGCAGCTTCCAAAAACTGAAAACTCACCACATGGACCTGCAGTTCCACTCAATGGATAATCAGAGGAGGGCTTCCAACCAGGTAGAAGTTTCATTATCAAGTAATCGATAAACTCAGCTATGAAGGCAACATCATGGTCTGTTAACTCTAGTTGTTCAACCATCTCAGCTGCAACTGAGAGTGCCGTATCGCTATCAAGGTAAAAGAGAAAATGTATGTTTCTGACTCTACCTGCGAAATAGCAGTTAACTTCTGTGTTATTATACTTTGATCAGGAATCAGCTCAATGTTTGAAGGTACTCCAAGCACTTACCGCAAGAATCAGCAATTCGCAAGGTCAATGAAACTGAGTTATCATCATCCTTTTTCCCTCTCAACCTGAATTCATTGTTCTTATGCATCCTCTGGAACTCCAAAACAGGACACTGAGGACTCTCACTATTGCTTCCAGTGCATGTGCTTATAGAAAGCTGCTTATAGTCAGTATCTATGTCCATGGAAGAAGGCCCTGACGCAGATACGTTTATTGCTTTTGAACTTGGGTTGGGTAGTTGCAGGGGAAGTCGGATTGGTTCCTTTGGGTTCTCTACTTTAAGAAATGGATCCTCCAAGAGCTCCTTTGCTGACGCTCTCTCAGATGCTGGTACCAGACATTTCTCAATGAATTCCTTTATTTGTGGATCAACCACCTTACCCAGGGAAGCAGGTTTAATGCCCTGAATGAAATTCACCAAAATAAAAAACAGAAGTTCACAAAAATTCAAAAACCAAGTCCAAAATAAATTTTAAAAAAATTTCCCTGTTCATAATGTGATAACAAGCAGTTGCATGAAGTACTTACAGATATAACTTTCTTATAGATCTGTGCTGGATTTTTGCATTCGTTATATGGATACTCGAAAGTAACCATCTCTAACATACACATTCCAAAAGAGTATACATCTATCAGTTCATTATATTCCTCCTCATAGAGCTCTGGAGCCATAAATTCAGGGGTACCTGATATAAAAGGAAAATTAAAGATTAACTTGGTTAAATCTACTGCAGCATTTTGACAATAACTGTCTCTTACCAATAACACTCCGAGCAGTTGGCTGCTGCATGACAATTGCCAAGCCAAGGTCACCAATTTTAATTTCTCCATTATTCCCATTAACAAAAATATTATCACACTTTAAATCCCTATGAATAATAGGGGGGGCACGACTGTGAAGATACACTAGGCCTCGAAGAATCTGCCTTGCCCAGTTCTTTAAGGCCTTCATATCAACGTTTCTATGCTTCTTTCGATATCTAATAACAAAAAGATATAAAATTACTTCATACAGAACAGGATTGAACAGAAAGAACAAAAAGAAAACAATCAACAAGTGCATACATCCTTAAACTCCCAGACGTGAATAGCTCAGTGATCATGTTAACAGTTTTCTTCTTGTCATCCACCCATGAATTGTACAACTTGATGATGTTTTCATTTTTCAATGATCTCAAGAGATGAACTTCAGAATACAGTTTTTCCAAATCTTCTGGCGACCGCAAGACATCATCGATCCTTACTTGGTTCCAGGCAACTTCTATTCCATCAACTTCATCAAATGCCCTATAACTGCAACATTGCAAACAAAAGCCTAAGGGTAAACAATCCTTAAAACAGTATCCAAGTTGTTCCTAAGACCATAGAAGATTAGGAACCATACACTGTCTTAAATGCACCCTTGCCCAAGACTTCATCTGACTGTAATATAAAAAGAAAAAAAATTAAATAAACATTAAGATTTCTTAAAAACATTCCACTACTAACTTCTGGCGATAGCTTCCAAATCTTTGTCTTAAATGTCAAACATTTTACATAAAAAAAAATTCAACTTTATCTTTTTAAAACTATTGCATTTGTGAATAAAATAATATTGGAATAACGTAAAAATAGATCCATACCCGAATGTAACGACCCGTAGGATCTCTTTCTACGAAATCGGGTTCTGCTTCAGAAGTATAAAACATTCCATCATTCGCTGGCATTACCAATTCTAACCCAGAATTCATTCCTGATAAGAACCAAATAGCTACCGAAAAGAAAAGGAAAAAATTGTATTTCTTTTTTTTTTTCAAAATTTTAAATTTTTTCACTTTTTTTTCTTAAAAGGGGTGTGCAGAGGGTGAAGAGAGATTGGTACTAAACAATCAAAGCAATGGCCGTTAAAAGGACCAGGATGTGAAGGAAACGACGGCGTTCTTGTTGTTGCTGATGCTGCTCAGAGAAGGCTTCAGAGGCAATGGAGAAAGAATCGAATGCCGACCGCGAACGGAATCGGCATTCGAGCACGGCAACAGCGACGTGGTTTCGAGGCAATGAACCGCGTTTACAATTCATAACCCCAAATGCCTTATCTCGCAACCCCCTCATTTCTTTACACCAAACCCAGCTTCTCCAATACCATTTTGTTTCTCAAACACAAATTCTCTTTCAGAAAACAAAAAAAAAAACAAACAAAAAGATAGGAAGAGTGCGATTGGGGATTTCTTTTTTCTTTTCAAACGGATATGGAAGGAAGAAAAAAAAAAAGTAAAGAAACGGTGATTGTGGCTAAAATGGGGGAAAAGGAAAAGCGGTTGAGACATGAGAGACAGCTGTTGGCGTGGATAAAGATATTATGGAAATCCGAAAGACAAGCTTTGAACAAACACTTGTACGGATTGAATTCAAGGAAAGCTTATAGTAACGTTTAGACTTTTTCTTGTCGTGTATTTGTGTGGTACAACGTTAGCGCTTCCTCGATTTCTCAATTATATTTTTTTGGGAGTTGTTTTTTTATTATTATTAAATTCTGCGACTGACAGCATGATGTTTCATGGCGCCGCCTGCTCTGATTTGTTTTTTTAATTTAGTCTTCGTAGGTAACTAGCTAACTGCCCGCCCGTTTGCAACGCCCTGGATTTTGTCTTGCCTTAAACCGCACTGTTTTAAGCTGTCTATTCCAAGCGCTCGTGGGCCGGTGACTATCAGTTTGGCTGTCACTATGAGATCCTGTTTTTTAGAATCCATGAGGAATCAACTCTCTTTGATCCCAATTCCTTAAAAAAAAGAAATAATAATAATAATTTTCTTATTAGCTTCTGCATTTTTATATAATATGAATATGAGTAAGCTCTACTTGGTTTTTTTTTGTTAAAATTATATTATATATAATAAAAGATATTATGGTGTATAAATAATTTTGATTATACTATAAATATTAGATTAGATTTTCATTTACACAAACACGGTGTCGTGGTGTAGTTGGTTATCACGTCAGTCTAACACACTGAAGGTCTTCGGTTCGAGTCCGGGCGACGCCAACGATACTTTTTCTGTTCACCTTAACTTTCCCTTTTTCCATTTTGTTTGTCAAGGCAATCAAAAATTAGATCTGACAGCAGAGGAAGGAAGGAGCATGGTGGACCAGAAAGCCACCCGATCTTTACCCCAACCTCCCACTCTTCTTCTTGTCTTTAATAAAAACAAGACAGTTATGGTTAGTCCAGTTAATCTTTATTCGTTCCACGTTCGCAGCACTTCTTCCACTCTTTCAATCTCTTGGAACACTCTAATTCCCCCCGATATCTAATGGAACCAAACCCGGATACAGTATTCTTGAGAACCAAAAGGAAAGCCGACTTAACCGCCATCCTCCGAAAATCATGGTACCATTTAAGGTTGTCGGTGCGCCATCCCACTAGGGTTCCAACATGGGACGCCATTCGTGCTAACAGCAGCTAGCCCCGAACAAGCCCAATTGTATGACTGGCAACTCAAACGGGCCAAGCGAATGGGTCGAATCGCTTCTTCCACTGTCACTCTCACCGTGCCCGACCCGCACGGTCAACGGATCGGATCTGGAGCTGCCACACTTAATGCAATTCACGCCCTCCCTCAACATTACGAGAAAGTTATTCCATTTGAAAATGGAGGGAGTTGTGGAGATAGTGCGGTTAGTTTGATGGGTAAAAAGCATATTTTATTGCTTCACGCTGGTGGGGATTCTAAAAGGGTTCCATGGGCGAATCCAATGGGGGTTCTCGCCGCTTCCTTACTTGGCTAATTATGACCCTGATGGTCCCGTCCCGTTGCTTTTCGATCATATTCTTGCAATTGCTTCTTGTGCCCGACAAGCTCTTAAAACTGAAGGTGAATTTCAGAGAAAATTTCAAATACTATGAAATTCTGGAAAATCCTCACTGTTAGTCTCTGCTTTTAACTGTTGGTTTTACTGGTTCTTTTCAGTTAAACTTTACACTTGCTAAAAGGTAAAAGTTGAGCAAACAAGTTGGTTGCTCTTTTAAAGTATGCCTTTTTTTTTTTTTTTATCTCCGGAAATAAATAAGTGTTCCTTTGGGTACAAAAGTAAACAACAGTTTTGAGAAATGTAAGATTTTAGATTGCAAAACGCATTAAAAAACACCTTTTTTTTAAGTAGTAATCCTTTCTTTACAAATTTTGTGTTTATATACCATTTTTTTGGTTTTATCTTGGACAGGTGGAATATTTACTATGACAGGAGATGTTCTCCCATGTTTTGATGCCTCCACTTTGATTCTTCCACCCGACGCATCTAGCATTATCTCTGTGCCTATAACTCTTGATATAGCTGCTAACCATGGTGTCATTGTGACATCTAAAAATGAGATCCTTGAGGAAAGTTACACAGTCAGTTTAGTTGAAAACCTCCTTCAGAAACCTAGTGTAGAGGAGCTTGTTAAGAATGAAGCAATACTAGATGATGGTCGAGCATTGCTTGACACTGGAATAATAGCTGTTAGAGGCAATGCATGGGTGGAGCTTGTCAAGCTTGCTTGTTCTTGCCGACCATTGATTTCAGAGCTTCTGAATAGCAAAAGGGAGGCGAGCTACTAATTCTTATATTGGTACCTAATTTTGTGGTAAATATTGAATGTATTGAATTATGAAAACTTCTATATCCGTTGATAAAGAAAACAATATTTATTCAATTTTATATGTAGCATTAGAAAGTCTTAAACTTCATGTAATTCTAACAGTTTCAAGCTTTTAACACATCCTTGTACTTATGCAGATGAGTTTGTATGAAGATCTTGTGGCAGCTTGGGTACCTACAAAACATGACTGGTTACGACATTGCCCCTTGGGTGAAGCATTGGTTAGCAAATTGGGAAAACAAAGGATGCTCAGCTATTGTGCCTGTATGTTAAACAATAAACTTTGTTTTAAAGCATCAAAACCATGCTATATAGTTATCATTTTGTTAATATTTATGTGGTTTGGTTTATTCTTGTTATTCCTTATCATTTTTCCACTACAGATGATTGGTTGTTTCTACATTTTGGAACTTCAAGCGAAGTTTTGGATCATCTTAGTGCAGCTGATTCAGCACTTTTAGGTCGAAGACACCTATGTTCCATACCAGCAACCACCATGTCAGATATTGCAGCATCTGCTGTTGTTCTTTCTTGCAAAATTGCAGATGGTGTCTCAATTGGTGAAGATTCTCTAATATATGATTCAAACATTTCAAGTGGAATACAGATTGGTTCCCAGTCTATAGTTGTTGGTATCAATGTTCCAGAGGCCAGTGATAGGAAGATAGATAATTCAGTTAAGTTCATGCTTCCTGATCGTCATTGTCTTCGGGAGGTTCCCTTGGTAGGATGTACTGAAAGAGTAATCGTATTTTGTGGCATCCATGATAACCCAAAATATCCACTTGCTAAGTATGGGACATTTTGTGGGAAACCCTGGGAGAAGGTCATGTATGATTTAGGTGTTCAGGAAAACGACCTGTGGAGCTCAACTGGCAGCCAGGAAAAGTGCTTGTGGAATGCAAAATTATTTCCCATTCGTTCTTACTTTGAGATGCTTAGTGTTGGAATGTGGTTGATGGGCTTGAGTGATGTAAAAAACCAATACTTTCTTCCCTTGTGGAGAAACTCACAGCGTGTCAGTTTGGAGGAGTTGCATAGATCAATTGACTTCTCAAAAATATGCATTGGCTCCAGTAATCATCAAGCAGATCTTGCAGCTGGAATTGCTAAGGCTTGCATTAACTATGGCATGCTTGGGCGCAACTTATCTCAGTTATGTGAAGAAATTTTACAAAAAGAGATTGACGGAGTCAAAATATGCAAGGACTTCCTAGCCCTTTGTCCCAAACTTATTGAACAAAGTTCAAAGATTCTTCCCAAAAGCCGGGCATATCAGGTGCAAGTTGATCTTCTTCGAGCATGTGGAGAGGAAATGAAAGCATGTGAGTTAGAGCACAAAGTTTGGGCTGCAGTTGCTGATGAAACTGCATCAATAGTTAGATATGATTTTAGAGGTCTAATCAAGTGCATTTGCCTTAGATATTATTTGGGAAATGTTTTTAAATAACTAAAGTTGTTAAATACGACTCTAAACCATCACTCAAATCTTTGTAAATTTGCTTCTGTATTTCTCAATTTTCTTTTTCTGTTGAGATGCTTGCTTTATTTCTGAATTTCACATCTAATTCCATTGATCTTTCACCTTGGTTTAGTAATTGTTTTCTCCCCCCTTTAGAAGATCTCATGGACTCCTCTGCCAGCAAGTCTGCTTCAGCCTGTGAGAACAATAATCATGATTGCTCCATGGATCAATCTTTTTGTTCAAGAATAGTAAAAGTTGAGTTACCAGTTCCAGTAGATTTCGTTGGTGGCTGGAACGATACTCCTCCATGGAGCTTAGAGCGTGCTGGCTGTGTTCTGAATATGGCAGTGAGCTTGGAAGGTTCTCTTCCAATTGGCACTACTGTAGAGACAAAAAAGTCAAGCAGAGTGTAAATTAGTGATCATTCTGGAAATGAGTTACATATTGAAGAGCTTCCTTCGATCACTCCTCCCTTTGATGGCAATGATCCTTTTAGGCTTGTCAAATCTGCACTTCTGGTGACTGGAACTATTCATGAAAACATTCTAGTATCTAATGGCTTGCGAATACAGACATGGGCTAATGTACCTTGTGGCAGTGGCCTGGGAACTTCGAGTATCTTAGCCGCTGCTGTTGTGAAAGGACTTATCCAGATTATCAATGGTGATGATAGCAATGAAAATGTTGCCAGACTTGTTTTGATACTCGAGCAGCTCATGGGAACTGGTGGTGGTTGGCAGGATCAGATAGGAGGTTTGTATCCTGGGATTAAATTTACTGCAAGCTACCCTGGAATACTATTGTGAGTCCAAGTCTTCCCACTTGTGGCATCACCTCAATTGATTTCAGAATTGCAGCAGCGGTTGCTTGTGGTGTTTACAGGTCAAGTAAGTAATTAAGCCTTCCTTGCAGTTTTATTTTGCCTTCATATATTCTTGCATCTTCAAACCTGATGATCATTTTATCGTTTATGTTCTAATTACTACTTATGACTTAATTTCTGATAGATTTTAACTTAAATGTTATTCTATCATTATCGCGAAGGTTCGACTTGCACATCAGGTCCTACAAAAGGTATTCCTTTGGTACCTTAGACGAGAGAACCTTCTTATATCCAGTATCAAGCGACTTGCTGAATTAGCTTAAGATCGGGAGGGAAGCTTTAATGAACTGTGATGTAGATAAGCTAGGGGAGATAATGTTGGAGGCTTGGAGGTTGCATCAAGAACTTGATCCTTACTGCAGCAGTGAATATGTTGATGAACTTTTGCATTCGCTGATCGCTTCTGCTCTGGCTACAAGCTTGTGGGAGCTGGTGGTGGGGGCTTTGCATTGTTACTTGCCAAAGATGCCACATGCGCCAGAGAATTGAGAAGAATGTTAGAGAAAAACCCAGAATTTGATTCAGCAATCTACAATGGGAGCCTCTACTAATTATATTCTACACGCTAGAGATGTTATATTATAAATAGAAACTTGTCATTCTTTACCACAATCCATAGCTAGTTTTTTTTAAGTTTTAGATGATCTACTTCTTTGTCGCATTATAAATATTATTATTGTACAATATTTATAAAAGGATTGCTAGAAGATGAATTGCTTCATTGAGCATTCAAAATGTAAGGTTAATAAAAGCATTATTTGTGTCATATATATTTATATATTCTTCCAAATGCTGTTCAGGTTTACATATAAACGCATAGAAAGGCAAGGAATGAAGGAAACTTCCTAATGTAGGAAGGAACCCAAAGCCCTTTACTTCGTTGTTTCCTTGCCTTTTTCCCTGGGTAACGGCAACCCTTTATCTTTTCATTGTCTTGGGCCCTTAAACATGCTTAAAATCCTAAGCTTGATAAACTTCCTCTGCCTCATGGTGGTGGATTTAAATTCCAAACTTACCCTTTCTTAGTCAAGAGAGGAAAGGAAAAGGAAAGAAAAAAGGAAAAAGCAAGAGAATTTGTTCATCATCAATGATCATTTGTATATTCCCATTACAAGAACAATGATGGTGACTTTTTAAAAAGAAAAAACAAATAAATCCAAAGGCACCGATGTATGGTCAATTTAGCAACCGTTGTTGAGGGAACGACTCGGTCAGCCAATAAGATTAAACCACGCTACTAAGAATACAAAGGCTTAATTATGTCGGGTCTACCATAAGCTGTGTTTTGCTTTACCAAAGCAGAGCTACATTATCCGAGGCAAAGAAGCAGAGCAGAAGAAGAAGAAGGGGAGGCAGGCGAAAGAGTTAAAAGGGTGAAAAATGGGTCTGCTTACAAACAGAGTAGAGAAAAATGAGATCAAACCAGGAGATCATATTTATACTTACAGAGCTGTTTTCGCCTATTCTCACCATGGTATCTGCTCTCTCCTTTGACTTGAATTTGGACTTCGGAAATTATGGTTTTCTTCTTTCCTTTTAAAAACAAAAAAAAAATGGAAACTTTTTTCATTGTGATTTGTGCATTTATCTCGGTTTCTGGGTTTCATTTTCTTATTTTGTTCCACCATTTTGCCTGCTTCAATTTACCTTCTCTTTGTTGTAAATTTGAATAATGTTTGATAATTTGCGGCGATTCCCTCTTGCAAGCCTTGTTTATGGGTCTTTTTGACCATTTTTGTGCCAATATAATTCCCGTGTCTTCGTAACGTGCTGGAAAAAGTTACTCATTTCTCTTTTTTTTCTTGGATATGTGAAATTTGCTTCAAAAGTTCTGAAACTGAAAATGGTCTTATTAATTAGGATACCTTTCCTCGTCATTGGCTGTTCTTTGGATGTCTAGGAATTGACATATTCTGATTTCTGTCTGTTGGAGGTGTTCTAAGTTGATTTTTTTTCTTTTCCTACAAGTAATGGTGCAGATCGATAATATTTTAAGGTAAATGGAGTAAATAGAAAACTTTAATCCCTTTTTAAATCTGGTGAATGGAGTTTCTTAGCAGTTGAAGATATATAATGGTGGTTTAAAATTTCACCATTCATAGGTGGTCTCTTTCTTAAGCTGCTGGAATGTTATCATTGGCAGTTCATCTTTTTTTGACTTTTTCTTTTGAATCAAGATTTGGCTATGGTCGAATTAGCTATGTAAAGTCTTCTGTAGAAAGTAATTTTTACAGAGATCAAGTAGTTGCTTGATAGTGGCGTTGAGGATAATCAAATAATGTCATGTCAGTATGAAGAGGTTCATTTACTAGCACTTTGTAAAAGTCTACAGTTCTTAGCTTGCAAAGTCATGAGGACAATTTGTCTCTGCCACTAGCCCACAGCCAGAATCCTAAATGGTGCAGCTATTTGAAAAATATTAGATGTGTTTCACTCTCTCCTCTCTTGTTGTTCAGAAGTAGCATTGTCATTTTAATCCCAATAATGATCCCTTTAGCCATAAAGTTTTAGGGCCATTCTATTTGCCCCATAGGTTAACGACTTAAAACTTGAAATTTAGCTGATATTTGTGGACTCCCCAGTTATTCATTTGTTGGTGGTTTAAGACTGAACTTACGGCTTCATCAACTGAATTATGTTTTGAGGAGTCGTATCATCTTTCTCAAGATTTCTTCACTTTGTAGGATTACTGCCGTAATCTGATTGTTAGGATTCCTAAGGATATCTATGGTTCTTGCTTCTTATTCCTATATTTGTAAGACTGAAGCAATCTTGTTCGATTTCCAGGTTATTATGAATTAGTAAGCAAATATAATTATGATTCCATGGTCAAAATCCTCAGTTACCCAATCCTTGCATAAATCCTTTCTTTATCAAGTTTATGATCAGTTTGTTATTCGACCATTTTTTTTTTGGCCAAAAGTTTGTTATTCTACCTTAATACCTTATGGCTTTGTTCCACGTAGTTTAGAGGTATCTTCAAACTTTTCAAGGATATATTACATTGATGAAAACAGTACTTAGACAATAGATGAGGTTGTGAGATGTTTACTAAAGCAGTTCCTTGTATGCACATGGTTGAATAAATTAAGCTCAATATTATGCATGCACTTGTTGAATGTCAAATCATGTAGGTATCTTTGTTGGTGGAAGCAAGGTGGTTCATTTTAGACCTGAACGTAACTTAGATTCCAGCATTGAGACATCTTCTGATCTATATGATCCTATATCCCCCGGATCATCTTGTCCAACTTTTCCTGATTGTGGCTTCCGGCAGCCAAACAGTGGGGTAGTACTCTCATGTCTGGATTGCTTCCTTCGAAATGGATCTCTCTACTGCTTCGAATATGGGGTGACCCCATCCGTTTTCCTTGCCAAAGTGCGTGGAGGCACATGCTCCACAGCAGTGTCTGACCCTCCTGAAATGGTTATCCATCGGGCCATGTATCTTCTTCAAAATGGATTTGGAAATTATGACATATTCCAGAATAACTGTGAGGACTTTGCACTGTATTGCAAAACTGGTCTTCTGATTATGGACAATCTAGGGGTTGGAAGAAGTGGTCAGGCCTCTTCTATTATTGGTGCCCCCTTGGCCGCTCTTCTTTCTTCTCCACTAAAGTTGTTGATGCCAAGTCCTGTAGGTGTAGCAACAGTTACAGCTGGGATGTACTGCATGAGCAGGTTTGCAACAGATATAGGTGTTCGAAGTGATGTGACCAAGGTGGCAGTCGAGGATTTGGCTGTGAACCAAGGCTGGGCGGGGCATCATGATGAAGCAGCAGAAGAAAATGAGGCTTCTAACAGACAACTTGTGACATTGTGACATGATGTGAATTTCTTGTGCATGGGATGCTGCTGGGTACATACTTCATTTTCCAGCACAATAAATCATTAGCTGAGATCTTGATTGAACTCATAATGTGATTCTCTCCTCCAAGTCTCTCTCTGCTCATAACTTTTATCATTTTTTTAGACTACTTTCTAGCTGTTTAAATTGTGTTGTATTCAGAAAGAACTCGAACTAAAGATTAAATGAAGCCAGTGACGGTGGTTGCTTGTTATTTATTCTTTCATACCTAAGGTGAGTATGAGGTGTATAAAAGTGTGCAAATAATGTTTTCCTAACATATATATATTGATTCTAGTATCTTTCATACTTAGGCATTTTGAATTGAAATTAAGTTGATGGTATTGGAGATAAAGCAATCAATTATAAGACGAGAACTAAAGTGTGGTCCATTCTTCAGGATTTTGACATCAGAAAATTTGAGGAAAACAATAAGGCGAAATTTCATAAGTAATCCACTCCTCTCCCATGTAAGTTCAAGGAGGCTTCCTCCTCTATTATTATTCTAACAAGCCCACTGACCACCTGCCACATCTTCTATATTTTCCAAGCTCAAGCAACTGCATCAACGTTATGGGCCATAACGTTGTTGTCGGAACGAACGAACGAACGAACAATTAAGTAATGAGATCACTGGGTCAGCTTGAGCCTAGTGGTCCTGAGCGATGAACATCTAAACTGGCTCCATTGCAACTTTTAACTGTCATATCCGTGGGCTGAAGTTGAGCACAAACATATCAACTTATCAAATAAGAAATTACTATTAGTTAAAAGAGCTTGACATAATGAATACCAATATTGATATTACTTCATTATTTTTTATTAGAAGATTATTTATTTGTCATCAATTATTATTTAAAATTAATCACATTAAAATTGATTATTATATTAATTAATATAATTTAGATATTATATTAAAAATTTTTAAAACTTAAATATTTTATTAAAGTTTAAAAATTGTTCATAAAATTAACAAAAAAAAAAAAATCCCGCACCAATAACTAATCATTCGTGGAAAATGAGATTTGTGAGGAAAGAGCCTTATCCCAAAATTAGTCAAAGAATTTTAGAAATAGTTAGAAGGTGAATCTTTTGGCTAATAATTAAATGCTCCCTCTTTTGGTTGCAGCCAAATAGATACTAATTTTTTTTTTCCCTTCAGTAATCACATGGAAAACTAAAATTGGTCAAAATTTATGCCCATCTAACATTGTATTCAAAATGATATATTCTTAGACACACAGCTACAAATTTTGGGATTAGACAGACTCTTGCTTTGTAATGTAATATGTAATCATCATTTCCATTCTTTAAAAAAAAAATGGAATTGTCCCAAATAATGGTCATAAAAGAAAACAAATTCAAAGTAATAAACTAAACCACAGAAAATAGATGTAGCCATGGAGGGGACATTCTTAACATAAATAAATAGGGTAGCAGCTACAACAAATTTCAGTGGTTACCTATTCCAAAGGAAGAAGGAAAATAAAAACTCGACGTAAGTCGTTCATTTTGGGGGGTAGAGATCACAGTCATTGTTGCCACGCCATCCTTTTATTCTTCCTTCATCGTCGTCTTCTACAAAAAGGAAGCTCTTGAGGGGTCTCGGGGTTTTTTGCCTTTCAGATTCCTGAATAAATCAAATACCCAAAGAAGCAAAGTCTTTCAACTATTTTTTATTTAAATCGATCAAATCCAAAAGGACAGGGTTGCTTGAGAAAGGGGAAGTCTGGTATTTGGTGGGTATTGAAAATAAATGGCGAATCTGTATGTGAAAGCGGTGCCACCGGCGGATCTGAATCGGAACACGGAGTGGTTTATGTACCCTGGAGTATGGACTACCTATATTCTAATCCTCTTCTTCTCGTGGCTTCTTTTTCTCTCCATCTTCGGTTGCTCTCCTGGCATGGCTTGGACCATCGTCAATCTCTCCCATTTCCTCGTACGTTTTCTTTTTTTTTTCTTTAATTTTCTTATTGTATTGAATGTTCAATTGGGTTTCTTTTTATGCATGCAAAATCCCCTTTTTCTTTTTGGATTTTATTCTTGTTGAAATTGGCTTTGTATGGGTTGTTTTGAAGGTTTTGAAGGTTGTTTGTTTCGCCCTTTTTTTATACTTTATGTTTCTTAATAATATAAAACGGGATATGTTGTTGCAATTTCCTTTGGTTCTTTTGTCGTTAGTTGATTTATTTTTGTTTTAAGCTGTGATGAGACTGTAATTCTGAATCGCTGCATCATTTTTATCATTTTGTGTCTTACTTGTCATAGAGCAATTGTTTAAAGATTGAACTTTGCCTTGTTTTGCTGCCTGCACATTTTTGGGAACTGAATCATATCTAGTGATGTAGTGTTTGGGGATATTTGATGAGCATCAGATGGATCATTCTCTGAGAATCTGTTTTGAGTTGAGATATAGGGTGGCATATATTCAAGTTCTTGGTTCCTACGCATTTCCACATGTCTCTACACCATAAATTATGCTTTTGCTAATGCAAACTTTGTCCAGGTTGAACAGTTTGGCAGCTTGGCTAAATATTTGACCGATACTAGTATTTTTGGACTTTCTTATTCATCTGTATATGTCTGTTTGTGAAGTGCGTTATCTGCTGGTTCATTTTCTATTCTACATTAACTTATTAGAAAGTCAGCATCTTTTTAATCAATTGAAGTTTTTTAATAATGACAATGGATGAATGATGACTAATTAATTTCTGTGTTTAAAATCCTCATGGTAGTTTAATCTAGCAGATCTTATGCTTCTTTTTTCTGGTGATGCTCTTATTTACTTATTCTTTCACTTTTTATATTCAGTTCCAGAACCTGACCAATATGCTTAACAGTTATCTGAACCAACATTTTGGTATTGGTCATATTTTCAGGTCACATACCACTTCTTTCACTGGAAGAAGGGAACCCCATTTGCTGAAGATCAAGGGATTTACAATGGCTTGACTTGGTGGGAGCAGATAGACAATGGAAAGCAGCTTACACGTAACAGAAAGTTTCTGACTGTTGTACCTGTTGTGCTGTAAGACTTCTCATATGATATTTTACAACTTTTCTGTAACTTGCTGATGAGCTTATTCTATTATTTTGTGTTGTATATCTGTAAATTATGTGTATGCGCTCGATCATTCTCAAGCATTAAATGTTGATTATTCAGCCTTTTCTTTTTTTTTTCCCATAATTGAATGTTAATAACAATAATTTTAGGCACTGATGTCAATTGGTTGTTTTTAGTAATTTTTTCTCCCCGTCATCCGTATATTAGCCCTTGACACTAAGATTGGTGCTAATTTTTGCATCATTGTTTAGACTAATACTACTTGTGATGCTTTTTTTTTTTATAAGACATTCATCAAGAAAATCCTGCCTTATTTAAATGGTTTATCAGCACTTTTTCTTGGAATTTATTTCAATACTCAAGATAAATTGGAAACTTGGTCCATAGGTAAATGGAATGGCCAAGGCCTTCGAGGTAATAGGTTTAAATCTCCCACCCTCTGTGTGTGTGTGAATAGATTGTTAGGTATTGAAAAGACAAAAAGAGAAGAACCTCTATTCTGCAATTAGATTTTAGTTTTGCTATGGGATCCAGGAGATTCAGATTGCAGACTCTGTTCAATTTGGTGCAGACTTGCGCAACGCTGTTTCCTCAGACAAGTCTAATTAATTGCCCTACAAACTGGACATCGACTATATTTGGATAGATAATAGCAACAGCTTTTCATCCTTGATTCTCGTGCTGCTTTTAGGAACCACCTTGACATGAGTTCATGCATAATTCATGGTCTTCTTGTTTTGCCGTAGAAAATTTGCTGTTTTTATTCTAGTTGGATTTATTTGCTGAAGTCAGACATTTAGTCACCATTTTTGTTTTCTGACAGGTACTTGATAGCCTCTCATACAACCGACTACCAACATCCTATGCTCTTTTTGAATACACTTGCAGTGATTGTGCTTGTCGTTGCCAAGTTCCCCAACATGCACAAGGTCCGGATCTTTGGAATCAATGCAGACAAGTGATTGGGCCTCCTGTTTAAGCATCGTTGGTTTTACCGGCTAGAAAGCCACCCCTCCTTCCCCTCTGTTAAAACAATGGGTATATCTTTGTATAGGACATTTTGAAGGTGTAATGTATTTTTTTTCCCTGCTGAATTTGCTGACTGCATTTACAAGTTTTCTCAGATCATGAAGGAATAAAATATGTATCAAGTTATCTTTGTACAGTATAGAAATCTAATGTATCCGAAATATCATTATACTCTTATCAGCGTATCACATATCTTCATACTGTTATTTTGTTGTATTTTCATATCTGTGAATCTCTTATTGCAGCTGATCGAACATACAGGAGAGCCGGGTGTTAAAATGCCACGGCTCAGCCTGGACTCACCATTTCGTTTTATATATTACTACTATGAAAATGGGTGTTATTGTTATTGGATTGAAAATGCAGTCGCCTTTTAAGGGAGTTTTCAGAAACAAAACCCTGCAGGCATCCTGAAGAAGAAAGGCATATCAGCCAACAGAAAGAGTTGAAAGAGCAGAGCAACACAGATTGACTTAATACTGAGCTTTACCTTAGTGGCCTTTCTATCGTGTTATATGTCCATTTCTAAATCAGTTTTTAGTGTAAAAGAATATGCAATTTACTGCTTGGAACCTGTGTAATCACAAGATTGTATTGAAAAGTGAAACCAAGAGCTGTTCAAATTTAAAAACAACGAATTATCAAAATATATCTATACTTCACGCATCTTGTGACAGGCTGCTTTTTTTTTTTTTTTTTGGGGGGGGGGGGGGGGGTGGGGAAGGAAATGAAATTTCTTTTCTTTCTACAAATTATCCTATTTTAACTCCCAATTGAAATACAAATGATCTTACTTTGTACACAAAATGGGATTAATCTTTCTTCTAAAGAACAAAGATACTCACAAATTAAATAAAAAAATAGTGGCAATTGCTTTCAATCTGATGTATTTGTAGGAATTCCACCATAACTGGTATGGCATAAAAAGTGACGTGATTCCAACCACAATTTTTTAGATTCGAGAAGAATAAATAAATAATTAATTAATTAAATAGGAGCCAACAACTAACGCCGTGGAAGAAGCCAAATTTATGAACAAAGATTTGATAACGTGATAAAGACAACCATCGTAACACTAGAAAAACAAAACATTTTTTTCTAGATTTTCTAGATGGGATTGACTTCTCAGAATGGAATGTTTCTGTAACAACAAAGTGTGGGGCAGCTTTGTCACATTTTTCTTCCTCTGAATATTTAAATTGGATAATTTTAAATATAATATAATAATACAAGATAATAACATGATGTAAAAAATATAAAAATAATATAAATTTAAATTTTTAATAAAATTTATGTTATATTTAAAATATTAATATAAATTTAATATAATAATTTTATTTAATATATATTTAATATAATATAAATACACAAATTATCATATTTAAATTATTTTCATTCTTAAAGAAATGGGATATAACGTTAGAGCTGCTAGCTGCCTCTTCAAATGGCTTTAAATTAAACTTAGTGGGCATCAAAAAATAAAAATTAAGTACTATAGTTGGAGTAGGTAAACTGGTTTTTTCAAAGTACAATTTGCTAATTGTTCCCAAATAAGACTTGGGTGGCACGTGGCAGGTGGGATGCCTTTGTATTGTAGTTTCCTATTCAAAAGGTTCACCACCGATCTTTAATTAAGGTCTTTCAATGCTGCCAATGAGATGTTAGAAGCATAAATGGAGTGAATTTCATAGGAGCCAGTCATCCGGAAAAGGAAAAAAATTTAAGGCCATCACCCACGTTGGAATCTAAGTGAAGGGCAAACAGCAATAATAATTGGCCTTGCAATTAATAGTACGATGGAGCGTCTTCAATGGTATGTCAAGAAACTCCGAGTTTTGAAAACAAACTTTCCCTCTATGCCTAGCCTACAAACTAGAAACCAATTATTTGAACAACTCTTTAGATTCAGACACAACACTGTAGCAGTCCTAGTTCTGATACAAAATCACAGCCCAGTGTTCACTTTTCTTTTTCTTCCATCCACACGTAAACATAGGACAGCCTATTGAAACCAAACCCAAATGGCTCCAATCCGTTTACGTTGTTCAGAGGTGAGAAGGAAATAAAAGCAAAGAAAACCATTACGTATCCTATAATCTGTTAGTTCTAAACAACTTTAAACGGGGAATCAACCATGTGAAAAGAGTGGGAAAAAGCAGTTCCTTCTTTCTTTACCATGATCCTCCACCTAACATTCCATTGTTCCAATATCCAGCTGAATTGCCTTGTCCCTTATTTTGGTCAACTTCATTTGTGCTTGAAATTGGCTTCATTTCTTCAAAAGGGAAGAAAAGCCTTCCTCCATTCTCTTGAACACCATGGATACCAGCCCTACTTCCATGTCCATCAATTGAAAAACCAAGGATCGGTTTATAGTCTTGCATAGAGAATCCAGTTGAGTACAGTGTAGTTGAGTCTGGTGTCGGTGCTGGAATGAAAGAATTCAATCCCCTTGGTGCCATTCCAGTCCTGAGCAGTTCCAAAGCTGAAAGGGGGGATGAAGTATTGCAAGAAGAGGAGTAGTTGTTTTCAATTTTAGATACCTGTAGATATTGGGACATACCATGACTCTCTTGCATAGCAGGGAAAGCCAGATTAAGATCCTGGCTTTTATGGGACTTTGGCTGTGAGAAACTTGGTGGGTTTAGATCAGGAACTTTGGCCGCAGCTGAAGAAGATGACGAGCTTGATATTGTAGATCTTTTGTTCTTTCTCGAACCACCTCCAACAGGAACATTCCTGAGCGACCCACCTTCAGTCCAGTACCTTCTGCAAGTCTTGCAGAAGTATCTTGGCTGAGTGAGGCTGTAATTGTTGTAGTAACAGAACTTGGTGTTGGTAGAGTTACATCTTGGGCAATTCAATTGCTCTGGTGGCCTTGTCTTTCTCTCTAACATTCCCCTTGTGCATGTATTAGAAACCATCTCTTCCATGGGCTTCACCAAACCAATATCCTGAAGACCCTAGACATATATGAAAGAGAGAGAGCAGTCATTTCACTAGCAAGACAACAGGCCAGGAAGAACATAAATACCAAAATTAACCTGAAACAGAAGAGAGAAAACAAGCAAACACACAAAACAAGGTAGGCTTTTTACCAGCTAAATTTTATTGAAAACAAGAAAATTAATAATAACAAACAAAACCTTTTCCATCGCTTTATCAGCCATATCACAATAAAGAAAAAAATATGGAAAAAAATAAAAGAAAAAGTGCAGCCTTTTGTGTTCCAAGAACAAAATTAAACTTCACCTTCCAAAAAGGATTGATCATCCTCATACTTATGGTACTTGCACCCTCCATGAATATAATTGAGAACGAATGAAAAGAGAAAGAAAATATAGCTTTTATTGTCTGAAAAAGATATCGGAGCTTGAATTTTATTAATCTATAAAAAAGAAAAAAAAAAGTACAAAAAAAAAAGAAACTCTAGAACAGAATAAAAGCTCAATTCAATTGTGAGAAAAAAATTCAGGATCAAATCCACCTACCTGTGACCACTTAGCAGCATCCATTAACTCAGAAGATGAAAAGTGAGGAGAAAAAGAAAACAAAGTGATGATTTCACAGAGAGAGAAATAAAGATAGAAAGAGAATTAACCTCCTTTGTTTGTCTGCAGCTCCTCTCTTTAGTGCAAGAAAGAATGTTTTAGACTGTTTCTCTGCTCGCTTTATGTGTTGTTTTCACTTTATGAATGACGAAAAGAAGAAAAGAGAGGTGCGTTTGTTTTGACTACTCATAAATATTAACATTAATTCTGTTTTGGTCATATTTTATATGAGGAATTTCTGCTTGATTTTATTTAAAACGACTAAATGTATATATTTGTTTATTGACTGTTGGTGGAATTATGAGTGTGTGTACTGTAGTGGCTTTCTCCTTTTTGACCTGATAAAGGGAAAAGTCTTTATTCTTGTTCCTCTCCTGTCGCTTCTTTTCAGTGTTTCTCCGAAGGACCATTCATGAGTAGTAAGAGGTTTGGTTTTGTTTTGTTTGATCTATCAAAAGTATAAGATTTTGATCGCACAACCCCTCCCTGTTAACTTGTCAAAAGATCCTCTCCGCTGCTTCTACTTTCTCATGTTCTTAAAAGCAGTTCCTTTAGTTTGCTTGCAGTTAAAGTAATCTATGATTCACTTAATTTTTTAATCTACATTCTCTTATATAGGAAACCGTTTCTCTTCTTCTTTATATAGTCTGAAAATGGTATTAGTTCATCAAAGCAACAAATTTTATCAAGTTTCCAAGACCATTTCCGTCTCTAAAACATAACTTCATAGTTCTTTAAGTCTAAAAGTATGCCATGGCAAGTAAAGAATTAATTGAGTCTCCAGGCTCGGTTACAAAATGAAACTACTCCATACCCTTGTTAGAAGTTGCTTTTTCAGTTTCAGGATTATGCCTTGTAATTTAAAAGTAATAGAATTTCCATTTGCAAAAAAATTCCACATGTAGAAATCCAAAATGAAAATGATGGCATAACAAAAGTTACCTCGTCAAGAATACTTTTACACGATCAAAAGAGAGAAAAAGAAAAAGTTTTGTACAGGATAAAATTGAATGTTGATGGAGGGAGCCGACAAAGGGAAACGTGGGGCCCAAATAATGCGATAGGATGAGAAAAAAATATTTGTTGTTTCAGCAGTAGTAGAAATGGTAACAATTTTTTTTTTGCTTCTTTTTCTGTGATGATGACATTTGGTTTCGAATTCTTCGAAACAGCCAAAGACTCAAAATCTCAGTGCCTGTTCCAGTTTGGTTACAACTTACAATCAACCGCTCTCTTCCCCGACACAAATGAACTTGGAAACCCCCTTGCATTTTCTTCCTTCTTTCGTTCATTGTAGTTTCACATTGTTAAGACATGACACCACTAATAAAAGATTATATCCTTCTTTTCCCCGTCATCACTCCACTTTCATGTACGAGACACGTGAATAAACCAATTTAAATTGTTCATGAACGCGTTAAGCTTGTCAAGTTACACTTGAATGAAAAAAATAAAATAATTTAATTAACATGTAAATTTATCGGTTTATGAATAAAATTTACTTTAAAATTTAATTTAATTAATTTATATGATTATTTTAATAGATAATATTTAATAATTTTAATTTTTAATATGTTTAATTTTTTTCCTATCCTAAATTAATGCTTAATAATTTCAAAATTCACAAAGACGTTTATATATGAAAATGTTTGGATTATCTTTAGTGATTATACAAACGAAGCTACACAATAGTAAATGATAGAGTAAGATAATTCATGGAATTTATCAATTTATAAATGAAAATTATGTTATTTAAAAATGAGTTTATATTTGATATAATATTATAATATAAAATTATATATTATTAATAAATCATATGATATTAATTTATTAATAAATTTTTTAAAATAAAGCTTTTGTGATTTTATTTTAAGAGTAAACAAAATTTCATATTTAATTATTTATAAAATATTATTATCTGATTTATTTTAGTGATTTAATTTAAATTCAAAATTTACTCTTGATTCAAATTTAAAGTTTACACGTGTCAACTTATATATATATATATATATGTGGTTGGGTTATCTATAATGATTATCAAATTTTCATTTTACAACCAAAAGCCAAATCTTTGTCTTTGAATTTCAATTTTAGCCAAAACTTTAATTATTTTTTTTCTCAAAACAAAATGATGTATGTCGTTTAATTGCAGCGGAAAAAAGGCTCTTTCTACGTAATTATAAAGAAACCTTTTTATGTCCCCTAGAAAAGATAAATTTGTGTGTACCAATAGGTAAAACCACTTTCTAGTTTCGAAGAAAATAGAAGAACAGGATGGAAATGGAAAGTAGCGTTTCAATTCACAGATGCTTTGGTGGCTAAACTATGAATAAAATTTATTCTCAGCGACAGGTTCAAGGTTGATGGCTTCATTTGAATGATTTTAACGTGTAACACATGGCTGTGGTGCTCTACACGTCATTGGCGCTTTTTTCGACCGTTCATTTAATCTGCTCTACACTTGTTTCAGTCAACCTTCGTAGTAATCACGCCAATGAATGAAACGTATTCACAGTCTTTTTCCTGGAAAAAATAACTCTAAACGCCCCTGTTTTACGGCTTCACTGTTTCCAGGGTTGGTGATCAGCGGTTGAAGTTTTTAGTGCGTTTCGAGCATTTTAGATGCTACTGGCTACACTCTTGACCAAAAAATCACTGGGACAATGTCCTTTCTTGGGTAATGATTTGCCAGGGAGGAATTAGGGGCCAATTCCGATGAAAGGCCTCAACGAAATAGTTGGCAGGCCGCAGACGATAAACTTAAAAAGAGAAAAAAAAAAAAAAAAAGGAAGAGAAAGAGAAGAACCATCCATTAAAGTCCCAATTCTCTGGTTGTTTTCGTTAACCTAAAAAGTGAGTCAAGAAGAAAGACCCATTGCTTTACACCATTAGAATTACATAACAATATCTATGTTTTATTGATCTTTTTCTCCAATGATTCAAAATCAGTAATAAATGGTTTCTTTTTTTTTTTCCCCTCATACATCTAGCTAGAATGAAAAAAAAAATCATTTAATTTGAAAAAAAGGTGTAAGATTTTTTATTTGGACGATATGAATTTTAACTGTAAATCTATTACTTATAATGTTAGGTGTTTACGGAGCTGTAAGGTTTTTCCATATGCTTAACCTTGAAAAATATGGACTGGAACCCATCAAATATTGGGTCCAGTTTCGACTATCACTCAACTGAGCCAGGCTAAAGGATTTCAAAGACTTCAGCCTGAAGCCTTGAAACTAAGCAGGCCTAGGTTATGTGGCTTTCGATTTGAGCCCTGATTAGGTTTGACCTTGAGCGTGCCAGTTCCTACCCTTATTGACAGCAAATCAAGTGTGAAGGTAAGAGGAATCTGTGAAAATTTTCTGTTTGCATATCAACATTCTTCGGAAAATGTATATAATGGTTCTCGTAATAATGAGAATATGAAACACAGATTATTAATATCGATATGAAAAATGTATATAATGATTCTCATAATAATGAGAATATGAAACACAGATTATCAATATCGATATGTGTGTTTATATATATATATATATATATATGTAGTTAAAGGGGAAGTAAGAGTGACGTTAATGTAACCAGATAGGCAGATGTGCCACGTGATAATGATTTATTTCATATATATATATATATATATATGTAGTTAAAGGGGAAGCAAAAGTGACGTTAATGTAACCAGATAGGCAGATGTGCCACGTGATAATGATTTATTTCAATCAGTAACCCAGAAATGCTTTTTAAATTATCATGATTCATGATCGGTGAACAGTGGATCGGATCTATAATTTTGGACCGAAGCAAGAGAGTTTTCTCAACAGTTCATTTCAGTTGTCGACATCACATTCATCGTGAGGCTTCAGCACCATTTTGCAAGAAAATCGCATTTGTGAGAGCCCCAGTATATATGCCTTTGTATGGTTTACCACTTTCGAAATTTTTTTTCTGTTGGTTTCTGATGTGAAGCAGATTTTGGAGTAGGGTGTTAAGGCTATTCCTGGTTTCTAGCCTTGCCTCTGTATTATTCCATTTCTCTTGACCCAATATTTTATTCTCTCTGCTGAAACAAAGAACACAGAAAAGATTCATTGACTCCAATCTAAAATGAACTTCTGGTTTATATTTGCCATGTTAACATCCTAAATTTGTCATGGCCGTGAATAGTTTATAGTACCACATTTTAGCAAAATCTGAATAGAATCATCCAAATTTCATATTAAAATGCAATGGTTAGAAAGATGAAGTTTAAGATTCAATTGAACTAAGCAACAGCCAACAAGCGTTAAAGTTATTTTGGTGGTTAGCATACGTGGCTAAACCCATTTGCTCCCTTGCCTTATTTGGCTCTGGCAAAACACTTACTGAAAATGCGATTTTTTTGGCCTAAATTTCCCCCTCCTCTCTCCCATAATGCGGAGATGATCAATTCAAGCCTTTGTCCGGCACAAGTGGGAAGATCAGCAAACGCAGCCAAGCTGGACTGAGAAGGACACCAGGCCTTGCTCTCCGGCCCGGCATGTCCTGGCGGCTGACGAATCTTTTACGATGCTAAATGTGGTTAATTTCCATGCTTTGGCATTTATTGATACCCGTCGTCAACGCACCAACTCTACATCGTTCTTTGGCCCCTTAGTTAATATATTATGGCGGCTGCTTGCATTCTCTTAATTGGATACATTCGAGTGATATGCGACATTTGGATTGTTCTACTGTCACTAAGCCAAGCTAAGTCTTCTGTCTTCAACCTAGGAGAAGTATTTGGTTTACAAGACGTTGGCTTGTTAGCCTCAACCCTTGTGATGCAGGCAAGTCTTAAGTAGTCATAATTAACTAATGCACAAGCTTTGTATTTAATTTTTTATTACCCTTGAAACAATTGCAAGGGTTGATTATAGAAAAGAAAATTTTGCACAGAGGATCTGATGTTTCTCTTTCTTTTTTTTTGGTGAAAAATTCTCCCACGTATCATTTCAAGTGTAATATACTTTTGTGAAAAGAAAAAAAAAAGAACTAGTGTTTGAGGTAGAAGTTACGGGGGTGCCAGAATTTGTAAAATATATGCAAACGCATTAAATTTGAATGGTGAATGTACGATCAATTTTTGATGTATGTTTTTATCTTTGCTTTCAGAGTAAGAATTAGTTTTTGCGAGGGCGAAACGGCACCAATTTTTCCCCTTTTGTTAGTTGTAGTTTTGAGCCGAGTTTTCCTAGGAAAACGACTGTTCTTATCATTCTCTTTTGAGGCTTTCAGCAAATTGTTCATCAAGGGAACAAAAATGTCAGAGGAATTGATTAGGATAGCAGAACCTATCTTCTTTGACTGCAGGTGGCTGGGAGGCTAGCCCGGCTGCTAAGTAAATGAAAGGCTGCATGCAGTCGCTTTGGCTGGTGGATTTTGACCTTTCCTTTTTGGAGTCTCACTACTCAGTCAGAAACCAGAATCAATTATGGGGTATGATCAATTCAAGGAGCACAAATTTCAATCACTAAAATGTCAGACTAATATAATACTTACCAATGTTTGAAGAAATAGAAAAAGAGAGAGAGAAGGGAGTATTACACTACTACTGGAACAGGAATGGTGATATTATAATAGTTCTCCTGACCAGTAACTTATATGCGCAAAATTCCAAGTAGTACAATTTTTTGGCCAGACAAGTTGTGGGTATTCTTTTTTTCTTGGTGTGCTGGTTGGGGGTGAAAGTAAACTATCAATCGTGTTAGCTAGTCCATCGCTTTACTGCAAACGGGTCATGGAAGGAAATTAAGACTCTTCTTTTTTTTTTCTTCTTCTTCTTCGTTTGTCTTGTTATTACTCAGTCAGAAACCAGAATCAATTATGGGTTATGATCAATTCACGGATCACAAATTCAATCACTAAAATGTCCCACAAATATAATACTTACCATTGTTTGAAGAAATAGAGAAAGAGAGAGAACAGGGAGTATTACAATAGTACTGGAACAGGACTGGTGATATTTATAGTAGTAGTGTTTACAAGTACTTTATATGTGCAAAATTCCAAGTAGTACATGTTTTGCGGCCAGACAAGTGGTGTTCATTCTTTTTTCTTGGTGTGCTTGTTGGGGTGAAAGTAAACTATTAATCGTCCTAGCTAGTCCATTTCTTTACTGCAAACGGATCATGGAAGGAAATTAGGACTTTTCTTTTTTTTCTTCTTCTTCTTCGTTTGTCTTGTTCTTACTGGTACTAATTTTTCTGGTGCATATGGGGGTAGCATTTTCAGGGCGGTCAATGGCGTTCCATGGCCTTCAGCTGGGGTAACTCTACTTCTAGTGGCAATTTTGTTGTCTTTTATTGCTTGCCAATTGCCAGATAGGAGGAGAACATAAAACTGTGCAAGACTTTTGGAACTTCCTACTTCACATCTGCTCGGCTTTTCTCGGATCCGCTCTTGATTACAAATCGAACTCTTAGTGCTTAGGTGGAATTTAAATGCATTAATTTACCATGATGCGGAAGGTTGGAAATCATGGAAAACATTGGAATATTATATAGTATTAATTTTTGTAAACAACCTTCACCGTTTCTTTATCAAGTTGCCAATGAAGAATGAATGCTTGGCCTATTCGTGGATGGCCTGTCACTCAATTTTCAGATAGTACTCTTTTCTTTGGTCACTTGGAGTCTACAGTTCCGAATATGCTTTCCCTGGTAGCTTTCATGAAAGGCAAATTTGAACATTAATTCATGTTGGGTCGTACCTACTACAATCAGAATGAGCGGTGAACCATATTTGCAAGGGTAAGGGTGAGTGATCCAGATGTACTACTTTTATTTTTATCTAGTTTTCATGTAATAACACTAGTTAAGTGTACCCAAAAAACCTAAAAGAAGCCCGCGTCTCAATTAGAATGGCGCAACAGAATAGATATTCGTTAAATTTTTATGTATTTGTAATAAAATTTTATTAATTTTTATGGTATTTAAAATTATTAAAATATTTAATTAAATTTAATATTATTATTTAAATTATATTTCAACTAAATAAATGCTATCTATTAAATATTTGATTCTTTAAATTTTTTCTTAAATATAAAATAAATAAGAACTAAATTTTAAATTTTAAGTTTACTTTTAATTAATAACAAATAAAATTTATTTATTATAGTTCAAATCTTTCATAAACATAAAATTTTACATATTTTACATATTTAAATTGAAAATAAATTTAGGCATAAATTCAAATACCGGATATTATTCACTAAAACTTAAAATATTTGAATATTACAATGATTAAATATTACTATTAAAACTTTATCAAATTCAACATAAATGATAAATTTTTTATCTAAATCTAATAATTATCATTTATAAATATTTGAATTCGATGTAATCAATCGAATAATATAAGATCTCTATTTATTTAATTGGTATCATCAAAACAATCAAGAATATATATATATAAAAGAAGAAGGGTTTGAAGAATAAATTTATATTTTTTTAATTATTAATTTTAATATATTTAAAAAATAAGATTAAAATTTTTATATTTAATTTTTATATATTTTTTAATGTATTAAAATTAATAATTAAAAAATATTAAATTAAAAAATTTCTCTTTCTATATATACATTAACTAGCATATGGCTTGGCTGTGGCATCCGGGCAAAGACGTGACCTCCAATCATCAAAATTGCACATGTTTTAGGTTTTTTTTAACTACAGTCGATGAGCTGCCGACCACTGGTTTCCTCTGCAGTAGCGTCACGGACTCGAGGTCAGAATCATTTGGGATTCCAATTCCCATTTATGATAGTAGTAATATCTTACCAAAAAAACAAAAAGATAGCAATAATATAATACAATAAAGAACAGAAATCAATAATTACCTCCCATAATTAAGGACGTTGGATTAATTATTTAGAGCTTCAGCAAGCTAACTATTCAACAGTTGTATGTTTCTTATATGAGTATTTAATTTAGTTTCATGCACGTTTTCTTTTCTCCTCTACGATCTTTCCCTTGTAATTTATTCTCTTGTTGTATCTCTAGGGAACCTAAATTACAACATAATTATAAATTATCAATGTAAAATCAAAAAATTTGTCAGCATTTAGATGAAAACGCTGGAAAATTTAGATAAAAGGATGTGATACGGTCACATGTGATTCAATAATATATGGAGCGGGAGAGCCTTTCAATGCGTCAAATTTAAAAAAAAAATGCAAAACAAGCCAATTAAATTCTTGGGATTTAAATGTTTAAAATTTTTGGGTTTTCGAGGCATTAATTAATATTTACATACATAAAAAATTTAATTTTTTTATTTTTCTTGTTGATTTATTAATAACATAAAACTAAGTAGATAAATGAATTAATAATATGGATAAATGGTTGTTATTATAATATTTATATATTGATGATATATTAAATATAAAACCATTAATCACTCTCTTTTCAGTTGAAATTTAATTTAATTTCAAATATATATATTTGGAAAAAACAAAAAAAAAAAAACCCAATGTAACTTGAAAATGATGGTGGACTCATATATATTTGTAAATAATTTACTGTTTCAATGCTTAATTATGGCTTAGTGCACCGCTAGTATGTAGCTATTCAGTTTAGTAATTAAAAAGCTTCCTTAAATCGAAGCTTAAACCCTTAATTAACAAAGGGTCCCAAAATTTTCCTTCATTACTATTTCCATTAATTAATTTTCATTTCACTAATTTATGATACTATATTGTCCCATCCATCGGTCGGTTCATTGAAGTGTCAGGTTGTATAAATTAATAAATGTGATAATTTAATTTGGATCAGATTCAATTTTTTTAAAATATTATTATAAAATTTGTAAATTTATTTTGAATTCAAAATAAAATTTTATCAATTTTATTCAATTTGATTTATTAATTTTTAATTTTTATATATTATTTTAATATAAAAATTTAATATATTTAAGTAGATTTTAATATAAAATTATTATTTTTATTTTATAAAAATTTAATATATATAAAAATTAAAAAATATTTTTTTTTATTTGATTTTTTTTTTTACTTTTAAATCCATATGAACTTAATAGATATATTGAATATTCAAACTTAATCAAAACCAAATAGAAAAAATTCGAATAGAATATTATAGCTTTGAATTGATTTATGAAAGTTTAGATTATTTTTCTCATCTTTATAAATTAGGACCCCAAATATTTCTTTTGATAGGAAACTTTCTTTTTTCATGAATGAATGAACAAATTTCGGAATTTCCTATATAAAAGAAAAGGAGAAAAACCAAAAAAGAAAAAAGTTACACCTATTTAGTATTAGTGTAGACCAGAAGAAAACTAAACACAAAAAGGAAAGGAAGATTAATAATTTATAAATAAACATAAAAAATTAGTACTAAGTAAAATTGAACTTCATTGATCATTAAATTAATATGGACCTTAAACTTGATCATCATATATGTTTCCATTGATCAGATGACGATGAAGAGGTGTATGTTTTGAATTTAGCATCTCCATTTAAAGCTTAGATTTGGTCAAAATACTCCATGACATACCATATTGAAAAGAAATTAAAAAAGGAAAGACGATGCAAAAGGACGGCAGGTAGCAAAAAAAATGACGAAACTAATGAAAACTTTGAAATGGAAATATTAATTTTGATTTTGACCTTACACTTTCCACGTGATGGACGGCCATAATTGAGGAGCAGCCATGTAAGGATAGCAATCTAGTGCGAGCCAGGGACGTACAGTTTGGGTGCGAGGGATTGAGGATTGAGAAGGGCAGGTAGGGGGAAGGGTCGTTGAGTTACGTGTGAAAATTTCACCCGAAGTATAATTTTGATCGCGTGCTTTGTAAATGATAGCATACCGGACCAACGGCTCTTCGACTGTAACCCTTCGTTTACAACCAAATCAAATTTGCCAAAATGCAAATATATATTTTAATTTATAAATATTCATATAAATATTTTAACGCATTAAAATATAATAAATAAATTTGTCATATAAATATTCATTTATCTAGGCGGTTTTAAAAGGCTTGAGCCAAAGCTTTTGGGACTCGTCGTGCTTAGACCATCACTCTCTCTCTCTCGAATCCTTTGCTCTGTCTTCTTGCTCTCTCTCTCTCTCTTTCTCAGTTGTTTCAATGTTTGAAAAGTATTTGAGACAGATACAGAGAGAGTAAGTGAGTTGAGTTGCTTGAAAGCAAAAAAAAAAAAAAAAAGGGTAGAAGAATAAAAACAGAGAGAGAGAGATGGGAAGGGCTCCTTGTTGTTCTAAAGTTGGGTTGCATAGGGGTCCATGGACTCCAAGAGAAGACACATTGCTTGTCAAGTACATTCAAGCCCATGGTGAGGGTCACTGGAGATCGCTTCCTAAGAAAGCTGGTAATTGAATTCAGTAATTATAAGTTATGATTAATAATTAGTTCACTATTTCCTTTGGAGAATGATTTCTTTTTCTTGTCAATTGTCATGTGCATGCTTTTTTCAATGGTGAATTTGCAGGGTTACTTAGGTGTGGAAAGAGTTGCAGGCTGAGATGGATGAACTATCTAAGACCGGATATTAAGAGAGGGAATATATCACCAGATGAGGATGATCTTATCATCAGATTACATTCCCTTCTCGGCAACCGGTGGTCTCTCATTGCCGGGAGACTTCCTGGTCGAACCGATAACGAGATTAAAAATTACTGGAACACCCATCTCAGCAAAAGACTTCTAAGCCAAGGAACTGACCCTGATACCCACAAGAAACTATCAGAGCCAGTAGTTCAAGAAGTGAAGAACAGTAAAAAGAGCCGAGGCAGCATTAACAAGAAGCAGAACAAGAAGAGCAAAGCAAAACAAATAGTTGAGCCTGCAGAAAAGCCCAAAGTCCATCTCCCAAAGCCCATAAGGGTCACTTCTTTCTCTTTACCAAGAAATGACAGCTTTGACCAATGTAATACATTTAGCACAGTGTCTTCCACCCAAGGAGGGGAGGGAGGATTAGAAGTTGTACGAGTCCCTTGGTCAGAATATATCAACAACAATGAAAATGGAACCGGCTTTCTTTCTGCTTATGATGATCATGATCTTGTTAACGGCTCAGATTTCGAGTGCCACTCTCATGTAGCAGCAAATGAAGATGATACTTCTCTAGAGAAGCTTTACGAAGAGTATCTGCAGCTTCTGAAAACAAACGAAGATCCAGCGCAGTTGGATTCTTTCGCTGAATCATTTCTGATCTGATAGAAAACTAAAAGAAAAAAAGAAAGGTGGGATATTGTTCTTATCAAGTAATTATGTGTGCATGTCAAATAGTTCAAGCTTAATTTTCTCCCAATAAAGTTGGTTGAAGTTGAATCTTAGCTTTCGTGTCACGTGCTCACCTTCTAGCCATAAGTATTTACTAATAACTAGGGAACATATCAATCTAACATGTACTTATATATATATATATCCTAATAATTGATCGACATTTATATTACTTATATTCTGTAACATGTGGGCCAGAAGTTGATGAATATATTGATTTGTATATGAGAATAAAGAGTTGCATGGTGATGAACAGATCAAGCCAGAGTTGAAACTTCTTGATTTGTTGACATGATAATCATAAAACTCGAATTCCAATATCATAAAGTCACTTCCCAAAAGTCTGACTCCGGTTGTATAGTCCATTGGAGAGGATCTCCCTTCCTCGTCTCTGAGCAAACTTTTTTCAACTGATCGTTTCTAATAAAATTTTATTAAAATATTCTGATTTATATATTAATCATCTTTGCAGAGTAAACGAAGGTGTTTGTCTTTATATGTTTCAAGGAAAAACAAATGGCGGTTAATTTTTCCTTTAGGAACATTGTGGGGGGGGGGGGGTGTTGGGATCTATATAATCATGTCATGCTTATTTGTTGCAACAGTAACAGTACTCTCGATCTGAACACTACAATCTGCAATATTTCAATTACATCTTCAGGAGATTAATTATGGTTGCTTCCCATCAAATGGTCAAAACTAATGTGGACAATACATTACTAATGCACTAAATATAGAATTTATAGAAGTGTCATTTATCTTTGTTTATTAATGAAATTTCACCGGCTTGATTAAGTTAGGGAAAGTTTTCTTGCATATTTCCCTAGCTACATGCTTTCGTTGGAAAGAATTATACTTAATGATCATTCAAGCATATATGTCTATACATACAAGATCATAGACGAATCCGAAGGAGGTGGGCATGGTATCAAGCCCTCCATTTTTTTTTGTTTATGTCATTGTATTATACTAACTCAGTCCATCTAACATCAGTATTGATCTTCCCTTTTTCATTAACTTCATTGTCTGGCCCCCTCTTTACCTTATGTCTGGCTTTGCCCCTTTACAGAGTTAAATTTAAATTTGACACTTGCAAAATTTGAAATTAGGTCATTCCAATTTAAGGATTTTATGTAAGGCAAAACCAAGAGCAATACATTAATTTCATTATAATATGTATTATTTCACTTGAATATTTGACTAAATGATATGTATATATGTTTTCAATTAAATAATTAATTTTGAATCTCTCATTTTTCAAATAAAAAAATATGTATAGGTTATGAAACATAATACTAACAGTTTAAAGAAGCATTACATCCTAAAAATAAGAATATCTTTTTAAATGTGCAAATTAATAACAAGAAAAAAAAGCATCAACGTAGTTAATTAGCTTATCACTAGAATAATATGACACCTACTATGCACGTGCTCTTGATAATACTATATTTTTACGTATTAAAATGATGTATTTATTTTCTGAAGGTAGAAGGAAAATGGATAATATTTATCTTTTGCGTTGTAGAAACTCGAAAAGTTGAGGTTTAATTTTGCAAAAGGAATTCTAAAATGAAATTTTGATAGTGGAAGCAATCATTTTGATTCAAGAAAGGTTATAAAGTTCTTTCTATGATTTATAAAGAGAAACTTTCAATTAATTCCTAAAATGAATAGTTATATATATAGTTAGAAAATTAAAAAAAAACAAAAATAATAAGAAAAAAAAAGATTTTGAGACGTGAAAATTATTATTTTAAAAATAATTATGTTTATAGAATATAATAAAATTTTAAAAAATTATCTAAATTAAAAGTAATAAATCGGTTAGATAAAAATATTTATTTATAATAAATCAATAATTATTAATCAAGTTAATTTAAAAAATTATGACATTTTGTGTTATAATATTTTTGTATTTAAATGAATTTTATTTAAGCAATCATATTTTTTTGTTCAGATATATTTATTAGGAAAATTATTTTTTTATTCAAACATATTTATTTAAAATAAAAATAAATTTTAATAATATTTTGAAATAAAAAATTTAAAAATAAAATTTATTTATTAAATAAGTTCAGATACCAAAGCGACTATTTTTTATTTTTTTACTTCTAACAAACTTAAATAATTTAATTTATTCAAATTAATTATTTAAATAATATAAATATTTTTTTTACTTAACATAAGATATATCACGTTATAAACTATCATCGTATCGTGGTTAGCAGTTTCTTGCCTTGAGAATATTAAAACAAAAAGCAAAAAGAAATGGAGTAAGGTCCTGGTGAACCACCTAAAACTAAACAAAAACGCCAGGATATATAGAACAAATAATATCAGCTCTTATAAATTTCAATGCCGTGTCAAATGAATGCAACTTGACGAATAGCCAACGATTAGCTGCTCCAGTTTCTGATAAAGACTTGAAAGAAATTAGATTAATTTCGATTGGATTGATGTCGTATCATAATGTCAGAATAGCCACTATTAACGAAGCCTTTTTCTGAACCTCGAGACTTTCACGCTTATTATACTATGTATGTATGTATATCAAAAGTAAAGAAGAACAAGTTGATTCACAAGTTATTATTGAGGTGGGGGAAACACCACTAGAAAATAAAGACACTAATTAATGTTGTTTTCACATTATTTGATTTGCCTTTAGAAGTTAGATGAACTCGTGACCAACTTCAATTCCAAAATTGGTAGATGCACAATTTATTTTGACAGTATGGGGAGGGCAATGGTTATAACTTATAATAGTTTGACGATTGATTTAAGTATTGTGATGTCGACATTTGACGTTATTAAAATCGTCATAAACAATTTATTAAAATTCATCGGCTAATTAATTAATTACAAAAACTGTTCCCAACAATTATTATTTATACTGTTGCTCCCATCAAATGATCCCATGCATTTAGACTTTGAATTTTTCAAACCAAACAAAGGGAAATTAGTACTCCATGGTCATGATCCAGGCACTGTGGTCCAAAAGATATTTGGACAAGTTATAAATATTTTATTAATATTAATAATGTTAATTAGATGTGAACAACCTAAGTTTAATTTTTTTTTGGATTTGGAATTTAAAAATATTCATTGTTAAAAGTTTATTTGGATTGAATTGAATTATTTATAAAATATTAATAAGTAATTAATTTAATTGATTAAGATTAATTTTTTAGACGAAAAAATTTTGAATTTGAATCTTGCCGATGATTTAATTTGCTTTAAGCGCATTTTTTTGCGAAAAAAAAATTTGAGTTGATATCTTGTCTATTATGATCAAATTGAATATTGAAATCTTGAATGTCAATACGCGATTCTGTTTAATTATTATGTATTAATAGTTGACGTCCGACTATACGATATATTTTGTAACATTGTTGATCTGAACAACTAAACACTTTAATTTATTCTGGAAATTTAAATAAAACAAAAAAAATTTATGAAATTAGTTGTGATGGGATGATTCATATAGCATTCATTTTTTAATTTAAATTTATGAGTGGTGCGATAATTTAAAAATAAAAAAAGTTGTAAATTAAAATTTAAACATAATTATATAAATTAATCAAATTTAAATTTACGATAAATTATACTTTCATGCAACAAATATGTATATATACGTGGAATTGCTGAGTCCACGTAACTGGATATCTTAATTTTGTGGTGGTTATAGCTGAACATGATTTCAGTTACTCTCATGCCTGCAAATAAAACTACCCGAAAATTTCAACTCAAAAAAATTTCAGTAATGGGGCAATTAATTTAAAAGCGGCATATATAGCTAGACGTACACTTCACTTCGTATTGCAGAATTGTAGTTTCTTTGTAGCTTAGAGATTGATGTTGTAGATGAGTACAAATTGTTATTAGTCAATTTAAAATTATTTTGGTACAATATAAGATGAATGGTATGTATATTAAAAATTAATTAATAGATACGTTTATTTTTTAAAATTCGCATGTGAAATTTAAGGAAAAACAAACTGTTAAATTATTATCCACGCTAAAATAATAATAAAAAAATTCTAATGCTTTCGGATGACTTAATATTTAAAAAGAAGGAAAAAAAGGTTATACTTGGAAGATAATAATAAGTAAATATAAAATTGTGGATGTGAATAAAATTTTCTATGATTTAACTAATTTTAAGTAATTTTTATTTATCATTATAAATTAAGATCAGTGACTGTAGTTGTGCCATGACAAATATATACGACAGATTAAATTTGTGAGATAAAAAAAACATAAAATTTCCCTATTTAAATGTTTTATTTTTATTTTATTTTGATATTGATAATTTCACCAATTGAATATAGTAGAGATTAATTAACTTTTCGTATTTCTAATTTCTCTTAAATTCTTAAAATGAGCTATTCATGAACGGGCTCAAGCTCAACTCTAACAAAGTAACGTTAACTTTGGGGGGCCGAGGTACTGTCCAACTGAAAATATTCGGGCTTGAGGTGGGCTCGCGAATGCGTCTGTATATATGTGAGATTGATAGCTCTATAAAAGTTAAAACAGGAAAGGGAGCGAATGGGAACCGTAACAGCGCCATGGAAGCAGCTTCTTCTCAACGCTTTGGAATCCAATTCCCACCTCAAGCACTCTTCTTTCTTTCAACTCGTTAGCTTTTTTCCGCTTCAGTTTTCTCTGACTTTTTCTTTTTGTTGGAGAATCGTTACTTACCATTTTCTTCACTACGGTTGTAGGCAACGGTTGGATATAATGGAAGACCCTCGAATCGCACTGTGGTTTTTAGGTACCTTATTGATGAATTTGTATGCAAATTCTTGTGAAACTCTAATTTTTGTTTGGAATTCAAAGTATTTTGGTTGAATCTACAGAGGATTTCAAGAGAACAGCGACTCGTTTCAAATCAACACCGATAGCAGGAGTCATAAGGTTTTTACATTTAATCTTCCCCTTTTTCTGGATTCTTTCAATTCTCATACTGTCTTTTATCTTTCTATTGAAATTTTGTTGAAATGGGTTTTCTCTTTTTGGTTAAATTTCCTATTGCGGGAGTTTTGTATTGGGTTGAAAAATCATTTGTTAATGTTGCAGATAGAAGAGCTGAAGCATTGCCCTTTTGCTGAGGTAATTTTTGTTTGAGGTATACCCCATTATTTTAAAGGACCTCTTTTAATGTTCACTGTCCTTTGCTTAGGGTCTACTGTTGAAGCTTTTTTTTTTCCTTTAATCTTATTTAATTCATTTCCTTAATGCTTATGTATAAATTGCTTTTCATTTTTCTTTTGGTTGCAGATATGTTGGTACTTTACTGATTCTTGGGAACAGTTTCGAATCGGTGGAAGAATTGATGTTATTGATGGATCCAATCCTGACACCCTAAAAATTCAGGTTAGACAAGAGTCAACCCAACTTTGAGTGCATTATAAGAACTGATTTTTATTGCTAATATTAATGACTTAGGATTTTGGAGTTTTCTGAAGCTATCAGAATCAACAATTTATCCATTAAGTTTGGGTGACGGTGCCATCATTGTAGTTAACATCATAGAATTTAAATACTGAATGTATTGCCATTCTATAGAATCATCTATTGTCTATCATTTGCTATTTAATCTCTAAGCTAAAGCAAAATTATTTTGTAACTAAGAAAAACAACATTTTAAAAACAATTTGATGGCTTATTTCACGAGAGCTGAAGCTTAAGGCTTTAGTTGTTTTTAGTATGGTAAATCTAAACCTCAACATTGGCATTCCCATTCTTACAGTAGCTTATATTTAATCCATGCATAACAATAATTAAGGTACTCTGAAAAGAATAAGCACGTTATAACTTATAACTACTATTCCATACTCCCCCATATATATTTATAAAATTTATTCTGCAGCAAAGGGAGAAATCTTGGTTTGCTAGTTCTGTTAAATCAAGGCTACAATACTTGGGACCTAATCCTGGTCTCCCCTTCATAAGTGAGCAACTGAATGAGGAAACTTCTTTAGATCCTTCAGCAGGTCCAGTTGGTGCATTTTGTCTGCTGGTTCTAGATCCTGACCAGGTTTAGTATCTTGTCTACACTTTAGTTCCTTTCTTTAAATATTCAAAAAAAAGAAAAAGTTTGAGGTAGAAATTGGCGAGAGATAGGGTGCTATATTCATTTCTTCATTTTATTGCTTATATGTTAAATTTCAAATTTATCATAATTTGCAGGTTGATTATTTGAATTTGAAGAATAATCAAAGGGTTAAGTTTATATCCACAATACGCTCGGACGGAATGAAAAGCTGGACTTCAGAGATGATCAACCCATAATTTCTGTTTTGTGTTTCTAAAACCGTACTGTGACTGCACATTCGTATCTTCTACGCATTTTATGGATCTGGTGTGATTGATGTTGAAGAAACCTATTCTATATACATTAATTTTCTCTTCAACAGTTGATTTTAGATATTCCATAAATAAATAAATATTTTTTCTTCTTGTTGCACACCTTTTTGTTAGGACAAAGTAAAGATCATGTAATAAAACTCATGACCACTTCTCAAATGAAAATGTACTAAAAGCTGTTACTGGATCTCTGTTCTTGTTTAAAAACCCTTGAATCTGCATGCTTGGTTAAATTCAACTCTGTTTGAGAAGTTGCACTAAAGTTGTTTAATATTAGCTAGGAATGGATTCTTATACAAACTGTTACAGTTGGATGCAATTTGAAGCCTTGAAATCAATGGCATTGACAAGAAAAGCCTCTAGGATTTTTTGCTCTTTTGACATGGAGAAACCATCTTCCATCTATATCTTTATATGTATCCTAACTTCTGCAAGTGATCCTTTTGTTTCTCACAGGTGGTCTTCCCAGTCTTCCTATATCTTTCCTCCTTTATGATAGATATTAGTTGGGCTGTTATAAGGATGTAAGTTACACATCTTTATTTATTATGAAATGATGTTCCCACCCCTGTTCGCGTCCTGCATTGCTTATTAGATAGAACCTACTGATGCTTAGAAAACTGTTGAAATAATAATTCATAATATATATGCTTATGTGTAATATGTTACTTCTAGTTTATTGTACTACATTCAAGTGCAATGTACTACATGCATTGTAATAAAATAAACCTATAATTCCTGCCTATCATTTCAACTCTCCTACATCTAGGTATCTCTGATAAATATTACTCAATATCATTCTTGTTTTAAACTGCTGTTCTTCACAGTATGATTTTTTCTTTTCCCCTCGAAAGCCAATGACTCAGAGTTGCGGCTGAGCGTTGAAATGGTCAATCAGATGGGCTCCTAAGGGTTTAATTTGAATGATGAATGGAGAAACGCCAAGCTGCATCTTTTTAAGGTACGCCCCAACCCATCTGAGATGTATTAATCTTTTGTTAGCACTCATCCAATACAGTTTAGGATCATATGAAGCGCTGGTGACAGGCATTTACCATCCACCTTTCAAAGGTTATCTTTATGTTGTTGATATATCATCTTTCATCTCAGTTATTTTGACCTAACAACATGCAGATGGACAGGTCTAATTGTGTAAGTCATGTTTGAATATTGATTCTTGGTTGCCTGCACTCTCTATTGCACTAGCACACGTTATGAATTTATTGTTTTCATCAATAAAGCCATCGATCTCTAGGTATTGTTTCCCAAAAATTTTATGTGGATATTCTTATTGTAGTGCAATGAATGGATCTATCATCCATGGCATATGTGTATATCTATGTTTTCCACATAGTTTGCCACTTGAAATGTATCTGCGGATCTTCATCACCGGTCGGTCAAGAATTTATACCCATAGCATACTTTTCTTTTCTGGGTCTTAAAACAAATATCATAACAGTTTTTTCTCCCAAGTTAATGTATATCTATTGGGAAAAAGAACCTGGGCGTGTGACTTGTGCGAAAAAAAGACCGGACCGCCTAGGCCGACTACCTATATTAAACGGCTAAAATAGGAACCTTTTTCTGACCATTAAGAACCGGAAAAATCATGTGAACCTCCTATAACTTTGGGCTGTTCTCAACCCAAATTAAAATGAATTCTTAAAACCCATTTCCATCATGTTATAGCCCATAACTGCCGCCACACCATCTCTCTTCAATATTCAGCTATTGCCCCCCCCTCCCCCCCATCACTTTGTCTGGCTTCTAAAAGTGATGTGTTCCTCTTGGGTCCTTTTTAGTTGTTGTCGTCTTCGTTTTTTCTCTTCATGTTTGGATTTTAGATCTTTTTCATACTTTAAACTTCAGGCGATATTTTAAATATAAATACCTGAATCTATCTTGGGGTTTTCCAATAGTTTGGATATTATAATCCATAGCCCAAACAGCCAAAACAAAAAAAAAAAAAAAGTGCTCGGTATGAAAAAAGAAAGAAAAGAAATTTGCAGTTTTATTCCTCCAATCTTTACTTCTTTACATACACAATTTGATAATCAGGGCATATAACAAACACTTGCGCCTAAAAGAATCCTCGATCAGAAAGATCACAGCAACCCATTTCGTTCCATTTATTCGAATGCAAGGGGATCTAGCACCGGGGCAGGTCCGCAGGAGGATGAGGTAGAGTCTCCAGCTCTCCTTTCCCGTTCTTCACTATCAACACCGCACCTAAGCCCCATGACTGGTGTATATCCAAGTGGCAATGCATAAACCAAACCCCTAAATATGACACAAGAATCCGATTATATTTTTTTAGTTGCGATATAATAATAAAAATCTCAAATTTGAGTTGTAATTTGGATTGTTAAGAGAAAAAACAAATACCTGGATTGTCAGCGACAAATCGAATTACTGCCCATCCTCCTACTGGAACACCTATTGTGTTCATATAAGGTGGATCAATCAAGTTAAAATTTGCAGTCTGTGGATTAAAATTCCCGGTACCATATCCCACAACATAAAAGCTGTAGCCATGAAGATGAATAGGGTGGTTTTCAGTGCTGAATGTGCCAGTATCCTGGAAGATAAGCTGCACCCTGCTTCCAAATTCAAGGACCTTGGTCCTAGTTCCGTTGATGGCCTGTGTGTTATTAGGAGCATTATTTGGTGCCCCATTGACAAAGTCATAGAATTTAAGGGGCGCGTCAGGGAAGTCCTCCGTGAAATGACCACCAATCTTCTTATAGTAAGCTTCCAAAACAGAAATAGTAGGCTTGACAAAGCTTATATTGTTCATGGAAGCTGCAAAAGTCCCATTGTTCGGGCCCTGGCAGTTTTGTTGCGGTATCTTGGACTGGCATTTGTTGACATTTAATCCCACGGTGACAAACAGGCTAGTATCAATCTCTTTAGGAACATTAACAGGATTAAGGCTTCTAAGCCCATCCATGACAGTCTTAACAGCAAGATTATCATTAAAGCTTGGCAATTCTGCCGGTAATGATACACTGTTAGGGACAGCACCCAAGTATTGGAAGTAAGCAATGGCTGATATGTTTTGGAACGCAACATTCTGAGCAGACATGTAAGGCCCCATTGCCATGGAGTACTTCCCTATGGGCTGATCAGCAGTGACAAGGACATTCATGGTCTGCCCTGGTCCCAGCATCACACGGTCCGTGGTGAATGGCTTGGTGTACTCAGCATCAGCCTCCACAATTGTTAATTTATGATTAGCTATGGCAAAGAAGTTCTCCATGTTTAATCCTGCATTAATTAGCCTTAGCAAATATGTCTTTCCTGGAACTACGTCGATCTTGTAGACATCTGTAAATCAGTAATTATATTATTAGAACGATCTATCATTCGGTGGTATGACTTTTAATGAATTATTACTAATGATTACCTTTTGATTGCACATAAGAAGGAAGCCTAGTTTAATTTTATCCATTTTACTTATGGTTCAACAATTAAAGCAGATGATCTAATGTAATTAAATACTGTAAAGAATTGCAGTATAAATATGTTTTTTACCATTGCTGGAGCAATTGTAGTCAGGGCCTGGGTGACCGTTAATGGTAAATGCATCGGCAGGTGGTGAACCTCCTCCGCTTGCTAGAACTTGTCGCTCAAGTTGTAGTACATCTCTCAGCCAATACTCCCCTGCCACATTTTCAGGTTTCAGATCCAAACATAATATTCCATCACAATATTTACAATATTTCAGTAAATTGGATCAAAGGAGATATACCTAGGATTACGATATGCTCTTCGAAAGGGTGTTTGAATGGGTAAGGGACCCCTGTCTTAGGATACACAACAATGGCACCATAAACAGTGGCCCTAAGCCAGGAAACATGGGCATGCCAGAAAAAGGTGCCCTTCTGCTTCACCAATGTGAACTCATATGTAAAAGTCTGGCCAGCTTGAATGGGACACTGGGTAATGTAAGATGGACCATCGAACCAGCATGATAGCTTCTGCCTGACTCCATGCCTGGGAAAATAGGCAGCAATGATTAACGATGACATTAGTAGAGTTCTGGACTTATTTTGATTAATTAGTAAAATCTTCGTCATAGAATTAAAAGAAAATACCAGTGGATTGTGGCATTGAAGGGTGTCTCATTGGTGACCTTGACGATGATTCTATCGTTCTCTTGAGCGTAAACGACAGGTCCTGGAAACATTTTGTTAATGGTCACAATCTCTTTGGTGTTACACAGTTTAGTAACTGTCATCGTTTGTACCTATTTGAAATCAAAGCCTTGGAGTTAGAAAAAACAGAATTGAGAATGTTGAGATAATTGTATAGCGCATCATTTCGAGAGAATTTACTAAGACCTTGAAATCATAGATCCTGGTTGATCTCCCTCCAGGCCACTCATGTGCCATAGCATGGAAAACTTGGGGATAGGTTGACATTGACAAGCTTAAGCATAGAAAAAACAAAGTGGCTAAGTTGGCCATTTTGATTGAGAAGCAGAGAGAAAGTTGGAGTCTATGGAGGGGTAGAGAAGAGGGGCAATTTAAAAGGGTAAAGCCATATAATATTTTAAGCTATGGATGGGAAAGGAGAAAGGTTTTGTCTAGGTGTATTATGTTTGTCAGCTTTCATGATTCCTCTAACATGGTTTCGTGATAATAAGGTGTTGGGTGCGTGATTTTTTTGTGTGACCCATTGTGGGCAAGGGATTTAGCCATCTCTCTGTCTTAACAGGGAGAAAACAGATTATCTATTCTTTTTGATTCATAATCTGTCAACGCTTTCCCAGTTAAATTATGTCTTTTGACTGAGAAAATATGCACTCCAGCTTCTACATTCAAGACCCCACCTCAACAGCTATCACAAGAAGGCTTTCAGCAAGCTTCAGCCGTGAAAACTAAGCCACACCAACCAACGTGTGTTTTTTTTCCTAATAGCGGTTGGCCTTCTATATTTTTGCCTAAGTGCTCCAAACCTCAGGAATATATATCTCATAACTATTCGAATGCAAAAATCTCAAAGGACAATTTTATTACTCTACAATACTGAGCGATTTCATATTTACCACTATCTAGTGTTATCCTTATTCTTTTATATATCTTTCTGTTTTTAAAGGTATGATATTTCATGTACGTATGTACACATGTACGTATGTGTATGTCTTGCCAATAAAAGACAGCTAGCCCACCCTTTCACTTGAGGTCTTTGTGCAACAGATGAATGTCGAGTGAAGAGAAAATATAAACAAGTAAAAGCAGCAAAAGAAAAGCCATAGCAAAAGGGGAGGATGGGTTTTGTTTGTTCTGCTTTTTTTAGACACCTGACTTTTACTCAATCATAAGCAAAGTTGGAGCACGCCTTCCTAAACCTACTTTTGTGAGAAGGAAAAAGGAAAGGCCACTCTGCACTCTGTGGCAAGAACTTCCAAAGCTGTCTTCTAAATCTCTCTTCCTCTTCCTTCCAAATTGACTAGTCATTATTATATTTCTGCTTAATTGCTTATTATCTCTTGATTAGATTGCTAAAACTAGCTGTTTCATTTCCTTCATTTGTAACTTGCCATGCACTGTTTTCCCTTTTCACCTTTATCACTTTTGAATTTTTTTTTAATTTATTGGGATAGGAACCTTGGATATGATTTTCTGGCACGTTTGACTATGTAATGACCCACCATATTCACCCTAGATAAAGTGGAACCTAATATATATGATTTGATCCTTCAAATTGTGGAATGAAAATTTTTTTTCCCTTGGTACTTGGTTGTTGGTTCACCATATATAATCATTACTTTGACTAACAATATTATCCAGCCTTCTTAACCTCTATTCAAAACTTTTTTCAATCGAATTAAAGCACCATTTCTGAATAAATAAGAAGAAGAATCATTATCAAGAAAAAAACAAATAATTAGACCATTGCTTAAAGGTGATATGTTTGCAGCTTTGTAAAGGATTTCCAATTTAAGAGAGAAAAAAAAAAGGGTATGTAGGAGCCATTGGATGATTGTGTCGCAAGGGCATGATCTTGAAACTTCAATGTCAGGCTACAGGCCACGCGTTTGTGATTCTCTCTGCGGCCCTGCTTCTAAAGCGTGTGGTTTTCTTCACAAATTTCAAGCAGGTTTAAAATGGAGCAGTTGGCCTGAAGTGTCCACGTAAAGGAAAGGAAAGGAAAGGTAAAAAGGGGCTTAACCCACGTTTTAACAAATGTCTTCTAATTTATATGCTCCCAAGCAGCAGTTAAGTAATAAAAAAAATGAAGATTCTAACATCAACAAGTAGTAGGTTTAATCAATTAGATTCGTCTTTTTTTATGAAAATATCTTGAATTTGAACTTTATTGATAATCATTTGTTGGAATCATCTCAAATATTTAACTTGTAATAACTTTTTTTATGTTGTTAAATACAACATATCTTGAGTTTTTTCTGTTTCTTACCAAAATTGAAGATTCTAACTGATGAAAAGTCCTTTGCTTTTCTTTCTTCCTATCAATTATGGATGTACAAGGCTGAGACAAAAAAGTTTAGCTAAATAGAGCTGACTTTATGTATATATTTTTAACTACATAAAAATAAATACTACAGGCAACACCATAACTAAATAAGAAAACAAGGGATTTTCAACTCTTTGAATCAAATGATTTCGTATCTAATTTTAAATTGAGAGTCAATGAGCCTCTATGCATGGTATACCCCCGTTGCCCTGTTTGGTTAGTCTTATTGTCTAATTTAATTGCCAACACAGATTTATTTGTTTAGTTTATTTTGCATCCCCTTCCATCCCCTCTGGGGAGTTTTAAATTTATTTGTGCAGTTTATTTCCATGCCTTTGTTTGTGTAATAAGTAGCAGCAATCGTAGCAGCAGTATCATTATCATGGTCATCATTACTTGATTGTTTGCTGGATACGTTGGAATATATTAGTCAGTAAGACTGAATAATGTCTCTTAATGTATAATTAATTTCAGGAAAAAAAATTGTAGGACAATTGACAAATGAGGGGGGAAAACATGTTTCTCTAAAAAGGGTCGTTGTCTTTATGATTGCAAACACAAATGCGAAAGCTGTCCCCGCTACCTGCTTTCCTGATATAATCCAATCCAGTTGCCAGTCGTTTTCTTTTAACAAATCGGTATTGATGGCAAGATTCTGTTCTGGAAAACACTAAAATAAATATTTAACTTGAGGAAATTTTTGAATAAAAAAAGGAACTTGAGCCTTGTTACAACCAACTCATAGAGTTGCTTTTGAAAGCTAAATTCAAAAACAGGATTGAAATCCTCATTTCTGGTCACGGTCTGGTCTGCTCAGCTATTGATCTGCAATCGTAAAACATTCACTATAATTTCAGTTCGACTCCGTGATGACGATGATCACACACAATATCCATTCTTCTGACAAAGATGAGCAGCCATTAGAAGTTTAAACCGTTTCTTCAGTTTCCAATATATTTCCACTGGACCTATAAGTTGGCACATGGAATACCTATAATAAAAACAAACAGGCATCGAGGTAACCCAAGTGTCTGAAAACACTTGGATTGGTTTGCCCAGGAATCAGATATCCAGAAATTCCTCCATGTACAGATGCCAATGTAGCAAACACTGCATTTGACTATAAGATTCTGGTTACCTGGTGTGTTGCGGAGCTTCCAAGGACAATCAGGTCATGGGCTCCAAATCATAAATATACAATAAACATGCATGTAACTTACGGCACCAGGAGACAATATATAACCACCCTCTGTAACTTCCTCTATTCTAATGTGTATTTTATTCATGAAGAAATCACCCATTATCTATTACCAGATACTAGGATAATCAAACAGTGATAGCACTTACTCTGCTTTCTAGTCCTCTGGCAATTCAAGAAAAAGCAGTAAAATCTCATGGCAACAGGACGTCTGGCTTTTAAGGTGAGGAAACGAGGCAAAGTTCAGTTAACAAGAAGTAAGATCTTAAAGGAGAAGCGAGCAAGGCTGTACATTATCCAGCGTTGTGTGTTGATGCTGATTTGCTGGAGAGACCCCAAGGATAAATAATAGATTTGACAAGATTCACCTATCTTAGGAGACATAGATGAGAAATCAAGAGCAAGGCACTGTAAATTAGAAGCTCAATGCACTGAACTTAGCCTTTCTACGTAATATCAAACCGCTTTCAATTAACTCACCTTTGGTCTGTGCAGAATTTTCTTTTCCTTTTCTGCCCTTTTTTTTCATTTTATTTACTATTCTTTTACACAGCAGCATCCTGAATAAAGAGCATATAGTGCATATAATTGCATCCTCAGGCCTCAGAAACTTGTTTCCTTTTCTGTCAGAAATCCCAAAAATAGTAGGCAGACAAGTAGACACACCAAGCTAAAAATCTCATAAGCTGTCTGAAGAACCACAATCATGTATCAAGATTCTAGTATCCGGATTTTGATAAAAGGACTGTTATGTCCATTTTGTAGGAATTAGGGCTAGTAATTTACGATGCATTATTTTCTTTTTGTCGTATATTGTGAGGAAGGCCTAATTTGGAGGCACATACACTAATGCCAGTCCTCGTTATGGTGCTGGACATATAAATGCAATTGTTGACACCTAACATTCGACCATAGAATCTATACAATGAAGATTTCCTAAGCAACACTAGATTGAGAAACAATACTTGAATTACAATAATATTGCTAATAATTAGAATTGCAATACATCAACATATCATAAATTTTTGTGATTCAATACAAATCAATAAGTAATCTCTATGATTTTCTCAAGGGTGGCTTATGAGGTTCTGAAATTGGAAAGGATGCATCAATGATCTAAACAGACAATAGGTGACCAATTGACCCGGATACTTAAGTGAAAAGAGCTTTCACCAAAGTCCCTAAATCCAATACCTAAAAGTTGCCATTTCATCCACCCAGAATCATTGATAAATAATTAAAGCTCCAGCCATAATAAATTCTACCAAAAAAAAATGCAATGAACTCTTTCTTATCTGTGTTAAAACTTAGGAAATGCATGATAATATATCAAGTGAACATATTAGAATTCCAGGGTAGAGCAGACACAAGGTTTTATAGTACCAAAGGGAACTGTCTTGACTAAGAAAACAGATCTCCCATTCTCCCGTTCAAGGGGAAAAAGAAATGCTCCTATGGAATACACAATGAACCGCAACCAATGAAAATAGAATGCTAACAATGAAAACCTAAATTCATTACTGCATCTCATCCCACCTTAGTTTCAGTCAGCGAATAAGATCTAGAAAACATGTTAGAGAGCTTAGTGAAACGAACACTATCACTACAATGCCCTTGGTATTTACTCTTCATGTGTCACTTACTGCAAGTCGCAATAAATCTGCTTGAAATCCAAGGAATCGAGGACAGAAAGTCAAGAAAACTCAGCAAGTTTAAGTCCAGGTAAAAGAAGAAAAGTGAAAAGGAAGACATCAAGAATGAAATTCATTAACATAGAACATAAATGTAACTATTCTAGTCATTGGCCTTAGGCATTCAATAATTCAGTTAAAAGAACAATTTATTAGTAAAATTAAAAAAAATAGTAACAATTAATTCACCTGCTCGCAGTCCATATTAATGGACTTTTCTTTAATGAAGTTTACAGTGTACAAAACAAAATCTTAAAATCATAATCCCAATGAAAAAAAAAAAGTTTGGGAGATCACAAATAGTATCATACATCCACAAATGAGTCGAAATTTGTAAAGCTGCATCATCTTTGAATTATCCAAACAAAAAGAAAGCTAAAAATGAGAATGAAATTCACAAATTCCATTGAAATTACAATTCAAATAACAAAACAGAAAACAATTTACATCAAATTATAAACTAATGTGTAAGGGAATTGATTCACAATTAACCTAGAAACAGTCTTGACACATATACAAAGAAAAAGAAAAAGTATAGAAACATAAGAAACAAACACTAGAAGAGGAAATAATCAAACGTTGAGCTTATTGGCGGTGGGGTTGGTCCCAGCGGCTGATTCTGGTTGGAGTTGGGGTTGGGGTTCGGGTTCAGTTTCGTTGTGGACCACGGGCTTGGTGAGCATGAGAGGGCGGTCCTTGGCTTCCTCTTCGTCATCGCAATCAGTGGTGCTGAGGTTAATACAGGAACACCGCTCCAATGATGCAAAAAATCCGGAGGCCACGTTGGTGCCCACCCAGCTAGCCATACGATCTAGCTTGTTACAGGATATGAAGCTGCAGCTGTTATCCATCGCCTAATTTGATCAAATTTTTAGATGAGATCTTTTAACAACAGATGTCAGTTAATCAGCCTTGTGCAAAGACTCTTTCTTTTTTCAGCTGCTTTGCTTTCCTTCCTTTTTTAATAACGGATCGTTGGCTGTGATCTGTTGGCGTAATGCTAAGCCGGCTGGAAAGAGAGAGAGAGAGAGAGAGAGAGAGCAGTTGGGCAATTGCTTTCGATCCAATTTTTCAACTACATTTTTCCGTTATTTTGTTGGACTTGGGCTTAACTAATGGTTTGGGCCCTTGGCATTATTTCTTGCAACTTGTCGCAATTTACAGGTGTGGACGGATGGTGATGGGATTGTCATTGACTTTTTATCTTTAATTAAAGTATGAATCCAGTCGTCAATAAAGCGCATCTGGTGTAGTGGTATCATAGTACCCTCCCACGGTACTGACCGGGGTTCGATTCCCCGGATGCGCACTTTTCCTTTTTGCATCATGCAGTACATGTCAAGACGTGTGGAATCCAACCTTTACAGAGTCCATACTTCATACAACCTCTTATGGCAAAAACTGTCTCAATATGAACATTTTGATACTTTCGCACCGTCCTTTAGGAAAAAAGACAAAAATGCTAATGTAATACCGAAGTGTCATGTTATATGACTGCAAGAATATCCCTATCACCACGATTACATCTTTCCTCTGTCGGATGCAGTTGTTTTTAGAACGAGATAGAGCGGGTGAGCTTTGGCTTGGCAATCCTTTTATCTTCTTCAAGAGAGATGATAGGGAGATTGGCTGGGTTCTCAATCATCATCTTTGCAACCAAGTAGCCAGAAATGCTCCATGTTTGATATTTCCTTGCTTGCTTCCCAACATAACGCCCCGCCTTACCATCATAGTACTCAGGCCATCCATCTTTGGAAAGGCGGTGTTCAACAAGCTCTATGGCTCGTTTTGCAATTTGAGGCCTTCCAGTCTTGATACACGCTGCTGTGAGTAGCCATATCAGAGCTGTATACAATATTCAAAATACCAGGTCAATCAACATTACAAAAATCATCACTGCATAAATCATTTTCAAGGAAATAATTAAACAAAGCTTTAATCAAGTACCAAAAGTTCATATTCATTTCATGCTTGATGGTTCTAAATTCATTGGACGTTTTCAGTTGTGCCAGCGGAGTCTATTCACACTTACCCTAGATGTTACCTTATGAAGTTTATCAGCAGAATCAGACCATAGAGCGTTTTAGAGTAAAAGACTAGTAAATTAAGCAGATTTTGACACTGTTGAGGCAGTGATCACCCAATTATCCAAATTGCTTCCAGCTTTCCACACCCTGGGAGCATTTTGACAGCTTGCAGACAGATTTTTTTGGTAATATTCACAACAGAAAGTTCTGCTACAGCCTAAAAGAGGCCGCAACAAGGACCAAGCAAATCCTGTTGTATCAACAACACCTTAATTGCGTATTATGCATGGGAAATATAACTGATCCACCTAAAACAAAACAAAACGAAATCCGAACCTGATAAATAAAGTATGTTAAAAAGCCATTTATCTCCTAACAAAGTCCTAAATCAATCAATAGTCTCTTAATTTAAAGATCAAAGGCTAACAATAAGATAACCTTCATTGTTAATAGAAAATTTAAATTAAATAACATAAATACAGCTATGCAAATAACATACTATGGAACTTTATTTTCATGACACATACCTGGCCATGATCCACCATTATGGTAACTCCATCTTGTGTTTTTGGGATCAAATCCAGTGATAATTCTCCATTCATGACCCTCCAGGGCTGGATAAACTATCTTCAAAGGCATCTCTCCTATCAAGTCCTCCCAACGCTCCTCAATCAAATCCATAATTGCTGATGCTTGTGCAGGTGTAGCAAGTGAACTCAAGATTGCAATGCAGTTTCCAACCAAAAACCAGCGGAAATCCATTCGAGCAGGGCTGACATTACCAATAAGATATCCCCCCCGTAAGGGCATAAAATCAAACAGCCAATCAGGAATGGACTCAGGGATGACATTAAACTTATTGACAGCGGTGTGGGAATACTCCTCAGTTTTGTAACGATATATGTTGTTTAACTGTGTGAAATCAAGCCAGTAGTATTTTTGGATGTGAAAACTGAGAGCAGCGATGCGCTTATCAATACGCTCAATCAGTTCCTTGCCATCTCGCTCTGGTTTCAGCATCTGCCTAGAGCACCTCAGTGCAAAATAGAAGAGAGCTTGGATCTCAATAGGATACCCATAAATTCCCTGCCCAAAGTGCAAGCACATTAAATTCCACTCAATCTCAGTGCAATGAAAAATCACTAATCCCAATGAGCTAGCACATTAAATTCCACAAATCACACTCAATCTCAGTGCAATAAAAAATCACCAAGTAGCAGCAACCAACCAACTCTCAAAGCAACTCAAGGTATTGCAATACATAAAATGAGTTCAAACAATTAAAATGATGTTTTGGGAGCTATAATACATTGCTCATCCACAAAATCAAGCTAGAATTCTACAAACTCACACAAGTACTAACATGGTGAAACTGACCAGTTTACCTTCTCTGCTACTAGACAAGAGCCAGGACAGATCACAGGCTCTAAGGGCACTACAATATTGCCAACTTAGATTAGCTACCTATATACTTAATATTAGAGTAGTAGTGATAACAAACCATTCTAACTCCTGATCTTGTTTCAAACAAGAACTACATATCACTGAGAACTCAAAGGATACTTCTGCAATAACAAGAAGACTCAATACTTCTGCAATAACAAGAAGACTCACCATCCTCCTATCAATCATGCTACACCCATCTGCACATAGAAGTGTAGGAAAAGTGTCAAATCCATCTGAAAGGCAAAGGTTAAGTATCAGCTTCATTCCTCTCTGCACCTCAGGCATTTCTGAAAGCGTATAATCATGCGTGCACTTGGTATACGACCTTAGCAGGATGATCCACCAGAACCCAGAGTCAACAGGAGCAACTCTTCCTATTGCACTCCCGCCAAAATCTGCAACCAAGGTTTCCTTCTGCCGATGTGTATCATAAAGAACTTTAAAACTGGCAGGCATGACACCTTCTCCAAGTGTAAAGTTGTCAATCCTTTTCTCCCAACCTTGGAGGTGGAGAGTCTTTAACAGAAAGTTCTTTACTATCTCTGGTTCGCCACCAGCAGTGGCTGGTCTCATTAGACAGGCTAAGCCACTGGGAACAAAGTCTCTTATAAAAACCTGCAATATAAGAATGGGGCAAGAATAGTGGTTCAGTGCAATTGGCACCTCTGCAATAAGGCATTCAACTTGAAAAACGGCAGCACTATGAATTTGATCAAGCAATAATACATGAAATGCTATGATTGAATAATAGCTAAACAAAAAAAAAAGGTTCTGTTTGTAGTGGGTGTAAAGGTCTCACTCACTAATTCCTCTCACTAGCATCTACAAAGAATGGTAATCTTGGAAAATTCTCTTCCACGTTTGTTTTAAAATAAATTTGAAAAATATAATCACTCATGCCACTCCCAAAATATTAAGTTTCAACTCAAAATAATTTGTAAAGACCACAATAGTCAAGCATCCCACTTAACTACTTAAAGGAAAACTTCAACTGATTTATCTTTCAACTCTAATCCCTAGCATTCCCACAAATTAAATTTGCAAATATATGTAGGGCAGGTCGTGAAGTGTATATTAGACCACATATTCGCCAGATGAAAACGAAAAGATTACAAAACTAAAAGGCGCAACTACTTTCATAGCAAACCAAATAATAGGAAGCGAAACTATATATCAAATAAGTAAAGAAAAAGACTAAAAATTAGATATACGCGCTTATCATGAACGCAAAATAAGAATTTCCTTAACACCCTTCAGAAAAACAGAAAATGCCTCAAAATGCTATAGAAAGAGCAAATTGGAATAAGTAAATTTCTGAACATCAAATAGACTCCTAACAAGCATTGATTTGAAGGCTAAAGAAAGACCGCAGCGCATACACATTCTAAGAGAAATGGAGCTTTACTGCAAAATAGCCAAACGAAAGAACATAAAAATACTATAACAAAACAGGAGATGTATTGAATTTGAAAAATCAAAAGAAAACAAAAAACGATAACAAATAACTAACAAATCATACCTGATTGTAATTCAAAGCCTCAGCGATAGGATCCATAGCCGCGAGCGTTCCCACAGGCTTGCCTTTGTAATATACGTAAGATTTCTGTAATCTCTCCCACGCTTCTTCCATCATCGCACCGTTCTCTGCACTCCCCGGATGACTGTCGACCGATCTAATCGCATGCAATAAACTGTTGAGTTCAAAGTTCTCAAGACTCGAGCCTACGCTGGGACACGGCTTCAAGGACATCTGTACAACGCTGGCGTTATCAGAGACGCTCTCGTTGCTCTGCACTCTCGCCGTCTTCTTCGGCTTTCCCGGTTTGTCGGTCGATTCTTTTTCTTCCTCCAACTTGGATGACTCTCCTTTTCCAACAGAGTCTAGACATATCTCTTTTGGTATGTTTGGACTCTCTCGGTGGCTTGATTCTAGAGAAGTCTTTCCTTTATCAGTTGATTTTACATCTTCAGTTTCTAAAGAAGGCGAAGGTTTCTCAAGAGATTCAGAAACTTCTTCCTCTTCTTTAGAAATATTTTCGTCTTGTGAATGTAGAGATTTCTCAGTAAATTTAGACTTCTCAAACACCATAAAATCAGAGAATTTCTCACTGGCTTCGTCACTTTCTTTCTCCATAGTTTCGGAAGGCCGTTCCTCAATAGGGATTGTGCACTCTTCTTTCTGTTGAAGATCGAACAAAGAATCCGCTGAATTCACCTCTTTTCCCAACGAAGCTTCTAGTTCTTTCTCACTGTATTCGGCAGAGAGAGTCGAAGAAAGCGTAGGAGCCGCCTCTGCTTCCTTTGTATCCACAAGAAGATCTCGCAGAGATATCCAAGTTGACATTCTAAAGGAAAAAAAAAATGATCAGCGTAAGATTTTAGAGAGATAAGCAAGCAAAATTGCCTTTTAGAGAGAGATACCTTTCTCAGCTCTTCGCTTTTAGGCGGGACGCCAAAAAGGGGTTGGGCTAGAGAGGAATGTGAAGTGTGTACTGTAATTCCGTTTTGGCGGTTAGAGAGGGACTTCAAGAAATCTGGACGGTGTTTAGGTTTAGGTCTTAATGTCTAGCTTATTTACGAATGTGCCATTCCTCGTTTCATGCCTTGGTTATTTGATAAAAGTAATGATTTTATGGATAATTTTATTAATGACCTATCTTATTAATGCCTTGGAAAGTGAAAAATGTGAATCTGTTTGATTTGACACAACAAGAGGCTATATACGAGCTTTTTTTTTTTTTTTAGCAAAAGTATTTTTATTAATTTAAATTAATATGTTAGCAAAACATTCTCACATCTAATATTTAAGGATTGAAACTGTGATTGTAAACGAGAGTCCCTCTTGAGATAATTTTTTCAAATGATAAAATCACAAGAATAAGATAGTGCAAAGTATAATATAAAAGGCTGAAAAACTTTATATCTAAAATTAATAATAATAATCAATATTATTCATTTAATATATGTTTTAAAATTATAATTATTTTATATTATAAATTTTTACATTTTCAAATTAATATTTATTGTAAGAAGTTCAAAATTAATTTGTGTATTTTTATTTTTTAATATTTTATATATAGTATAATTTTTTTTGTTTTTCTTTTATTATGAATTTAATAGATTAGTTTATTTTTAATTAAATTTGTTTACATATTTTATATTTTAAAAATTAATTTACCTATCTATAAATATATTTATTGATTTAATAATTTAATTATATTTTATTACAAAATAAATAAAATATTAATAATATTTTATAAATTATTATGTTTAAACAACATTAAAACCATTAACTTGTGTATAATATTCATGGTTATTTTTATACTTTTAAATCAATTAATATTTAATTTTTATAATATCAAATAAAGTAATTTTAATTTTTAAGAATTAAAATCATTAATTAAACAAAAATAATTTTAAATCATGAATGTTAAAATCACTTTTATAATAAAATCATATTGATTATTACAATACGATTATAATTTTACAAAAAAAAAAAAAATCAAACATTACCGTATCTCGTAATCTAATAATTATTGCATTAACCGTATTAATATGTTGCATTAACAATGATATTGTCTATGGGAAACCGTACTGCTCCTCAGTAAAGACAAATTCATATTCTTGATCAAAAGATTAGTGTTGAGGGAAAACAATTCCAAATCTAATAGCTAAAAATTGTATGGTGATATATAGTAAGGACCCCATTCCTCTATGAAACCGTTCATCACAAAAAACTATATGTCATAATCAGCACAGTCAAATAATTTTTATATCAACAATGTTAATCCCTTACATCAATGTAATATTAACATTTATTGGATTTTAATTTTGAGATTAAATGTGAATATAATAACATCTTCAATTTTTCCGAAGGAGCATATGACGATATTACATTTCTCGTACATCATTAAAAATATCAGGATAGATGGAAAATAGATAGGCAAACTCCAGGACTAAGTGATAGAATAATGTATCTTATCTCTTTCTTTCTATAAATAAAAAGCTTCTAAAACTTTTATACATGGAGTTAATTACTGATTTAATGTAGATAATCCCAAAAAAAAAAGAGAGTAGATTATATGCAAAAATATATTTCAAACTTAGTTTTATCATAAAATTGGTCTATCAGTCCAAAATTATTCATCATGATAATTTTTACTAAGCCATCTTATTATAGAAAAGTGGATTGAGAAAATAAAAACTATTTTGGACTCTTCTTTTTCCATGAAATAAAAAGGTTGCATGGGCATAGTTCAGTTCCCTTTAAGTGGAAGAAATCGTCGTACAATCGTATGTATCATTGAATTGAACACACAAAGTACATACACCCTCTACTCTGCGAAGAGATTATTTTCAGTCCACAAAAGAAAAAAAAAAAAAACCGGCTATCAAATTATTCTTTAGAGAACGAAAAATTAAATAGGTGAAAGAAACAGAAAGACGAGTACTGGCATAACTAACAATCTGACAAGAAATAATGGGCGAATATTGTCGCTCAACAACCAGGCGGGACCTTCCTACTCTCAGCTAAAACACTACAAAACGAATCAACCAAAGGGGTGGCAGCCAGGAAATGAAGGCGAAACCCCCACTCTCCTTAAAAATTAAGTAAAAACTGTTCTACTAGAAAAGAAAAACGAATGAGTAAAGAGGAAGACTCTTCACGCTCATGAAAGCCCCAAAATCTCTCGTTGAATGGATTTCGTATCTCTCTTCCTTCCTTTTTTCTTTCTAAAACTCTTTATCAAATTAAAGTACCCAAATTCTTTGATCATGGGACGTTTCCTCCAAGCAACCCTCCACCTCCACCTGCATCACTGTCATCACCATTAATAATCATTCTTCCCTTCTCTTTTGCTCTATTTTAAAATTCTATATGCTGGTTTCTTACAAACCAAAAATTTTCCAGTTGCGAAAAAGAAATCCTTAGCCAATGCCGGGTCTAGTTTCCGTTAAAACTCCACCCAGTGCGACGCCGTTGCGGATTCTCGTAGCCGGAACAGAAAATGGCCGTGGCTCCAAGCGAACTCCATCTCCGTCACCTTCGGTTTCACGTTCCAGGCCAACAAAAAGAACCCCAGATAAAACCCACTTTGATGAATCCTCTCTCGACAATCCGGATCTGGGTCCATTTCTCCTCAAGCTCGCCCGAGATACTATAGCTTCCGGTGATAACCCTAATAAGGCCTTGGATTACGCCATTCGAGCCTCGAAATCGTTCGAGAGGTGTTCGGGTCCGGGTTTGGAGCTGGCTATGAGCTTGCACGTTATGGCGGCGATTTATAGTAGCTTGGGGAGGTTTGAAGAAGCGGTTCCCGTTTTGGAGCGGTCCATTGAGGTTCCGGATATTGGAAGCGGGCCGGATCATGCGCTGGCGAAGTTTTCTGGGTACATGCAGTTAGGAGACACGTATTCAGTGATGGGTCTATTGGACCGGTCCATTAAGTGCTATGAGTCCGGGTTGAGGATCCAGATTGAAGCTCTTGGGGATTCGGATCCTAGAGTTGCTGAGACTTACAGGTAACTAACAGACCGTTATTTATTGATTTACCATTTGGTTGGTGAGTTCGGCGCGTGCTTGTCTTTGGCCGTGGAAGTGCTGCAATGCGCCTTGTTTTGTAAGTGGCGTTGAGGCTTGTGGGCCCAACGTGTCGTTAAATGGCTGAACAAGTAGGTATGAGCCGTTGCTTCGGGATTCGTGTTGAATATTTACTGTTCACCAGACTGGCTTCTGCTTTCATAACTTTTTTTATACGAATCACTTTTTAAGTGATTCGTATTGTTTGAAACTTTGATATGAAGTGTCGTGATTAGTTTATTACTGTGAGATTTTTTTGCTGAAGAATCTTGTCAAGTTGATATTGTTTGTTCATGTGATGTAACTTGAGCCTTAAGATAGCAATTATAGCTATAGCACTGGACTGCCCTTACCTTCATTGTAGAGGTTGGAATAAAACGTGAGTTTCTGAGAAACAGCTACAAGCCTATTACTTGTGATCTGAGAGGCCATTACTGAATTAGAGAAATAAGAATTGGTTTTAATGATGATAATAATAGACTAAAGTTTAAAGACATGTTGCAGGCAAGACTAGGTCCTCGTGAACCAGATTATAGGTTCCAATTGATAGTTTAGAGCCATACAACATAGTATCCTCTTCTGTACCTTTGGGTTTGGGTATTTTCTCTCATTACTAAATATGGTTTTCAAAGATTAAGTAGCATAACTGCATTTTCAACTGACTGAAAATGGCAGGTATTTAGCTGAGGCCCATGTTCAAGCAATGCAATTTGATGAGGCAGAAAATCTCTGCAAGAAGACACTTGAAATCCACAGGGAGCACAGTGCACCAGCATCACTTGAAGAAGCAGCTGACCGCAGGCTTATGGCCCTTGTGTGTGAGGCAAAGGGAGACTACGAGTCTGCCCTCGAGCTCCTTGTCCTTGCTAGCATGTCAATGATTGCTAATGGTCAAGAAAATGAGGTGGCTGCTATTAATGTTAGCATTGGCAACATTTATTTGTCCGTTTGCAGATTTGATGAGGCAATATTTGCCTACCAGAAGGCACTTACAGTATTTAAATCCACAAAAGGTGAAAGTCATCCTTCTGTGGCATCAGTCTTTGTTCGTCATGCTGATCTTTACTACAAGACGGGCAAGCTAAGAGAATCCAAATCATATTGTGAGAATGCCTTGAGGATATATGCAAATCCTGTACCTGGAACTACATCAGAGGAGATTGCCAGTGGATTGACTGAAGTATCAGCCATCTATGAAGCTTTGGATGAGCCTGAAGAGGCTTTGAAGCTCCTTCAGAAGGCGATGAAGTTACTGGAGGACACCCCTGGCAACAGAAGCACCATTGCCGGAATTGAAGCACAGATGGGTGTGATGCTCTACTTGGTTGGGAGGTATAGGGAAGCTCGAAGCTCTTTCGAGAGTGCTGTGGAAAAGCTCCGTGCTAGTGGGGAGAGTGAATCAGCTTTCTTTGGAATTGTATTGAACCAGATGGGACTCGCCAGTGTGCAGCTGTACAGAATAGATGAAGCGGTCGAATTATTTGAAGAGGCAAGAAGCATATTGGAGCAGGAATGTGGCTCATGTCACTTAGAGACTCTTGGAATTTATAGCAACCTTGCTGCCACCTATGATGCCATGGGAAGGTGAGCATTCTTCGGCATTTATTCCATGTTCTTATTTAAGTCATTAGCCATGTAGTCCCTGTATTTTTTTTAGCTGCTCTGGTTACTTGCTAGGTATCTGTATCTATTATGAAATATCATCGCTGCATATGCAATGAAAATCTTCTTGCATAGGCAGGTTATCTAAGAAAGCATCATAGATAATGGCAATAACCCTCTCATATTAGAAAACGCTTATCTAGATTTACCCACAAGGTGGCAAGGGTAACTTTCTGTCTTGTCAAAATCTCTTGTAAATGAACGTCAGTTATCTTTGAAACATTTTAAACAATTTATGATATTACTGGTTTATAGTTCTTTAGAATGATGTTATTAGTCTAGTTAAAACATTTAAAAGTTAAAAGCAATTTACAATTTGCTCATTTGATGACACAGTAAAAAAGGTCCTTGAATTACATATTGAACTTTTTATATATAGTTGAACTGCATCCACCCCTTCTCTGTTTTGTTTTTTTTTTAATCTGTGACCTCTATAATTCACTTTGGGCCTGCTTTATTGAACAAGAACTTTTGTTATTCACAGGGTAGAAGATGCAATTGAGATATTGGAATACATCCTCAAGATCAGAGAAGAAAGGCTTGGAACAGCAAATCCCGACGTTGATGATGAAAAGAAAAGACTAGCTGAGCTCCTGAAAGACGCCGGAAGGACACGAAACAGAAAAGGAAAATCACTAGAAACTCTTCTTGATGCCAACTCGTATAGAACCAAGAAGGAAAGTGCAAAGAGGCGGTCCATGTTTGGTTTTAGATCTTGACTGAAGCATGACACCTTCTCGCTACCCTTCTTTTATATTTAACATAGAAAATCAGCTAAATATCAAGGGTCTCAACTTAGTGGAACCTTCATGCTCCTTAATACATATGTTCCAAGTTTTTCGTTTCTGCTTAACTTGATTTGATTGTTGATTTGGATTGGATTGGAATTGGATAAATAATTTGTAGTTTTGAATCGATTCAAAGTCGTTAGATATCTTTTGAAAATTTCTATTGTCATGACAATGAATCAACAAATTTTTTTTTTACTCTAAGCTAGTTGTTTAGAGTTAAATTAGCATATTACGAATCCTAACATGATAAAAACTAGTGGTCTAGAGTATAAAAAGAAAGATGCGACTCCGTGCACGAAAGTCTTAAATCACCAGGTTTGGAGAGAATCAATTATATGCAGTCTTATCCCACCTCCACCATTTTGTAAAGAAGCTATTTATGCGAAATAAGGAAAACTCCGAGACCAGACAAATATGGCGAAGAGTGCAAACTCTCCATGAGATCTGCAGTTTGACTCCCAATTCATGGTGTCGTAACATCTAGATATGAGAATTTATTGTTATATATTAACTTGAAGAGTCGTCATCAATATTTTTTATTTAGATGTGATTGATCATCTAATCAAATCTATCTTTTTTGTAGAAGAATCCTAAGTTTGACTTAGGTATCTCTAAAAGATAAATTCAATGTCTACAAAACTAAGACTAGGTCTGGGAATACGGTTATGTGTGAGAAAAGTTATAACACTTCACAACGCCCATCAGAAGATGATATCAGCTCGATTTTATGTTATCCAATAAGCCTTAAAAATTATCAAGTAATTAATTATTAAAAATTATCCTTAATTAACTCTAATACTTTTGATAGAAAATTAAAAAAAATTTTCACCTCAAAAATATGCAAGAAAATTACTGTTTCTCTTGTAGAGGCTCCATTGTTGAATTATTTAACATTTAAAAATTTTTCAAAGAAAGAAAGAAAAAAATGATTCAACTTTTGATATAAATTTTTTTCTTTTTGTTTTATATAAAAAAAACTCATTGATTTTATACAAGAAAAATTGATACTTTTAATTTTTCCTTAAAAATGTTTTTCTTGATAATTTTTATTTTTAAGAAAAATTTGTACTTCCAACTTTTACTCAAAATACTTTTTTCTGAAATTTTAATTTCAAAGAAAATTGATACTTTCAACTTTTTCTCAAAATGTTTTTGAAAATTTTTATTTTAGAAATTTTATTTTTAAGAAAAATTGATACGTTCAACTTTTTCTCAAAACTATTTTTTAAAAAATTTTATTTTTAAGAAAAATTGATACTTTCAACTTTTCCTCAAAATATATTTTTTTTGAAAATTTTATTTTCAAGAAAAATTAATACTTTTAATTTTTCCTTAAAAATGCTTTGTTTAAAGAATTTATTTTATATTTTTTCTATTCTTTTTAAATTTATTCATGCAAAAATACTCTTAAAAATAAACAAACACATAAATAAAATAAAAAATATAAAAAAAATCGAAATGGCTCAGCTGGGAATTCGATGCGGCTCAACTTCAGGCATAGACAACAGCTTGGATGATGCGATTTAGAAACTCGGCTAGCCTGAAAAGATTAGTTGAGGGGCAGGTCAAACTTAGGTCAAAAACGGGTTACGCTACAGGTTGGGTCACTCGAATGGAAACACGCGGATACTAAGTAGTCACTTAACTCCAAAACGACGTTGTTTCAAGGCCCTATAAAATGCCAAATTCCTTCTTTCTACTTCAAATCTTCTCTTCCCCTTCTTTTCTCTTCCTTCTCTTTCTACCCGGATGAACACTGTTTAAATATCAATCGGATTCTAAAAATTATTGTCGAAATCTAGGTTGGGTTGCCGAAAGTTCATCGAAAAATTCAACTTTCATCGGAATCTTTATCGGATTTTAGAATTCCCTATCGAAAAATTCAAACAACATAGAAAAATTCGTCGAAAAATTCAACCGACGTCGAAAAATTCAATGAAAACTAAAAATTTTCAAGAAATTTTTCAGAAAAAAAACTCCAAAAATTCTATAAAAAATCTTAAAAATCCTAAAATTACCTTTGACACCCTCTAAAATTTTTTTGAATTTTGCCTTTTGTTTTCTGCTTTTTTTTTTCTCTATGTGTGTGTCTTTTTTGTTCTCTGTGCCAATTTTATAGTAAAATTTAAAAGAATCCTTGATTAACTCAACCTTTGACAAGATTTTGATATTATCAGAAACTTCATATTTTCTTTAAACAAATTCAATCACTTAAAAAAGTTATCAGCATGCATTCACACGGTAAAATTTTATCTTTTCCTTTTTTTTTGCTGATATCCTAAAATAAAATATAAAAAAAAATAAAAAAAAATAAAAAAAATAAAATAACAAATACCTAGGCCTAATTATTTGGCCCCATTGAACTAGGCCTAATAGGCTTAGGCCCAAATTCTGTTGGCCCAAGCCTAATGAGTTTGGGTTCGGACCGATTAGGGTGTCTACAGCTATCCATTTTTTGTGCAACAGGAATTATGCAAAGACGTAGACACCCCACATATGATCAACCCAACACCTTCATCTTTTTCATTTTTTTTAACAAGTAAACAAAACTCCTCTAAATAGAAGCTCAATGACTTTGAAAAAATAAACAAAGCTCCTCTAAACAGAGGCTCAACGACTTTGAAAAAATAAACAAAGCTCCTCTAATTAGAGGCTTAACAACTTTAAAAAAAATAAACAAGGCTCCTCTAATCAGAGGCTTACAACTTTTGAAAAAATAAATTGCTTCTCGACAGTCATGACCAGAGGAATCATAGATCAGATTTGATAAAATTTGCAATGGATACTCAAAGATTCACAATTTGAGTTTGAAAATAAAAAGTTTGGATTCGTAAAAACCTCTCAGCTTCGCAAGAGCTCAATGAAATTTGATTTTCAAAATTCAGTTTTATAAAGATTCAAATTTACAAGATCTCAAGATTCGCATTTGTAAATTGCAAGATTCGCATCCAACATTTAAATATTCTCATTTGAATTTTGGAGATTCACATCCAAAAGTTTAACTTTTTTCGTTTGAACTCGAAGATTCACATCGAAAAGTTTAAAGCTTCTTATTCTAGTTCAAAGATTCACATCCTAACAAACTTTAGGGTTTCACATCTCAAAAATTCTCATTCGATAAATTTCGGGTTTCACACCTCAAAAAATCTCATTTGAAATTCAAAAATTCTCATTTGAATTCGAAGATTCACATTCGATAAATTTTGGGTTTCACACCTCAAGACCCCACTATCTCACATTGCATAAGTTTCATCAATCAATATCTATTATTTTCATCACTTGACCACCATTCATAGGCTTCTCAATTGTAACTATTTTAGAACAAATTCTATCTATTGATCCATACTATTTTCATCGATTAATCACCATTTACAGGTTTCTTAGCATTAGCCATTCTAGAATGAATTTTGTCCATTGATTTTCATCATTTAATCACAGTACATAGGTTATGTCGATCAATCTATTACCATATTCATCTTTTAATCACATCATCTTTTTAGATTTTATTAAGCAATCCATCAACATGTTCAACATTTGGCCATCCCATATGTCATTTTTCAAGTTTCTGCCATATCTTCATCATTTTTGCCTCCGATCATTCTAGATTTCTTTTCAAAGGAATACAAGAACATTTTAAGCACATATTCATTCATTCATTATCATTTTAATTTTTGACAAACATAATGGAATCATACATTTTCTCAATTTATTCTAAAGATGTGCGAACAAAGAGCACAAGATGCACTAAGAGAAAAGTAATCAATGAGGAGTGAGTTTTGGTACAAAAGTAAATAGAAAAAAGAAACAAGTTGGACGTATGTCATTAGGATAAATAAATATTCAGACAATTTTGAACATTAATTCAAGATTCTTTTTCAAAAACTCATTTCATTGATTGTCGAAATTATTTTGAGCTCATCAAACTTTGCCCAAGCTTTGGAAGATTTTTAGATGCCTTAATCTTTCATATATTTAAAAATTTTCAGCTCAGAGATTTATCTATCCAAATCGCCCTTTTCGAATTTTCAATTTGAATCTTTTTTTTTTTCTCTTTTTTTATTTTTTTTTGTTTTTCTCTTTTTTTCATCCATTTTTTTTCTCTTTCTCTTTTTCATCTTTTTTCATCTATTGTTAATATCTCTTACACATTAATCTTTAGAGCGATATAGTGTGATTCCATTATTTTATCATAAGTATGCCTTCGCTCAACATATGATCATTCAATTCGAGCATTCACACTTGATCCAAATAGACTTTTCAAGATTGTAATATAGGCCATCGTAAGGGATCATAAAAAAAGATAAAATAAGCTCAAAACATTTGTTTAAAGGTTTCAGAACCAAATGATCATTTATTATTTGATGCAACTTGGTATTTTACCCCATTCCATATTATTTTACTATTTTTTTTTCATTGATCTCATTCTTCACAAAAAGATTCTCTTTATTTTGTCCTAAATCATGTGTGGCATTCATTTTTTTTTTTCTTTTCTATCTTTGAGACCTTTTACAATTTTTTTTACCTTTTTTTTTTATAAAAATAACTTCTCAGTATAAAGGGTGATCCTTGATCAGAATTTTTTAAAAAAGAGATCATAATAAGCTCAAAGGGGTAGTAATGAATGGTTTTTCGAATGATAAAAGAAAGATGATCATTTTTCATCTCAAATGCGAATACTTTCTTTGAACATCATCTATTGAACAAAAATAAGCTTATGAATCTTTATAAGAGACTACACTTCTTCAAGTCATATTAATTTCACATCTGCTAGTAACTAGCTTATTTTGCTCAAATAATCTCTTTAAATCAAAGTGAATGAGTTCTCAAAATTAAATCTCAAAATTATTATTATCATTGTCTAAACATTCATCGTTTACAATTCAAGAATGAGAATGAAAAGTTATGAAAGGTGAATAAGCAAGGAACAGTAGTTGAATGAAAAAGAAAATGTAATGAAATGCATTAACTTACCCTTTATTGAAATGATAACAAGTGAAATCATATTGTAAAAAAGAATTCTTAACATTTCTATAAAAGAAATCTTAAAATGACAAGCAGCTTCCAGCAGCCTTAACAACTTTTTCAAAATTATGCCCATGTGTAATTAGGTGAAAGATTTTCATTGACATCTTGTCTCTCTGATTCGTCGAAGCTCACTAAGCCTTTTTGGATTAAACTTTGTACTTTATGTTTGAAAGCATGACAGATTTCAATGGAATGACCTATATTTTTATTGTGATAATCGCACGTTGCACTAGCATCATACCATTTTGGATAGGGTGGCTTTAATGATTCTAGAATAACTGGAGAAACTAAGTTATTCTTGACGAGTTTTGGGAATAACTCAGTATAGGCCATAGGGATAAGGTCAATTTATGCTTTTTTTTGTTATCTCGAGATCTCCTTAAACTACTTGCTTGATTGTTAGGCTTTAAAGTTGATGCAGTGATATGACTAGAATCATATACAGGTACTTGAAAGACTGATTGATAAGTTGGTGAGTTGGTGAGTAAGTTGATTATAGATATGGTTGATATGAGTAAGGTGAAATATTGTTTCCAGCATGATAGAATGGGGGATAACCTTATAGATAGGGTTGATATCCCCTGAATTGTCTACTAAAGCTCACGGCTTGAGCTTCAGTCACTTTTTTCTCAGGTATTTTCTTTGTTTCCCCTTCTTTCAACTTATCATTTTTAATGGTATTTTTAATAATTTCACCATAAATTATCATTTCGATGAAATTTTTTTGTGACATTCTCTATCATCTTTTCATAATAGGAAGATTTCAAAGTATTGACGAACAATGTCATGGTCTCTTTCTCAGACAGAAGATGTTACACCTGAAAAATGATATTCTTCAATCTCTAGGCATACTCTTTAAATGATTTAGTGGCTTTCTTTTTCATATTTTATAAAAAAAGGCGATCTAGGGCCAAGTCTATAATATGCAAGTACTGACTAATGAAGGCATGGGCCATATCACTTCAAAAATGAATACGGGTTTTGTCCAGCTGGACATACCATCTAGTAGCAGAGCCTATAAAGTTATCTTAGAATACATGCATCAATAGCTTCTCATTATTAGCATGGGCATCCATTTTTCGATAGTACACGATAATGTGAGTTTTTGAACACTTTATACCATTATACTTCTCGAACTTTGGCATTTTGAATTTTAGAGAAATTATCACATTTGGGACTAAACAAAGCCCAGCAGCATCTATTGAACCATAAAACCCAATGCTTTTTACATCTCGTAACCTCTCCTCTAACAAGTTCATCTTCTATTCAACTTTTGAAGCTTTTAAAGTCTCCCTTTCTTTGAGCCTCAACTTTTCTTTTTTTTTAGATTACCTAAATTAAAGACTGGTATTGGTTCTACTACCTTTTCAATAAAGACACGATTTACATAACTTTGATACTGCCCTAGATTTGAAGTTGATGGCATTTCAGGGTATGTATAGCCTACATGATAGGTAAACTACTGTGGTGGTGGACCTTGTACGGGTTGAGCTTGATGTGGCTTAAAACTAAGAGGGTACAGTGGGTCATCCTCCTCTTATGAGGGATGGTCTTGTTGGCTAGTATTCTCCTATACATTTTTTCCCTTATTTAACTTGTTCAAAGCCTCTAAAATCCTATTCAACTCCCTTCTAGCTTCTCTTGAACTTTCTCTATCCTCTCAAGATTATTAAAATTTTCTTATTCCATTTGTCTCGCTCGAGCTCTTGTATTGTATTAGTGAGTGAGGTTATTTGGAGAAGCTATCATTGAACCTTTAGCACCACAATTATGATTAAAAATATCATGCTATGCTTTATGTATGATATATTGATGCACGAATGAAATGTGAATCTTCATGGATGAAATAAGAATGATGTAAATGATAATGTTAAAACATGATCATGAAAATGATGCATAGAATGAAATGATACAGATGCACAATGTTACATATGATAATGAAAATGATGCACAAAATCAGACAACCAAAATGGTTAGATAAACACAACTCGTTCTTTCTTGTGTCCTAGTTTTAGGGTATATCTATAATTGGATAGAAGGGCTCTATCTTAGGGTTGGCCTTTTAAATGTACACTATATGTTGGGTTAGACGATTTTGACCACTAAAAGTTCTCAAATTGTTCCTTGCATCATTGTTCATCACAGACTAGTAAAGCAATCCAAACCTCACCTATTATAAGCTACCAACGAAAATGATTCAATTTGAGTAAGAGTTGAACCTCACGAAAGCATAAATACTTTACTCCCTTCTAGAAGGACGAAACTCGGGTATAGAACTAATGTGATGCATATGTATATGAATGATATAATTTGCAACATAAATAAATAAAATGAATGGAAAAGAAAGAAAAAGAGAATAAAAAAAATTCTTACAAAGAATTCAATTTTATTAGGTTTTTTTTGGATAACATGAATTTATTTGCTGGCCTAACTCTCGGCTGTCCCTAGTGGAGTCGCTAAACTGTCATAACTTCTAGATTTGAGGATCTATCGCTAGACATTGACTTGAAGAATCACCACTAATATTTTTTATTTAGGTTCGATTGCTCACCTAACTAAATCTGTCCCTTTTAGAGAGGAATCTTAAGTTCGACTTAGGTATCTTTAAAAGGTAAATTCAATGTCTGTGAAACCAAGATTAGGTCCGAGAGTATGGTTACGTGTGAGAAAGGTTATAGCACTTTCACAACGTCCATTAAAAAATGGTTCCAGCTCGATTTTGTGTATCCTATAAGCCTTAAAAATTATTAAGTAATTAATTATTAAAAATTATCCTTAATTAACTCCAATACTTTTGACAGAAAATTAAAAAAATTTCCTCACCTCAAGAGTATGCAAGAAAATTACTGTTTTTCTTACATTTTTTGTAGATGCTCCATCCTCGGATTATTTAACATTTAAAAGTTTTCCAAAAAAAGAAAAAAATGATTCGACTTTTGATATAAATCTTTTTCTTTTTGTTTTATATATAAAAAAAAATCATTGCTTTTATACAAGAAAATTGATACTTTCAACTTTTCCTTAAAAATATTTTTTTTAATAATTTTTATTTTTAAGAAAAATTGGTAATTCAAACTTTTTCTCAAAATGCTTTTAGAAATTTTTATTTTAAAATTTTTACTTTTAAAGAAAATTGATACTTTCAACTTTTCCTAAAAATATTTTTAAAAAATTTTTGTTGTCAAGAAAAATTGATACTTTCAACTTTTCCTAAAAAATATTTTTTAAAAATTTTATTTTTGAGATAAATTGATACTTTCAATTTTTTTTCAAAAATATATTTTTAAAAATTTTATTTTCAAGAAAAATTGGTACTTTCAACTTTTCCTAAAAAATGTTTTTTTAATGAATTTATTTTATATTTTTTTCTATTTTTTAAAATTTATTTATGTAAAAATACTCTTAAAAATAAACAAACACATAAATAAAATAAATAAAATATAAAATACAAAAAAAAAGTCGAAACGGCTCGGCTGGGAATTCAGCTCGACTTGACTTCAGGCACAGACAAAGGCTTGGATGATGCGGCTTGGTAGCTCGACTCGACTGGAAAGATTGGCTGAGACGCCGATCAAACCCTGGTCAAAAGCAGGTTGCACTGCTGGTCGGGTTGTTCAAATGAAAATGCACGGATCCTAGGTAGTCACTTAGCTCCAAAACGATGTCGTTTTAAGGCCCTATAAAACACCAAATTCCTTTTTTTTTGCTTCAGATCTTCCCTTCCCCTTCTATCTCTTCCCCTTTCTTTTTTTCCTTCTCTCTCTACCCAGATGAACACCTGTTAAATATTAACCGAATTTAAAAATTATCATTGGAATTTGGGTTGGGTCGCCAGAAGTTTACTGAAAAATTCAACTTTGACTGAAATCTTTATCGGATTCTGAATTTTTCGTTGAAAAATTCAAACGGCGTAAAAAAATTTACCGAAAAATTTTACTGACGCCAAAAAATTCAACAAAAACTGAAAATTTTCTAAAATTAAAAAAAAAACTCCAAAAATTCTATAAAAAATCTTAAAATTGCCTCTGACACCTTCTAGAAATTTTTTGAATTCTGCCTTCTATTTTTTGCTTTCTATTTTCTCTCTGTGTGTGTCCTTTTTGTTCTCTGTGCCAATTTTATAAAAAAATTTGAAAAAATCCCTGATTAACTCAACCTTTGACAAGATTTTGATATTATCATAAATTTCTAATTTTTCTTAAACAAATTCAATCCCTTAAAAAAGCTACCAACATGCATTCATTAGTTAAAATTTGATCTTTTTTCTTTTGTTTTTTTTGCTAATATCTTAAAATAAAATAAATAAATAATAAAAATAAAAATAAAAAATAAGAATAAAATAAAATAAAATAACAAACACCTAAGCCTAACTATTTAACATAATTTAATCAAGTCTAATGAGCTTAGGTCCAAATTCTATTAGACCATAGTCGAATTTGGGTCTAGACCGATTAAGATATCTACACGTGGGCTCAAGAATTAAAGTATGATGATGATACTTCCTACTTGTGCAAAGCAGCAAATGAAAGCATTTTCCATGCGAGACCGCTACCTTAACAGCAAATGGGCAGTAAAAGAATATTGTATTACTCCTAGGACTCTGACCTCTGTCTAGCTTGGAGGCCAGGACCCATCGACCATGTGCTGCTTGTAGGATGCTACGCAGAGTTGCGACAGTTACTGCATTCTTTCCCTATATTTCTCAGGTAAAAAGATTAAGAAGTTTGCCCGGGTGCATAAGGTTTTTGGTGCTACCAATGTTATCAGAATGATTCAGGTTGGTAGCAATATCATTAGTACATTCTTTAGTTGGTTTTGTTGAATTGACAATGACATTTTTCTGTGACAAGAGATCTCTTGTCATGTTAATTTGTAAATCCAAGATATGGTTATGACATATTGATATACCAGATGGTTGAGGAAACAAACAGGGAGGATGCTGCCGAAGCGCTATTCTATGAAGCAACAGCAAGGATCAGAGACCCTGTTTATGGTAGCACAGGAGCTATTTTCCAACTGCAGAAGATTGTTCAAGAGCTTAAGATGCAGCTTGAATCAACAAAAGCTCTAGTGTTGGAGTTGCAGCAGCAAAAAGATCAGTTGTTGGGCATTCTTCTGAATGTTAATCATCTTGACCATAGCGGCAGTTTGTCGCTGGACCATGATGATTCTATGGCCTATCATCCAGCCAAATTCCCTGTAGAATGTAACTGGATCTTTGAATACCCCATTAAATGTTGGAAGATCTAATCAGAACCCTATTAATTGTTGGAAATATATACACTGAAATTCAATTTGAGAATAAGAAAACCATCTACTCGTATTATTGATTTGATCCTAAGATTTGTTTATGTTTCTGAGTGCTTATAGTCTTCTAAACTTCTAGCCAAATACAAAAAAGAAGAAGAGTGTATTTCAATTTGATCAAAATGCCTTAATTCTTATAATGAACCACACAGCCACATCTATACTAATAATTTAATTGAACATTAAAAATAATAAATTGATCATCTACTTATCCCTTATTCTTAATATTTAAAAAACAATTATTATTTAAATGTAATTTAATACTAATTATCATAGTCTATAAATAAAAAATTAATTTAACATTTCTATCTCAGATTTCACTTTTCAACAGAAACGAAAAAAAAAAAAAAAAAGACAAGATAGACACTCTGTAAATTGCTCTTTCTTCTCGTCCTTGTTCTCTCTTCACTATTGAAACGACATGGCAGGGGCAACTTCCACTTCTCAAAACGCAACCTTCGATTCCGAGGTGGATCCCATCGACCACCTCCCGCTTTCCCTCCTCAGATCCGAACTCATCCCGCCTGCCGCGAACCTATCCGAATCCTCCATCGACTGGCTACCTGACTTTGCCGGTTACTCATGGGTTGCCTACGGATCCTCCTCTCTCCTTGTGATCTCTCACTTCCCTTCCCCTCTCTCCTCCGAACAAACTCTTATGGGCCCCATTTTCCGGCAAGTCTTCGAGCTTTCTTCCGGCGCTTCTTCCCCTGTCACCGCCGTTTCTTGGTCTCCGGTCACGCCTTCGGCGGGCGAGCTCGCGGTGGCGTCGGAGAATTGCATTTGCTTGTTCTCTCACGACTCGGCAACGTCGAATTCCAAAGGTATGTTGAGTTATTTTGAAAGTTACTGTCGGAGTTTGGAAATTTAAATTTTGCTCGTTGAGTTAATAAGTTTTTGTGCATTTGCAAATTTTGAGCTATACAAATTAGGGTTTAAACAAACTTTAAATGCCTTGGACATCTTAAATTGGAATTTCCTGTTTCACTGATTCAGGTTCTTTTTGTTGGAGCCAGAATGCAGTACTTTTACAATGTACAAAAGTTGAGGCAGTTGAATGGACGGCCTCTGGGGATGGGATAATAGCCGGTGGATTCGAGGTTGTTCTATGGAAAAGGAAGAGTAAATCCTGGGAAATAGCTTGGAAATTCAAAGCAGATAAGCCTCTAACTATGGTTTCTGCCTCCTGGTCCATAGAAGGCCCTTCCGCAGCTGCATCTTATACACTGATCGAACGAGGAGGATTCAATGAGCCTAGCAAGTCTGTTTTGGTATTTTACAGGGATGGAAGTTCTGGATTTGCAAAAACCATGTTAGCCCATCCCCAACCTGTTTCAATGATTCAATGGAGACCATCGGCAGGGAAACAATTTTTGAGAGATGCAATACATTTGCGGAGACATATATTGTTAACTTGCTGTTTAGATGGAACTGTGAGGTTATGGAGTGAGGTAGACAATGGTAGAGTTAAAAAAGCAGGCAAGGATGGTAGTTATGATCATAAAACTACAAGACGGTCCTTTTGTGTTGCTGCTGTAATTGAGATAGATTGTTCATTGTGTGGAACTTTAGGGGTGGATATATTTTTAACATGGGCAATGGAAATTGGCGGTATAGTTAAAACCTGTGAAGAAATTAACCAGTATTTCTGTACAGAAGGATACAGGCGTGAAGTTGGTAGGTGTGAGTGGTTAATAGGGTTTGGTCCTGGAAAATTGGTTACTTTCTGGGCAATCCATTGTCTTGATGACATATCTCCAATGAGGCCCCCTCGAGTTACATTGTGGAAGAGACATGAGCTTCAGGGCCGTGATGGACTTTCAACATTAAAACAACAATTACTTCTTAAAAAGGCTGTTATCATGAGAAATTCTTTGTCTGGACCACCAACTGTATGCTCTTTGATTCATTTATTTCCTTCTAAATCTTTGGTCTGGTCCATGTTATATACCAAAACATCAAATGATACAGAGGATCCTAGTGGCTCCGGGACAGAGAATTTTTTATCATGTTCAGTAGGTGGAATTTTAGATATAGATGGTCATACCAGGACAATCTTACAAGTTGCTATACACCCCTATGTCTGTGAAGTTGAATTGGCTGTTTCTTTGGATTCTAATGGGCTACTTCTCTTTTGGTCACTTTCTACCAATTCCAATGGCATTCTTGACCTTCCAACATTGATTCCCGCTTGGAAAATTTGTGGAAAATTTGCAACTCAAGATAAATGTTCTAAATATACAAGCTTGAGTTGGGCACCTTTAGTATTGGCCGAAGATCAGGTTCTTCTTATGGGACATGTTGGAGGAATCGACTGCTTTGCAGTAAAGATTTTTCATGGTGAAGAAGATGATGTACTATGTCACTACATATGCACTATACCTTTTACAGGTCATGATCCTTATGTGGATGGTCCAACTAACATATATTCAGTACCCTTGTCTTTGTCTTGTAATAAAACTTCCATGTGCAATGGGTTTTTGCTTTTGGGCATATGGATGAAAGAGTTTCGGGCTCTTTCCTGGGAAATAACCATGCACACTTATGAGCTGACTGGAAGCTACTCTGAATGTAAATTCAATGATAATAATGTTGGTGAATGCAGCATGATGAAATTTGAAAATACTATTTCTGGTACAAGATATTGTCTTCATGTTGTTCCTTCCTCAGCGCAGTTGCCTGAACCTCATCTTTGTGATCAGGTCACAAGTTTTGCTGTGATCTCTCCTGGTGGTTTGACACCTGTGCAGCAAAAATTACCTTTTGATAATGATCCATATAGTAGTAAATGTCCTGCATATGTTATGGCCACAGGATGCTCAGATGGTAGTTTAAAATTGTGGAGATGTAACCCCTACGAACCATCAATTTCTCACACACCATGGGAGCTTGTGGGTATGTTTACTGCTCATCAAGGTCCCGTCAGTGCTATATGTTTGACCACTTGTGGTAGGAAGATTGCATCCATTGGCTCAGATAGTCCGTCAAATGCTGTCTGCAATCTTTGTATATGGGACTCTATACACCTGGTAAACTCGGGGACTTTTATGTTAGAGGACACATGGTCCCTTGATGAAGATGTTGTTGCTTTAAATTGGTTAGCCCTAGGAAATGGTCAGTTATTACTTGCTGTTTGCATGCACAATGAGTTACGGGTATATGCTCAAAAGCGTTGTGGTGGTCATGCTTTGTTAAACTCTAAAAAGTCTCTGGGTATTCAAATCTGGTTCTGCATTGGGATCAGTCATACTTTTTCTGTTATTCACGATTTCTTGTGGGGGCCCAGGACCACAGGTGTGGTTGTCCATGCTAGTTACTTGAGTCTTTTAAGTCCATGGCTGTTCCTTTTAGACAAGAAACATCGGACTGAATACTCTGAAATTGGTATGGATGAGGGCACCTTTTCTGAAATATTATGTGATCATGATGATGTTAATCACATAGAAACATTAATTGCAAACAGTAATGGAGGATGCAAGTCTGGCCTTCTTAAGAAGATGAATACAAAAAATGCTCACCTATCCAGTGCATTTTTAGTTGGAAAGGCTCAATTGAAACTTAAGTCAAAGATCTTACTTGGTTTCTGGAGCATGCTAGACATAGTGGAGACATTAGCAGGAGTTTTGCCTGTTTATCACCCTGAGGCACTCTTTGCCAATATATATATAGGTAATGGTACATTTTCTTTTAAATTCTCAAGTTTGACTCTTAGATGAAGAAGATACTATCTGTGCCTGATTTTTCCATGATTATTGGTGCTGTGTCATTATTGGAACAGAGTAGTGCTTTTGCATTGACCTGTGTTTCTTAATTTACATCCGGGGTTACATGTCACTTGACAAAGAAGATAAGAGTGTTGTTGGCTAATATTTTTCACTGCAATGATATTTAATCGATGTTGAATGCCTTTCTACTATATCTAATTATTCATGCGCATCTGATTATGCCACTCTTCTCTCCTTCAATCAGATATCTAGAATTCCTTTATATAGATCTCAAATGTTTCTGTGCTATGAAAGAATTAAGCAGCCTATATAGCTTATACTCATTTTTGTTTGTTTCTTTTAACCTTACCATGGCTTGGCTAGCCTAGGAGAAAGTCTGCTAGTATTTAGCTCATCTTGCCTTCATGTTGCCAGCATGAGACGCTAATTCTAGGAGCCACTTGCATTTTATTCATCTAAGTTGACGTTTTAAACTGAAATTCTGCTGGTTTGAGTCACTTTTAAGATTTTATTACTCTGTGAAAGATGAGAATAATAATAATGTTTTCTATATTTTAAACACTCTTTCAAGATTGTTTATCAGGCCAAAATAAGCTTTTTCTTCTCTGCTTCTCTTCTATTTTGTTGCACTCACTGCACACCGGTTGTCTATTGCATGATATGTATGGATAACTGACATTGGGACTTACGAGAGCATTTGCATTATTGAGAGGGTTTAAAGTCTAGTCAGAGTTTGCTTAATAAGTAATTAGCTTGCATTCTTGGAGGGAAATGACAACCTTTGCATTAGCTTTAGCTAAAAACTATTTACAATGACAAATATATCTGGAATATGTGCACAATTGTTGGTTATATACTTGAAATTATCATGTTCATTAATTTGGCTTGGCTGTTCTTTGAGTAGGCTTTTATAAATTGTTTTCATGAGGCTGCTAATGTCAGGTTACCTAAAGCATGTCATCTTCAATGTGTTTAGGCAATTGGAAACGTGCATTCATCTCTGTGAGGCATCTGGTTGAATATCTTAATTCTCGTTATATTTCTGAGAAGAGGGGTTGCCATCCTAAGAATAGCAATATTATTCCACAGATGCCTTTGTCCAATTACGTTGAAGTGACTCTCTCTAAAAGTTCAACTGAGAACACATTCCAATGGGGTGGGAATGCTACTTTCATGACATCATCCTCACAATTTCAAAGTGGCATGATGCAATTTGCTTATGATTTGGCACCTGAAGCTCCCAGCAATATGGTCAGCTTGTCTTCAACAAAATCTGGACTTAGGGACTTCCTTGAGCCTATTAATAAGTTGCATGAGTTGGCAGCTATAACCGCAACAGAGAAGATGCAAATTCTTGCAATCATAGATTTTCTAAATGAAGTTAGTAATCTTCAGTCTGCTTCTATGTATGAACATCTTGATGAATCAGGTCGAAGGTACTGCTTGATCTTTGCTATCTTTATGTATGATTCTCAGAAATCTTATAGGAGATATACTTATCTTAGAATTTTATATTCTGCTCAATCTTGGTAAATGAGAGTGTGAGGTGGAACCATATTAGGTTCAAGATTTTGCTTATTGCCCTCAAAAAACAAAATGTTTGTTTCTTAATAGTACCATCCTGAAGTTTATTTGTTGCCTTGAAAATTTGTGGTTGTTTTCTGGCTATAGGTTTCATATTTATTGCTTTATTGCACTTTCAACATCACATTCTTTTTTTGCCTTAAAGTTGTCTCTCATACTGGTTCTTTTCTTTATATTTCTGCAGATTTTGGGTCACATTAAGGTTTCAGCAGCTGTATTTTTCTCAAAGGTATGGTAGATCACCATCTTTGGAAGAGCTTGTGATTGACTCTGAGCTTATAGTTTGGGCATTCCACTCCGATTGCCAGGAAACTTTGTTTGGTTCTGTTCTACCAAATGAACCATCTTGGGAAGAAATGCGGAATTTGGGTGTTGGATTTTGGTTTACTAATGCAACACAGCTGCGCACAAGGGTAATTATCTGATATTTTGATTATTAAGAAACACCTCATCTCAATGGCAAACAAGGATTTTGTTCTTTATTCTGCTGGAATAGTACTTTTTCCATAATATCTAAATACAATCTGGCACAAATTATCAATTATGCTTTATTATGGCACCATTCCACTTAATAATGAAAAAAAGGGGAGTGGTGGTGGGATGGGGGGCAGGAATGAACAAACACTTCAAGCGAGGATCCTGTCATTGAGGGATTCTATGTGGTCTATCCTTGAAGGTACTGCAACACCTAATTTAGTAGTTGAATCAGACTTGTGATACGCAATTGCCGGCTTGTATACCAATTTTAATACTGCAACAAGGTGTGTTTATCTCATTGGGATTTATGTAAAAGTAACAATCTGAGTGAATTGTTAGTCTTGTCAAAAGATTCCCTTGTTAGGAGGCTGAGTGTAAATAGCAGGTTAAAGGCAGGTTAGTTTTGAAGTAGACTTCTTCTCTTTTATATTAGCAGTATTGGAGGTAATTTCTTTTTTAAAATAATAACATTGCACATAAATTTAAGGTTAATTTTGTTTAGTTGTTGCCATGACATCATATGGTCACTGGTTTAGGTGCTTAAAAGCACAACAGAAAGTGTGGAAATTGAATGTATATTGAAAAACTGCTTATTTTCAATTATACAAGAATCTTAGGTTTATATACAACTAACTAGGGGTTAAATTAGGAAACTAAATCTTCCTTAATTCTAGGGATACAAATACTTAATTCTAGAGATACAAATATAAATATACAGATTACAAGATTACAACCAGCTGTAAATAAGTGTTTTCCCACACTCCCCTCAAGCTGGTGAATAGGTGTTTTCTATTCTCAGCTTGGAAATAATTTCTTGAAATGTTGCACTGCTGAGACCTTTAGTCAATACATCTGCAAGTTGACCCTTGGTTGATACATAAGGTGTACAAATCAACCCACTGTCTAGTTTCTCCTTTATGAAATGCCGGTCTACTTCAATGTGTTTTGTTCTGTCATGTTGCACAGGATTGTGTGCAATGCTTATTGCAGACTTTGTTATCACAGTAGAGTCTCATTGGTCCATCCCACTTGATCTTCAAGTCTTCTAGATAATCTTTAATCATAGTAGTTCCAAATTCCTTGAGCCATTGCTCTGAACTCTGCTTCAGCACTTGATCTTGCCACCACATTCTGTTTTTTACTCTTCCAAGTCACAAGATTACCACCTAAGAAAGTGCAGTAGCCTGAGGTAGATCTTCTATCAGTTACTGAATCTGCATAATCAGCATCTGTATATGCTTCTAAAACTAACCCCGAATCTCTTTTGAATAAGATACCTTTCCCAGGATTGGCCTTCAAATAGTGCAATATACGGTAGACAGCCTGTAGGTGCACTTCTTTAGGACTATGCATAAATTGACTTACCACACTCACAGCATATGCTATATCAGGTCTAGTATGTGAGAGATAAATGAGTCTTTCAACTATTCTTTGGTACATCTCTCTATTTACAGCAGCATCTTCATTAGCTTCTCCAATTTTATGATTAGGATCTATAGGGGTATTTGCAGGTTTACATGCAATCTTCCCAGTTTCCTTCAGAAGATCCATCACATATTTCTGTTGTGAGATAAAAATACCATGCCGTGAGTGAGCTACTTCAATTCCTAGGAAGTACTTCAATCTCCCAAGCTCTTTTATCTCAAATTCTCTAGCCAAACACTATTTTAGAGATTCTCTCTCTTTTTCATCATCTCCAGTTACAATTATATCATCAACATACACTAATAGAACTGTGACTCTCCCTGAATCAGAGTGCTTGATAAACAATGTGTGATCTCCTTGACTCTGTTTATATCCCATTGCTAGCATCACTTTGGCAAATCTCCTGAACCAAGCTCTAGGAGACTGTTTAAGGCCATATAAAGCCTTTTTTAGCCTGCATACTTTGTTTGCTTCTAGATGACCTCCAAATCCCGGTGGAACCTTCATATATATTTCTTCTTCCAAATCACCATGTAAAAAATTATTCTTTACATCAAATTGTTGAAGCTACCAATTGTAATTTGCAGCCAATGATAACAAAATCCTAACTGTATTCATCTTGGCAACTGGAGCAAAGGTTTCCTGATAATCCACTCCATAAGTCTGAGTGTAACCCTTAGCCACTAACCTGGCTTTATACCTTTCAACAGTACCATTTGCCTTGTATTTTACAGTGAAAACCCATTTATATTCCACTGAATTTTTTCCTTTAGGCAACTCTACCAGTTCCCATGTCTGATTTTTCTCTAAGGCTTCAATTTCTATTTTCATGGCTTGCCTCCATTTCTCACTGGATAATGCCTCGGATAATGTAGTTGGAATAGAAATAGTGTTTAGGCTCACAAGAAAATTTTTGTGGGATGGTGAGAATTTTTCAAATGATACAAAATTAGATATTGGGTATAGTGGATGCTTGGTACATTCTCTGGTTCCTTTCCTAATGGCAATAGGCAAATCATAATCACTAGTTATAGTTTTAGGAGATTCATGCTCATTTTGAGAAACAGAGTCAAAAACTGTAGTTACCTCATTTCCAAAGTTAGGATCAGGTTCTTGGACTGGCACTGGTTCAGGATCTGGAACTTTCCTTCTTGAGTACACTTGTAATTCCTTCATAGAATCAAGAACAATATTATCCTTTGTCACATCTTCCGTATTTGGAATGGGTTCAGACTCAAATTCAATGTTTGACTTGGGCTCAGCAAAAACAGGTTTCGACTCATAAGAATTAATGGGTGTAAATGTTGAAGAAAAGGGGCAAATCAAGCAAAAAGAAGTCTTTATCCTTATCTTCCATGAATGAAGTCTCCCCCTGAAGATAAGGTTGAGTAAAAAATGGTTTATTTTCTTCAAAAGTGACATCTGCAGACACATAAAATTTTTTGGTAGGAGGATGATAGCACTTATATCCTTTTTGAGTTGAAGCGTACCCCACAAAAATAAACTTAATCGCTCTTGGATCCAACTTTCCCTTGTTATGACTGTGAACATAAACAAAAGATGTACAACCAAATATCCTAGGTGCGAGATTGTTTGTGGTATTGAGGTTGGGATAAAATTGTAAGAGTAGTTCCATAAGAGTTTTAAATCCCAAAACTCTTGAAGGTAACCTATTTATAATGTGTGTGGCAGTGAGAACAGCTTCCCCCCAATAAGATTTAGGTACATTTGCTTGAAAAAGAAAGGCTTGGGTTGTGGCTAATAAATGACTGTTTTTTCTCTCTGCCACTCCATTCTGCTATGGAGTATTAACACAAAATGACTCATGGATAATCTCCTCTTTTTGGAAATAGGTGGATAGACTCTGGTTGAAGTAGTCTCTTGCATTATCAGACCTAAATCTCTTGATTCTTACTTCAAATTGATTTTGGATCATGTTTTGGAAGCTTAAAAACACACTATTCACATCTGATTTGGATTTAAGTAAAAAAACCAAGAGACCCTAGTACAATCATCTATGAATGAAACAAACCATCTCGCACTAGAAATATTAGGAATTGTAGAGAGACCCCAAATGTCATTATGAATCAAGTAAAATGGAGTAGAACTTCTTTTGTTACTTATTGGAAAAGACACACGTCTATGTTTTGCAAATTCGCAAATATCACAATGAAAATCTTCAACATTTAATTCTTTGAACAAAGAAGGAAACATGTTTCTCAAGGTTCCAAAAGAAGGATGTCCAAGACGAAAATGATAAAGCCAGATTTTGTCTTTATTGAAAGATTTTTCAGAAAGAAATGACAAAGGTAAACTATTTTTTATACTACTTGTGTTATTTGATGTCTCAAGATAGTATAATCCATCCTTCTCCTTAGCAAGTCCAATCATCTTCCCTGAACTCTAGTCCTGAAATTCACAATAAGAGGGATAAAAAGTTACTTTGCAATTCATATCTCTGGTAAGTTTTTGTATAGATATCAGATTAGTAGACAATCCAGGAACATGAAGAACATTTTTGAGAACAAACGAGGGATTAACTTGAACATCTCCTAATCCTGCCACTGTGGTAAGTGAACCATCAGCAACAACAATTTTCTTATTACTAGGACATAGGTTATATGTACTAAACTTTTGTGGGGAATATGTCATGTGGTCTGTGGCTCCTGAGTCAATGACCCAAGAACTCGTAATAGGCTTAGCCGAGACATTTAATCCATGAGAACCGGAAGCTTTACCTGAACTAGAAACTTTACCCAAAGAACATACCATAGTAGGCTTTTCAAGGATTTTCAATAAGTTTCTCAGCTTTTCAATCTCTTCCCTGTTGAACTCTCCTTGTTTCTGAGACATCTGTAGTACTCCAGTGATTTTTCCAGTCAACATTTCCTCAAATTGGGTGATAGTGATATCTTTCTTTGAAAGGGTTCGGCAATAAAGGCCTAAACAGGATTCGACAATGAAGGCCTAAAAAAGTCGGCAATGAAGGCCTAAAAAAGTCAGCAATGAAGGCTGAAAATTTTTCTTCCCAAGAAGAGCCTAAAGCTCTGATACCATGTGAAAATTGAATGTATATTGAAAAACTGCTTATTTTCAATTATACAAGAATCTTAGGTTTATATACAACTAACTAGAAGTTAAACTAGGAAACTAAATCTTCCTTAATTATAGGGATACAAATACTTAATTCTAGAGATACAAATATAAATATACAAATTACAAGATTACAACCAGCTGTAAATAAGTGTTTTCCCACAGAAAGAAATTTAGATTTCCCAGTTTCCCATCTCAGTTTTGATAAATGTTGGGGTTTTGATATGCATAACCAGAAAGTGACGAAAATTCATGTTCTATTTGAGTGATAGATTTCCCCTTGATCCATGGACTCCATGCAACTAGCAAACTTCGTTAGATATGGACTTAATTTCGGTGTCAATCCCTAAGTTAAAGTCTAAATCTTGTTTGGGCTGCTTTCAATGAACTAAAAATTGTGATTGATTCATTGTTGAATCTGGTTACAACTTTTCTGGTCTGTGTACTTGAATGTGCAACTAGCAACTGTATTCCTCTTTTTGCATTTGGTTGAATTCTGCTGAACAGTTTTCATCAGAAGATTATTGGCAACTCTTTTCTACAAACCACACCCCGCCCCACCCCTCAAAAAAAAAAAAAAAGATGTACTTTAATTGATTCTGATGTTGTCCATCTACTGCAGATGGAGAAGTTGGCTAGAATGCAATATCTTAAGAAGAAAGATCCAAAGGATTGTACTCTGCTGTATGTAGCACTAAATAGACTTCAAGTTTTGGCTGGTCTATTTAAAATCAGCAAGGATGAGAAGGATAAACCATTGGTTGGATTTCTTTCACGAAATTTTCAGGTATTTTGTAAATGTAGGCTGTTGACTTTTTTATTTAATTTGTTGGAATATATATGAAAGTTTGTTAGAATAGCATCATTTTATGCAACATAGATCTCTATTGCATTAATGTTGTTCTGTATCCATTTTGTTTATTGTTACAGGAGGAGAAAAATAAGGCGGCAGCTTTGAAAAATGCTTATGTCTTGATGGGGAGACATCAACTGGAGCTGGCTATTGCTTTTTTTCTGCTTGGAGGTGATACTTCTTCTGCAGTTACTGTTTGTGCAAAGAACCTTGGGGATGAGCAGCTAGCACTAATAATATGTAGACTTGTTGAGGGGCGAGGTGGATCATTAGAGCGTCACTTGATTAAAAAGCTTATACTTCCATCTGCAATTGAGAGAAGTGACTATTGGCTTGCAAGCCTTCTAGAGGTGCTTGGAAATGAACTTTTGAATTTTCACATTTTTCTTGCAGAGATGTCTTGGATAATAGTCCATGTTTTACATTTCAACTGTCACATGCCATGACTTTTAGTGATCCTTGGTTTGCAGTGGGAATTGGGGAATCATTCTCGATCTTTCCTGATCATGCTAGGTATACAAGTGGATTCTGCTATTGATGCATCCACTCTTTCATCCTGTCATGTTGCTTTCATGGACCCCAGTATAGGTCTGTATTGCCTCACACTAGCAAACAAAAATAGCATGAGGAACGCTGTAGGGGATCAGAATGCTGGAGTCCTTGCTAGATGGGCATCTTTGATGACTGCTACTTCATTAAACAGATGTGGGCTGCCTGTAAGTTTATTTTGCTGCATGTTTGCTTAATTAGGGGAAGATAACAACATCAAATGAGAAATAGGTTCTTAATTGTTTCTTATATTTTTTGCCTGTTTGTGAGCATATACTAATCATGTGATGATAAAAGATAATTGATTTTTTCCCGATTTCTTATTTTAAGCTTGAAGCCTTGGAATGTCTTTCATCTTCTCTGAGTATTCTTGGGGGTACAGATCGAGAGAATGTATCAGATTTTGCATGTTCTAAAACTTCACTGGGAATTTTGAAACCTTTTATCAGTGATTCCCCTTCCTGGATATTGGGTGATGTTGCTTCACATCTTGAGTCTTACACTAAATTAGATTTGGCACTCCAATATATCTCAAAGTTGATGAGGGAGCATCCTAGTTGGCCTCGAACCTGCATTAGATCTGCTGGAGTGAACACTTGTTCTGAGGATTATGAGAATCAATATCATAAACTACTTGAAACTTTTCAGCATAAGTTGCGCACAGGGCTTGCGCAGTTTGAGAAGTTCTCATTGGTTTCATCCTGCCTAATTAATATGGTATGCAGTTTCTTCATTCCTTATACGTGTTTTTCTTATTTGGCCAATGTTTATGTATGATTTGTATAAAATTTCTCCTTTTTTCAGATTTTTGTCTTATTGTACAATAATGGGTTTTGGTTCCTTGGATATGATATATTACATGGGTATTCTCATGAGCACTCCCAGTATGAGAATCATATAGTTGACTATTCCCTCTGGTATTCCCTTTTCCACAAGCAACTTTTGAAGGTGACTGAGGATATCTCCTTATTGTTTTCGCATTTTATTGCTGCCTGCGGCATAACCTGGTCCCCATCAAAATCATGTTATATGGAAAATGGAGTGTCCCGTGAAGTTAGGTCCAACTGGGTAGATGCCTGGAGGTGTTACTTTCAAGGGGTCAAACTATCATTGTGGAGTTTAAGAGCTGCTATGAGAATTTTCTCTGGCATCTTCAAAGGGGTTGTGACCCAGGAACTTCTTACTCTTCTTGATTTGTATGAATATTATGCACATTTTGCATCTGCTTGGCTTCAGAAAAATTCAGAAGGTTTAGTTCTGATGGTGCAACCCCTCTTAATTACATATACTAATGGGCATACTCCTTACGAAGTTGATATGTCAGCTCTGAAGAAAATGTCTCACCAGGTTCTGGATACAGTGACTCACAAGACATTGACTGATGATTTAATAGGTGGCCTTGAGGTTGACAGATGTGCAGAAGACAAACAAGTTGCGGAGCTATTGCATTCAATTCCAGAGGATGAGAGATGGCATATAATAGGGGCTTTTCTGTGGCAACACATGTCCAGATTCATGAAACATAAACTGAATTCATTAGCCATTTCGGATGACAGTTATCCTTCTGGTTTTTCCCATGATAAACTTTCTTCTTGTGCTGCTGGTTCATTGGATTTTGAATCAGATAGCAAGAGCATAAGAGAAAAGATTAAGTCATCATCATGGATATTGGCTAAGTTACTTAAAATTGCACTTGAACATATTTCTTCTTACCATGTGAAACAACTTGGGTTGTTCTTGCAGCAGAAAATAGATAATGGATTTCACCTTCCTACTCATGTGTGGTTGGAGGAATTTAGATTGTCTTCTAGGGCTACACATCAGCCTTTAACTCAGGGTAAAGACATAACAAACAGCACAAATCAACTTTCTGGATTTGATATCTTATGGAATATGTGTGCTGATCCTATTATGATAACAGAAAGTTTTGCTCAAGAGAAAATAAATTGGTCAAGTTATTTTCATTTTAAGCCTTCCCAAGGATGGGGTGAACTATACAAAGACATTACAGGGGAGCCTGAAAGTGATGAGTCCCATAATCCTGAAGGCAGAACAAGCAATAGTTCTTTCAGTGGTGAAGCTGGATCACCTTCTAGGAGTATGTTTCGGAATGGCCATACTTTTCTAAGTTCCTGGCAGAAAGATACAATTATGGAAAAGGAGGTCACACCTTTCCAAAACCCGAAAGAAATATATAAGAGAAATGGGGAGCTTTTAGAGGTAGTACTTCTAATTTCTTTTTCCTTATTGCAGATAGAATAGAATGGGTTTCCATATCATTTCCTGAATTTGTAATTCTCTTACCATTTTGTTTTCCTCAGGCATTGTGTGTCAACTCCATTGATCAAAGACAAGCCGCACTAGCTAGCAACCGAAAGGTTAGTCCATGTGTTCCAACTTCCAGCCCCATTTTTCATAACCAGTAGATGAAATTTTTTCTCCCTCTTGAAAACCACTTTTCTTGCCAGAATATTTATTAGGGGTTGCAAATACAAGGTACACCTTTAAGTTGTTAGCCATTTGGTGAAGTGTGTGATATCCATGGTTTGCTTGCAGTTATACATAACACACACATACCCATTGAGATTTCAATTGAAGTGGTTGAATTGCTAATATGCCTTGACTCAACAAAGGAATGGGAAAAGATTTGGAAATAGCCAATTTTCCATTGTGCACCCAGCTGATCAATCCTGCTGTGGAAGACTTCAACTGTTAAGAGTTTAGCTTTCTTCATCATGGAGTTGCTTCTGGACCAACATATACATTAAATGACAGTAGTAGCCTTTTAGAAGCACCATCTCTGATTCTGTAGGGCTGGACCTAGAAGGTTGCTTTATGCTTCAATGCTGAAGTGACCATTCTGTCACATCATTGTGATACTGATCAATGTTGGAAGACAGTTTTTCTCCTCTTCTCTAGTTTCCTATAAATTACTTGCATGTGTTCATATGTGAAGAGTAATTAACAAATAAATTCTGTGAAGAGTACTTAACAAATAAATTCTATCTGATTCAGGGCATAATTTTCTTTAACTGGGAAGATGGTTTACCTTACATAGACCGATCAGATTATATCTGGTCAGGTGCTGATTGGCCACACAATGGTTGGGCTGGTTGTGAATCAACCCCAGTTCCAACCTGTGTATCTCCTGGTGTTGGTCTTGGTAACAAGAAAGGGGCTCACCTGGGGTTGGGTGGGGCAACCATTGGTGTGGGTTCTTTTGCTAGACCAGGGAGAGATCTGACAGGTGGTGGAGCATTTGGAATTCCAGGTTATGCTGGTATTGGAGCCTCTGGCTTAGGCTGGGAGATGCAAGAGGATTTTGAGGAGTTTGTTGATCCGCCAGCAACTGTGGAAAACATCAGTACAAGGGCTTTCTCTAGTCACCCCTCAAGGCCTTTCTTCTTGGTTGGTTCTATCAATACACACATTTACTTATGGGAGGTATGAAGCTGACAGCAAAAATTACAATTGTTCTAAGATACCATACATAACATTCATAATCTTTTCATTGGACATGTATTAACTTTGTCTCAAGTTTCTTCTCTTGGAAAATTGTCATGGTCTCATCTCCTTTGAGTGAAAATCCAGTGCTGATTAGATTTTTCTACTTATGAGGGTAATAATCCGATATAAAAATCATTTTTATGTTTTAAGAGACTGTCTCTGAATGCCCTATAAATGAAGCTAGGAAGACAGGACTGATTTGCCTACAGCATGCACTGAAGTGTCTTTAAACTCGACATGAAAACACAATATATTAGTCCTTCTATAAAATGCAATCCATGAAACTTTATTACCATAACTTCACTATCTGTAAGGCATGTAGCTGAATCACAGTGTAACATGTGCAGTATGGTAAGTACAAAGCTACAGCGACTTATGGAGTGCTGCCTGCTGCAAATGTTCCTCCGCCATATGCTCTTGCCTCAATATCAGCTTTGCAGTTTGACCATTGTGGACACAGATTTGCTACTGCTGCGCTAGATGGAACTGTTTGCACGTGGCAGCTGGAGGTGGGAGGCAGGAGTAATATCTGTTCAACAGAATCATCTCTCTGCTTTAATAACCATGCATCGTATGTATTCTGCCATTCGATGCTTAAAGAAGCGATGGCAGTCCTTACTTTACTTTAACCTGTATTTCAGAACTGAAACATGCATCTGTGAGATATGTTTAATTTATTCTCTGTCTGCTGCCCTCTGTGTCTGGCCTTGTGTGGTTTTGCTGGGCTCTAAGTTCATATAATGAAATTCCTATTGTTGGCCTGAGATTACCACTTTCCACGAATTGTTTAAGATTTCTTTGCAGATTCAGATTGGAGACTTTCCTGTTATTATTATATTATAATGTGTTTCTTTGTCTGTGGGCCTTAGATTAGTCATGATCAATAAGCTATTCTGTGTTGCAGGGATGTCACTTACGTTACTTCAAGTGGATCAATCATTGCTGCTGCTGGATATAGCTCCAATGGTGTTAATGTGGTTATATGGGATACATTGGCTCCGCCTGCAACCTCTCGAGCTTCTATTATTTGCCATGAAGGTAGGTCCCCCCCCCCCCTTCCCGTACAAAGGTTAGCCTTCAAATTCATATGAAGAATGTGTTGCACTATAAATCCATAAGCAGAGTAGGTAGAGTTTTGATTTGAGGTGAAATCAGAATTTGACTACTCTGCATAGTAACTGATTACTACAAATATAATACATTGTTACAGCATCAAGTGTCAAGTCTAATATTGTGCATTAAATGTGATTATATTGATTGTTTAATCCTAATTAATTTAATACCTTAGTTCTTTGTGCATTACTTGATAATATCAATCTATTGTGGTAACTATCTTTTGCTTCTCTTTCTGCAGGTGGTGCCCGCTCCATTGCAGTTTTTGACAATGACATCGGAAGTGGTTCTATTTCTCCCCTAATAGTAACTGGTGGTAAAAATGGTGATGTTGGACTTCATGACTTCCGGTACATAGCTACTGGAAGGACTAAAAGGCACAGGCACCATGATGGTGTTGAAACTGACATGAGAACAGGTACTAGTAACCAATTTCAGGACCAGAATCTCGATGGGATGCTTTGGTACATACCAAAGGCTCACTTAGGTACATGCTTTTCTTTATGTCTCCTCAATCAGAGCTACTTGTGTATGATTTAATTTTGATCTAATCTTTACTTTATCAAATGGTCTGAGTGAAGGTAGTATCACCAAAATATCTACCATCCCAACTACCAGTTTGTTCTTAACGGGAAGCAAAGATGGAGATGTTAAACTCTGGGATGCCAAAGCAGCCAAGTTGGTTTATCATTGGTCAAAATTGCATGAAAAGCACACCTTTTTGCAACCAAGCTCTCGAGGTTTTGGTGGTGTTGTGCGGGTAATTCTTTGTGATTATCCATGTTTGAGACCGTAACATCCAATTTCTTCATGTTCCTCAGTCTGAAAATGTTGAATTTATTGATGTTAAAAGACTTGTTTTTTGATGCAAGATTTGGATTTGCACTAATGCAATACTTTGCTTGAATGTAATAGGCTGCTGTTACTGATATTCAAGTTGTGTCACATGGTTTTCTTTCATGTGGCGGAGATGGCTCTGTAAAGCTGGTTCAGCTCGATGATTACCGACATCGAACATGAAGTTATGAAGAAACTTATCTAAGCCCAAAGGGCTGATTTTTTGGAACAGTGAAGAAAATTGTACATTGCAAGAAATTTTTTGGCAATGCAAGCTGGAAGCCATTTTCGTGTTCCTTCAGAACAGACTGCATTCCCTGAACTTGGTTGACATTGTGAGCTCTGTGCCTTTGATATCAAGAACTCGCTTGGTATCACCAACATATATCATCTTTTCCGCAGGTATTGTTAATTGCTGGCTATTGAAAACACAAATCATCAGGGAAGCAGAAAAACCGTCTGCGAATGTTCATCCCATCTGCACCTGCATTGAGGTTTACACTGTGAACAAAAAAAGTGTGAAAAAAACCTGTTGGTGGTGAATGTTGAATGTATGAGAAGAAAAGCAGATAGAAGTTGGGGTTGTGGGTGCACATTTCAGTTGTTGGTACTCTTCATCTACTCCATTTCCAGTTTTCTCCGTGCCAAAGTGTTTGTAGATGTTTGTGGGGATAAATTTTAGTGTGATTTTCCAGTATATAAACGTATGAGAAAAACAGAGTTCTTCTCAGTGATTATTGTTCTTGTATATGTATACATAATTATTTGAAAGTGGTGATGATATTTTATGTACAATATTTATTTCTTGACGGTATTGTGAGAATGGTTTCTCGAAGTGCATGGAGATGATGGGCTAAGAGGTGTGGGGGGTGCAGTTTGAAGAGAAAGAAAGCGTACAACATGGCCAGGTGTCGAAACGAATTGCCTCGTCTCACTTCTCATGTTGCTTAATGCATGGTGTATGGGTGTTGGTGCTATTGCAAAAGTTTTTCTCAAAAGTCTAAAAAGAAAAACAACCGAAGACTGTAACTTCCTGTCACTTTTGAAAGGTAATGTTTATAATTTTTTTTATTTTAAAATTATGATATTTTATGTATTAAAAAAAGTCATCTCTTCCTACTCTTGAAAAATGTTTCCCAACCAACTATATGGAATTCCATTTCCTCTAATCATATTATGTTATTAGTAATTAATAAATCAATAGTATGCTTGCTATATACTTAATCAACTGCGTAGCTAGTAGCAGTCGGTGGAGTCAAAAATTGCAAAACAAGCAAAATGTGTAGCAGCCAAAAAACAAGAAAAGCAATGGGCAAACCAAACCCCCATGACTTATTATAGCTGCCCCTTGTTTTCTTGCACACCGTAATTACATGAAAAAAAAAAAATCATATCATTCACAGCTGAATTTTTTAGCTGAATTTCTTTAAATGTAGCCCCTTTTCTTCTTCCTATTTCTTGATTTCCTTTTAAAAAAAAAAAATCCGTCTGCGCCGATATTGCTTCCAAAAGCAGCGACACTTTTCTATAAAATGCTAAATTCTGTTGGCATTTCTTTGTAAGTATTTATCTATATTGTCCTAAAAAAACAAAAAAGAACCGAAAGGTTAGACCCTCGGATTTTCCTACGTGGCCCTATCTTTGAATATCCTCCCCGTAATTAAGACAAGAAGATGGCACCTCTTATCTTGTAAATTTTGATTGGGACCCACTACCGATGCCTTTTTCTCCTAATCACCCCCCACGTGTAGCTTCGTCAACAGCCCATAAAGGCTTCATGAAATCACTAAATTAAATTACAGTATGAAAATCTCCACCCCAAACCCCCGAATTACCATGGGCTAGAGAACTCCATGACATTGACAAATCAATGTCCGAATTGAAACGCTGTCGTCTTCCTTTACCCTTCTTGCTTTAATGAAAAAAGTAAAAATTTGTGAAAAAATAAAACCGACAGAAACGAAAAATTGGTAACAGAAATCCAAAAAAGCCTGAAACTATGACAAAAAACCACTCTGTTTCCTATGTGGGCCGCGTGCTCTGTTGAAATTAGACGGTTTCTTTTACTTTAATTCTCCTTAATCTATTCTAGGTCTATGCAATTACCGCTTACCCAACTCTTTTCAATCCTCCTTTCTGGGTTTGTGCTCTTTCTCTTTTATATATTCATCTTTCTGTTACTTGATTGATTATAGCTTTATTTTCTCTGCTTTCTTTTCCTTTCTTTTCTCATTGGTATGTTTATTTTGTTGAATTATGTTAGTATTATCCAAACTTGTTGCGTGTACCGTTTAATCTTCTTTTCTATCTGGACTTTTGTGGTTCTCGTTCTTGAATGATTGGTTTTTCATTCTTTTTCCCCTCTTACTCTGTTTTATATCATTTATCAACTATGTTGTGGCAGTTGCTTGCGGTTGTTTTGGATGGTAGTTGATTTTTGTTGTATGTTTCATTAGTGATCAACTGATCATAATAGAATTATCAGCTTTTTTGCCATAGTTTTTTATTCTAACTTTCCTTTTATAAGTTCCTAAAGACAATCTGATTACAATCTTTGTACATCGAGTTTATTGGTGTGGGATTGTTTTAGTGAATATGATGTGTAGTTAGATGGAGTTTGGAATTTACATTGTATTTTTATGCAATCTTTTTGTTATCTGCTTTGTTTTGTTTACATGTTTTAGTGATCTCATGAAGATGGTATCAGGGATGTATCTGAACTTTACTTGAATTGAATGACAGTGGGTTAAATAAACTCTTGAAGTTCAATCAAGTCTTATTTAGGATTTTGCCTCCATTAAACCCTTTTATGATAAGTTTGTGTCAGCCTGCTTCTGTAAATAGATGGTTCTTGTGTGTCTTAATAATAAATCTGCCACTTCCTGTTTTCTTTTCTGTTTCTGACATGAGAAGCATGGTATATACTGAAGTCCCAAAGCACACTTGAAATAAATGCTCTTTTAGATCTTGATTGAAGGCAATGAACGTTAGATATGGTATTTGTTCAGTTTGTGAAGTATGTATCATGGTTGAACTTTTGTGTAGTTCTTATTGGAACAAGGACATGGATTATCTGTTATTCGATTAGTAATCATTGATAGAACTTTAAGATTTCCAATATGGTTAGTGTCTGTTTGAACTGGTATCTTTATGTGTTTTGATTGGTGTTCTGTTTATGTATTTGTCAACTTATAAAGTAATTTTTCTTAATCATGTTCAGTTGGCTAGTGATTTTGTCTCTGATTTAATGAAGCAGAGGATTAGAAGTTTCTCTTACTTATCTAGCATATTCATCTCATTTCTAACAAGGTTTAGTTATTTTCAACAGCTAAATGTGTCGAAGAGGAGTGTAATGGCAGCATCTGAATTGAGGGCTGTCTGGCAAAGAACAGCTAATCGTTGCTTTGTCCAAGAAGATGCCAAAAGAGCTCCCAAGTTAGCTTGCTGTCAATCATCATCTTCCTCTAAACAGACTGATTCTAGCCCCACTGGTGTAGCAGATGCACGTGAACACCCTGCAGTAGGTTTCATGCCTCTCAACAAGAACCCTTCCTATTCCAATCTACCCCCTGATATGAGGTGGTGGCTCCAGCTTCAGCCTAGCTATGGACCCCAAAAGGGTTTAACAAATGAGCAGTTAAATGCCTTGGAGGATGAAACAGAAAGCTTGAAGGATGAAATAAACTCCCCCTCCGAAGTAAGTTTAGTTCTTCAGCAGGATGCACAAGGTGCTTCTGGTGTTGACAGAAAAAGGAACAATGGATGTTCTCTTGATTCAACAGAGACAATGAAAAACGGGGAATTTTTGGAGATAGAATCTGTTGAATGCTATGTTTCAAAAAAAACCAATGACTTCTGTTATGATCCAGAGTCTCCCTGGGATGGGCGTGGGAAGGCTGGGCCATGGTGGCGCACAACAGATAAGGACGAGCTGGCCTCCTTGGTTGCACAAAAGTCGCTGGACTTTATTGAGAATTGTGATCTTCCCCCACCACAAAAGTCGCATGTAAGGAGGTACTCAAATGCAAGTTCTGGTTCTTTTGACGGTGGTGAAGTATCTTCTTTGGCTTGGAAGTCCCAAACAGGCCCTCTCCCCAGTCTAATCATTAATGCACAAGCCTCCCCTGATCCTGTAAGAACACATGGAAGACAGATGTCTTCAGTTGGAGAAGAAAAGATGCAAGGTGCTTCTGACACATCGTTCAGGTATTTATTTATAATGGTTTTAAGTGGTTGTGTTATCGAATCCATTGATTAATTCTCTGAATGAATATGTTAAAAAAGTGTCCAAATAGGATCAATTTGCCAAAATTGCTTCTTACATGAGCGTATCTTTTACATCTCTAGCTGACCTCTTATAAAAACTATTAACTTATCTCTGTTTGTTCGACTTTATATGACTTGCATCCTTATAGTACAACCCAAAAGGATATTATAGAGCAAGTTACAGAGTCTGATCCTACCAAGGCTCAGCTACTAGAAGCACTTTGTCGCTCACAAACACGTGCAAGGGAAGCTGAGAAGGCAGCAAAGGAAGCCCAAGCAGAGAAGGAGAATGTCATCAAGCTTTTCTTCAAACAAGCCTCACAACTCTTTGCCTATAAACAGTGGTTCCAAATGCTGCAGCTAGAAGCCCTTTATGTCCAGATCAAGAACAACGAGCAGCCAGTCTCCACTCTCTTTCCTGTAGTCCTTCCATGGACACCCTACAACAGTCGGAAATTGCGGAAGAGCTGGCAAAAAACTGGAAAACGTAGACAAGGGAAGCGGGGCCACCCTAGACCGGACATAACCAAGTATGTTTTTTGTCTTGTTGGTGCTGGTTTGCTGTTGGGATGGACTGTGGGGTGGATGTTACCTTTCTAGATAATGAGAGAGTTTCAACTAATCCCCTTGCTGTCATAAAATTGTTTTGCAACACAAAAGAATGGTCGGATTATATTTATTTTCCATGTGTACGAACAGTTTTTTTTTTCCACCAAATTTTACATGTATTAGGCCCTGTATATTGTAAGTGGCTTTTCACTTTTCTGTAGCTGTTGATTGGGTGAAAATGTCCTGAGTCAAAGTATCTCAATTATTTCTCTTTGATAAATCCAGCAATGTAATGCGAAATTTGTTCAGTGTCTATAAATCGAATAGTTTTTCGGTACTAAATCCATCCTTTTTTCTTAGTAACCTATGGGTGGTATTTATGTAATTTGAGTATTTATGTTTGTAAAAATATTAAATATATATATAAAACATAAAAATTATCGTATTACAATTGGAATGAATTAACATGAAATATATTTTTTATTTTTATTAAATTTATATATGATTTTATTAAAATATTAAATATATATTTTATTTTTTAAAATTCATATTTAATTTTAACTAAAATTTTAAATATTTCCATTTTTCATATTCTTGATATCATGTCGTATTTTTTTATTAAAAGCAGTAATGTTTTTTAGTTGGTATAGAAACGGGATTTTTTTTTCTTCTTTTTGCTAATGAATAAAAACGGGATTTGAATTTTACATTTTATTCATGCATGCAGGAATACCGAGCCAAAATTCCACAACCTTTCATTCCTTCTGTTTTACCCTTTTACCCTCTTTCCACAATGAAAAATCTAGCCGGACGAACTTTGGGGTTAAATATAGTTTCCAGGCGTTAAAAGGGGTCTTTCTGGAAATTTAAAAAGAAAAATAGAAATACTACAATAATAATGTTCTACTTTTTTTGGATACCCGACCCAAACCAAAATTTCCCGACTTTGATTTGATTTGATCTCCTAAAAGAGGTGGATCATCTGGATGATCCATTTTATTCTTTGGGCAGCCATTAAAAAACAGAGTTGCTTGCTCTTGGAAGAGAAGTCAGTGGGAGCAGGAAAATCGATTAGAGAGATGGCCGTGATGGAGAAGCTGAAGATGTTCGTGGTGCAAGAGCCAGTTGTCGCAGCTTCTTGCCTTATCGCTGGGTTTGGTGAGTTTTCTTCCTCTCCTTCTTTCTTTATCTTATCTAATGAACCTTCCGCTTCATTATCTACTATTTTTCACAGCACTCTTTACCTTCATTTTATGGGTTTCTTTTTCTTTCATTAATAATCCCTAGTTTTATGCTGTTTGGTTATTTAGTGATTTGAAATTAGGGAAAGCATAGGGTTTTAAAGTCAATTCAGAATGATCTTGGCTTTTTTTTAGCTTGAATTAACTGAACTTTCTTTTAAGGCATTCTTCCAATTTTGGTTTGATTTGGTAAAGATGGTAGTTACTGTCTGGTTGCAATCCTCAGTGTAAGGCTTTAGAATGATAGAAAAGCTTTGGATAATATATTAATATTTCTTTTGTGCAAATTTATGTCCTTTTGAGTATGTTATGGCAAACATTGCCAGAATTCCTGAAATTCAATTCATAAATTATCATCCAATGTATGATCCTGTACATATATGTCATGACGAAGGATTCTAAATCTGAAATGATGCTTAAAGTGGGTACATTCCATGTTGGAGATCGCCGTGATTGAAGTAATAATGTGTCTCATAATCAGAGGAATGGTGATAAGACAAAAGGCGGTTTTTTGGGTAAACAATTGTCGGGAGGGCACACAAATGTCTAAATTAGTACATGAACTCAAATTAGAGTGTTTTCGGAGTTGCTTGTATGAATCTATCCTGAAGAGAAAAACATCATCCTGGTTCATCATTCCTTTTTCTTTATTTTGGAAAGGTTGGCTTTGAATTTCCATTTGTTTCTACAATTTGTGTGAAGATCGCAACTTTCTTTTTCTCTTCTTTATAATGCAGATACTTTATCTTTTTTTTTTTTTTTTGAGCTTACACTTTTGTAATATGCAGGTCTCTTCCTTCCAGCTTTTGTAAGGCCCATTCTAGATTCATTAGAATCATCAAAGCAAGTCCGTCAGCCTGCTTTAAATGATGTAATTATAGCACTTAGCTATATGAATCCTTGTTATTCAGGACATTTTTAATTATTTGTGTTTGAGAATTTAGTACACCAACTATAAATCAGGTTAGACATGTTATAAAGGAGAAGTTTTGAGATTGTTTTCTTAGTGTCAGAGAAGAGTATTATTTAATCAATATCCCAGTTACCGGGTAATTTTTTCTTTTGACATGTGAATTTCTAATCCATGCCCGTAGTTGTAAGACTATATTTGAAAATGTGGATAATTTTAACATTTAATGACTATGGTTTTAGTCACTGCTGTCTTCAACACCCTTCTACAACTGAGAAATTCACATTCTTGCTGCACTAAAGAGAGTTCTTTTCAGTAGATCTTCCTTAATTTTACCTTGCTTTAGTTGGATGACAAATTTGCTATTAATGCCTGTCATCCTTTTTTATTGTACTGTTGGTGGAAAGAATTATCTCTTTTCTCATCTAAGTATAAGGATAGATCGGTGTCACATAAGGGGAGGAAAGAGACTATAATACTAGACTACTACATAAGTTCTAGCAGTCTATTGCAGATTGTAGTTGTTCTTTGCATATAAGATTTTTTTTTTTTGGCCAATTGCATATAAGATAAGATAAGGCTTATTATAAGCTTTTATCATTTGGATTGTGCTTCTCTCCCTTGATTTTATTATTTGGAAAAAGATACTGGTTTCAGTTGGCATTGTCGGAATTGTTTTAACACATTGATGTGCTCCATTGTTACAGGTGGTTGGAGGTGTGACTGGTAAAAAGCAGGGTTGATATGATTTATGGATTGAAAAGAGGCAAAAATTCCAATGTAGCTAGTAATCAGCAACAAAATAAACCTGCCTTTTAAATTGAGGAACTCTTTAAAGAGTGACCTGTTCCTTCAACCTCCTGTTTAGTGGGAGATTTGAGTGTTATTTAGTTTTGATTCTCAGCAGTTGAGGATTACTCAAGGCATGGATGATTCATATCAGAGTGAAATATGGGATCTTCTGCTTAAGTTGCTTCCTTATAATTAAAGTTTATTCTTTGGTTTCCTTTATGCCTTTCCTTTTTCTATTCTTATAGGTAGTAACAATGTGCAGGTGATGTTTAAGGCATGGCATGGTATGTGTGAACCCTAGAATTCTATTCTTTTTTTTTTTCAATTTTGTCGTTGATTACAATAGAATGTAGTATATTTGATGGCGGGACTATTAGATGGGCGATTGGCGTCCTCATTCTTTGTCAATCCCTTCGTAATGTCTGGTTATAGGCTACAACCTACAAAGTGGTAGCATAACATATATTGTTAGTCTTGCAAATGGTACTCATGTTTTTCCAAATTGTTCGCTCCTTCAGTTAACCTTCAAATAAGTTGGAATTTTATTCTGGTCAATAAATAGAGTTAGGTTTATTTTTAGAACTGAAAAATTGAAATAACTAGTCAAAGCCATGGAGGAACCATCTTCTATAGCGAAGCAAGACAATAAATTGCATTAAGGATGCCTCCACTTGAATGGTAAGACCCACGACAGTTATTGGTGGTGAATAGCAGCTTGAAGACTTGTTCTCTGTTATGGGCAATGACTGGTTCTTTGATGCACCGAAATCCTGCTATGGCCTATGGGTGGCAGCCAATAAATTAAGGGTGATAATGGTTTGGATTTGATTAAATTCGTTGTGAATTTTTTTAATAATGTATAATATTATAAATTTTTAAAATTTAATTCAAATTTGAACTTATCTTTCTCTTAAAATGGATTCGATTAAAATTAAATTTTATCAATTTGATATGATTAGTTGATTTTTAAATTTTGAATTTTTATTTTTATATATTATTTTAACAAAATTTGTAATATTATATAAATAAATTTATATATAAATTAATTATTTTTATTTTATAAAAATTTAAATATACATAAAAACTAATAAAAATACATAATTCAGTTGGATTTCGTTTTTTTTTTATTTTAAATCTCAATCTAAGCTCTATATATATATATATATATTTAATATTTAAATTTGAATTAATATTTTATTTTTCGATTTTTTTTTTTTTTTACCCTACCGATAGTCCGAGGCAGTAAACTAATTGTTGAGTGAGTCAAACTACAGATCCTATGGTTTCTGAAGCAGTAGGGAACTTCCAATTCTCAAAGCAAGGAAACTAGTAGTTGAGTAACAAACTAAAAATTCTCCCGTTTCTGAAGCAGTAGGGGAACTTCATCCTCCGGGCGAAGCCTCGTCTCTAACACCCCCAGTCCCCGGATTCCCCAACCGTAAACATAATTAGGCCTAAAATGCTGTTTGGGTGGGTCTTCCGTCGGACTGCCCCCGACATAAAGACAAAGAAGCCGAAAGAACAGAAGGAAATGAAGCTAGTAGTAATTCATAAGTGGTAAAGATTGTTATGATACACAATAGAGTGGTAATGTTACACTTTCCTACCCCAATCGAAAGAGCTAAGCCATAAATTTGACGTCGTTTGTAAAAGTTCCCCTGCCCACGGTATGATGGCCTGTTGGTACATTTATTGCTGCTATATCCAGGCCAACAGAGTCTGAAAACTTTCACGCTGGTTTACATGCAAAAGATCAAGATTGCAGCCATAGCCACAGACAAACATAGCAGAATACAGCCCCACAAGTATAGAAGAAACAAAGTAGAAATGGGCTAGCTAAATTATATTTGATTAGTCATTATCATTCACAGGAAAATATCAACCGGCTAAAATGGATTGGAACACAGCCTGCGGACAATTTATCAACTGTTTGTATCATAGAGAAAAAGTCAGTCCATAAATCCATCCTTCTTTCCCCTTTTACTCCATGGAACCACTTGCTTTAACCCTTCATAGATACTTGCCTGTCATGTCCGAGCAACAAATCAAACAACTTTTCGAATGTTGTTGTACAAAAATTAAAACAAAAAGCTTTATTTGAACGAGGACAGGGATTGAAATTAAGTTGCATAAATATAGATTGCCCACAAAGCTAATTGAAGTAGCACATTATTATAAAGTCAACAGTAAAAACTAAAAAAATGATTGTTTATGCTTTCTAGAAATGAGAAATTAACAGATTGAAACTCCAAAAGTAGGTCGAAAATGAGGTGGGCGCCTACAACTTAGAAAATTTTCTTCGGGGACACTCGATTCTAGCCAGGTCCCTCCTACGGCAACCAAACCTTGAGAGCAAATTATATCAGGTAATCTCGCCCTACCCGCCTACCGTGGTACAAATCAGTTGAACTTGAATGCTTGATCCATCATTTACCTTCCTTTGTCATTTTTGTGTCCGGTTACACAAGATTTACCAAATTTAAGCCAATAGAATTTGATTTAATTAAACATCCCAATGTGCCATCACGGGAACCCAATTTATTGCCGTGTATTGTTAATTCTCCATAAAAATTAAGTGAATTATCAGTGATTAATAAGCAAAATTATTCTAAGATGAAGTAAAAGGGATTTTGGTCTAGAGGAAGGAAATGGTGTTTATTGGGTATTCCCGATGAAAGGAACAGAATGATAACACCCCTCAAAGACACAAATATGTAATTAAAGAAATTGAAAGAAACTTACCCAGAAGTGTGACTTGGAATGAGAGAGGCTAGGAAAGCTGCCAACCCTTCTAATTCTTGTGATCTTAACACTGGTACTACTGCTTTCTTCTCCTTCTCTGCTGCATTCACTATCTCTATCCCCAGAAGATGGAAAGACATAACCATTCCAACCAACTTCTCTTTTAGCCTTCAAGGCCCTTCTCCTCCGAGAACCAAGAAAACCTTTTTCTTTGTACCCTCTCTGGCTAAGAACCATTCTACCAAGCTGCACCATCTCAGGACTATCACTGCCAGAACGAAAAGATCCATAACACTCACTTCCCACTCTAAAAGAAGAAGACTGAAATCTAGCCCTGCCCATGTAAGGACCTTCCAAGACTGTGGTGGGTGAGGGGAGTTTGGTAATCTTGGCATCCAGTAGCAATCTCGGAGGCAGTTCCAGGCACTTTGGAGCAACGTCACTGGGGTTAGAAAAAGTGGTGAGTGTGGTACAAGGTTTGGGCTTTCCAGGTTCCTCTTCCCAGCGAAATGGGACCGAGGCTGAGGCGTGTAATGGTGGGGTTAACATCCCTGATCTTTCTGGCGACTGCATGTGTGCATGTGGAGCTGAAAACAGCGGTAGCATTGGTGTGTAGCTTGACTCGTTCTGTGCCTCAGATCCCATGATTTCTTTCTATCGCTGTCTTTCTCTACCCTCGATTTGTCTATACAATTCACTGTCTATTATGAGGAGTGGGAAGAGTTGTTTTTATAGTATATAAAAATGAGATACAAAGAGGAGAGGATAGAAGGCTTTCGTGAGAAAAAAGCCAGCCTTTTAAGTCAATCACTCGTCGCTATCTTCAGTCTCTACCTCTAGCAAAGGTTATTCAATGGCCGTTCTTATATTTTTCCTATGAGCTCTCAAACTTTATCATGATCTTGCTAGCCATGTGTTAAAGACTAAAAAAAACAAGCTTTAGAAACAAGAATGGAATGTCATTGTCAAATAGGAATGAATTGTTTGATTTTGCGATTCATCAATAGAAAAAATTGTACTACTACTAAAAGTAAATCATAAGCAAGATACCTTGATTGCATTGCATATCCCTTCAAAAGATGTTGACTGAGGCACCTAACCCTAAACCCTCCCATTTTAAATTGAACTAAAAGGTTGATAAGAAACCAAAGGTTAAACAGTGAAAGTACTTAAAGCAAGAATCTACTTTGGGGTGATCTCAGCTTTATTCAACTGTTACTGGTTTGCCTTTCATTCAAAATGAAGAGACGTGGCAACTTGAAGAAATTTGGAAATATATTTTTAACTGGTGTGAAGGCTTGGGTGCAAGCAACTACGGTGGTCACGAGCCTATATGATTGTACCTGGAAGTTCATTGGATTGGATGCCAGTTTGGCATGATCCAGAGGGAGAATCACTCCTTGCTTTTTTCGGAGCTTGTCTTGTTTGGACTTTACTTGATCAACAAATGCCCTTTCAGACAAGTCATTCCTCGTTGCCACCAAATTTCAGCATTTTCCATTATTCACTTGCCAATTGCGGTTCTGCGACATGTTTTTTCATGTTGAGTCTTGGTTATGATCATCAAAATATGAAAAATGAGGATCAAAATTTTTTCTCTAAAAATAGCCATCTCTCTCTTTCATTCTCCTTTTTTTTAATCACATATTTCTAACTAAATTTTATTAATCGAACATAAGAATTAAGATTGATTTAACTGTACAAACCAAAGAGGATACGAATAAACGAGCGTGGATGAGAAGGAATGTAAATACCATTATTCATGATTTACAAGCTGAACCGAAAATTAATGTCTATTCAACAATGCACAATGTACAATCAAATAGATGTATGACCTTTGGAAGTTAGCAAACATGCGCAACAGTCCGAGAAATCAACGAGTTTGGACAAATATACGATCACACACTTACGGAACTTGTGCCCCCACGAGTTCAAAAACCTCAAATATATATATATATATATATATATCAATTATTAAAAGATGCCTTGTTCGGACAATATAGTCGGATGTCTATGTCCCTTCTCCAACAAGTTAGGCAGATCAAATATCACGCCTGAGTTGGAAAGGCTATGCGGTTTTGAAACTGATTGTAGCTCCATTTATATGACGTGCTAAGAAAACTAATATGTTTCAATTTCATTAAATTGAAAATGTCTTATCTGGATAACATAATTGGCAGCCTTAATTGCTTCAATTTGGGTTTAATCCATACAACCTGATCCAAACATAATGCCATTGCAACAAATGTTGATGCAGCTGCTAACTCTGGTCGATAACTTTTGGGTGTTGTCTATTTCTAATAGAAAACTACGACCAGCTAGGGTCACTTTTACAGGTGGTGAGGTAGCAAAAAGATCAACGGCAGATAAAAGACTCAAAGCAGAGGACTCTATCGCCAGCTTAGCTACCGACCGTTGCTGATAATGTAAAAGTCAAAAAGGGTGAAAGCGGTAGGAATGGATTGATCAATAATGGTTGTCAATAGGGGAGAAAGCTTATAAAGCGGGGTGGTTGAAGGGGAATGGAAAAAGTAACTCATCTCTCCTTTGACTTGAGGCTTTCTTTGAAAACCATTAAGAATCAATCTTTCACCTAGTCTAATTTCCTGGCTACCATTTTCCTTTTCACCATCTTTAAGGCGGTGTTTATTACAGAATCCTCTTTGGTCGTTTTGAGCATCCAGAAAAGATATATGACAACATTGTCGCCATGGGGTAAAAGAAAGGGCCAGAAAGAGAGCAACTATGCATTTGATGTCATAATTAGTAACTAAGATATCTATGTAATTCGGTAGAATATTAAATTTTTAATTTTAATAATTAAAACTCAAATCTTAACATCTTTAAAATATAAAAAAAAATAGTAATTAAGGTTGTGATTTTAAAGAAACTTAAAGCTCAAGGACCAAATAGATTCATTATCTAACTAATACAAAATCTTAATGTGTTAATGACTATTAAAGAACTAATTGAAGGATGGTCATACTTCAATTCCCCATAGAAGTTAATTCTAAGTCCACATTATTTCGCTCTTCCAAGTTAATCACTTAGACTAAAGACAAACCCTACGATCAGCCATTCTCAGTGTCACGTCTAATAGCTGATCCTTGGGCAAATCTAGTCATCCCTGCAACAAAAGGTAAAAGTGGCCACACAAGGATGATTCTTTGATGCATGGACAAAAGGAAAACAGGTCGACAGACGACAAAGAAAGAAAAAAGAAAAAGGAAAAAAGCGAGAGCATTTTTTATGAATTTTTAGTAATTGAGAAATGGGAATATTATAGTTCAATCTACAGTTGCATACTGTTCCATCGTGAAAGGACCATGGTTTAGTAAGAGTGGGTGGGTCACCACTCATTATTTTGTAATAAACTTGCTAAACCAAGTAATCATCGCTATTATTCAATAACTAAATTGGAAGAAGAATATGATTAAAAGCGTCAAAAAATGGCACCAACCCTAAAGCAACTATACAGCAATAACTATTTTCTGTGTCATTCTTTTTTGTTTCTCATCCTAATTATCAGGGACATGCTGAATATATCTTTTTCTTTTCCCCCTTTCTTCTTCATGTAGAAGCTTTCAAAGCACCGACAAGTCTCAAAGCACTTGCTGCCTCCAGCGTTACACGTAAAGATGGATCATATTAATTATCAAAATAATTCATTGAAAGTGACTTTGAAATATTGGCCAAAACTATATGCATAATTCATTGCAATCAACAAGATAATGTGGGTATGGTGATTGGTCCTTTTGTGATCGGTGATCCCTTCATGTTTTATTTTAAAAAGTTGTAATCAGGAAAGATAAACTATACTATTAATATTTGACCTCAAATTAGCTACACCTTATCAATTTCCAAATTTCAACAGTAAACCAACTTCCAAACTCCTGGAAAGTCAAATTCCCCCCCCCCCGACGCCTTTTTTTTCGTGTTGGAGAGGTCCTTTCATGGTCTACTCGTAGGCGTAATAGAATCGTTTTAATATGGTTTCATGGTTTTCTCTTGAACATTAGAATCAAATCCCCAACTTGAATGAATAAGCAGAAGTCAATGAAGCCACAGCTTTCCCTTCTTTGGATTCTAACCATTTTTCCCCACAAATCACTGCTATGAGCATGAAAATGCACCCCAACTAGACAACAAATCTTTTGATTATCATTCTGGTAAGTGGGAGTAGTTGCGTGAAACAATTTTGCTAGAATGTCTTTCCGGGTCTATCCATTGTAATTGATAGGGAAAAAAGGCCCATGGCCATGGGTAAGTGACCTGATCATGTGGGGACCACCATTGACCCATCTCCAGTAATCCATCCGGCCCATCGGTAATTGTCTTACGACAGTTCTACCAGTTACCATTTTCAAGGATTCTAGTTCTTCCAGAAATTTATGGAAGTTTAATAGAGGAAAGCTCTAAGCGTAAGGGAATCCTGAAAAAAATTTCCACCAGAGTTCCTGATGTTAAGAGTTAAAGCCAGTTATCAAACAAGGTTGCAAAATTAACTAACCACACAGGCCATGTGGGGTAACATAATTACGTGGGTCTGGAGGCCGAAAATTTACCCAATAAAGAACAAAATAATGAGATCTTGGGCCTTCGCAATAAGACCTGGATTGTGGACTTTAGGAATAGGGCTTCGCTGGACAAAGAAAATGGGCCACCATATTCAGAACCGAATGTTAAGTGATGGCTTTCCTAGTTTCTTCAGGTTCATTTTTGTAATTATTGAATAATACATGAAATTATTGTTATAATAATAAGAATGGAAACTAAATTAAGTTTTTTTTTTTTTTTTAATTCCTGTCACTTGTTTTTAACAGTTTTCTTACTTTATTTTGGATAAATAAATTGCTTTAATTATTTAAAATATATATATATATATCCTTCGTTCCTACATTTTATATCCACAATGAGCAGATCCTTTTATGTGCTCTTTTTTTGGGCCAAAATCATTTTATATTAATTTTTATTATTATTATTATTATTATTATTATTATTATTATTATTATACTCTTGATAATGTATACACTTTGGTTTAGCAAGTAAGAAAATGACCTTCATATAATGTTTCCGACACGTTGAGGAGACAGACTTTCTTCCATGTTCTCTCTATAGTCCTTGAATAGACAAGTTGCCGTTAATTACGTGTAGAATCCTTTGCCTTTTTTTAAAAAAAAATTTTTTAATCTATCCTTGACTTCTTCCTTTTACCTACTAAATTACGTGCATAAATCTTCCAACTCCTATAACTTTCAAAAGCTGCATCATATATCATGTTGTCTAAGCTAAGATTCATTTTGCTCTTTGCTTGATTTCTAATTCTTCGTCATTGGTACGTTCAAAAATTTCTATAGCTTCTTTCACTTGTCCAAGTCGTTTTCGTTTTAAAAACCTAGTTTCTCATAGCTGATACTGACCGGTGGGTTGTTTCTCACCTAAATTTTTTATAAAAAGCTTGTTCTTCTTTTGAGAGAAATACTAAAAATGGATTGGCAGTAGATACATAGGGGTGACGAAGACTACAGTCATCAAATCCAATATCTTGAATGAATGTCATTTTCAAATGGATATTCCACAACCTTTAAAGAGTCCAATTTTCCCGTCCCCCAATCGGACCGTTACTGCCTTCAGCAGAAGCAATATCTCCAAGAAAACAACCTTTTACCTATGTTGCCTCTCCCCATTTTGGACATATTTTTGCAAAAGGGACAGCTAACCCACCTCCCCCAACCCTTCCCCCCTATATTATAGAACCCAACCCATTCTTTCCCTCTCCTCTCCTATGCTTCTGATCCTTATATCCATGCCGCCTGCCGCGCTGGCGCATTCATTCTTCTTTTTACTTTGTATTTTTTTTCTCCGAAATCGCATTTATTCTATAACATGATCACCATTTGCTCGGTTTCATTCCGCAACCAAATGGAACTTTTGCTCTTATCTCTAAGTTCATGGAGCCAAAATCATTAATAAGGCCAAGCAAAAATAAAAACAACTAACCCGGCAAGTCTAGATTGAAGTATGTTGGAACTAGTATAGCAAAGCAATTGTCAGCAAGGGAGCCACGCCCCTTTAACACTTAAATCAATTAACTCAAAAAACCTAGATAATGTTGGTGGGTTCTACAATGGTCGAGCAAGTGACGAGCAAGAACTGCCAAACCTAACAAGACTAGCTATCATGTTAGACCAGCTCCCTCCCTTGTATGTCTGAAACACTACCTAACCTGCTGCTCTGTCCCATAGGAAAAATTTTGGGACCATAAACTTTACAACTATAATGATAGGACACATAATGTGGAATGGCCTGCAATAGGTAACAGCAGCACAGCTTTTGGCCACCGGTAACTTTTGACTGCACAATGGGGCCCTCTGGCCAGGAGGAATCACAGCCGTAGAGATTGATTCCAAAACGCAGTGAAATAAATGGAAATCTCAAGGCAATGTCTGAAACAATATCTTGGTCAGCTTTCCCTAGGGGGCCAAACAATGGTGAAAGCTACAGCTCAGACTATGCCAACCCAAGGGAAACCAACCAACATGAACTAAGCGCAAATTAAATGCATGCATTTATATTTTTACAGGCTCATTCACTGAAACCACACCACCACCCAACAAAGCAAAGGTATACACAATCCTTCCACTTCTAAACCTAAAAGTCTTCCCATTCTTCTACCATAAATTACGAGTTTACTTTCCCCAATGCGTTTCATTCACTCTCCTATTGTCCTTGAGCAATGCTCTCCAAAAAAAAAAAAAAAAAAAAAAACTAAGCAAAATAAACTACCAACATTTCTTCTCCTACCATTCCAAACCAAGGAAACCAAAATAAAACCATATAAGGGTTTTCAAACTTTCATGTTTCAGACCTATGTTCTGAATCCAAGCTTACAACCGTCCCTTCACCCTCCAAGGATGACGCTGGAAATTTGCATCTTGCACTAATCTTCTTCACCTCCTCACTCGAATATATAAAGATCTTTCTCACCATCTTACAGAATTCCCTACAATTAAAATAAAGGGCAACCGATGTTTTAAAAGCCAGCTCTTATAAAAAATAAAATAAAATAACAGATATGTTTCTGAGTTTACTTACACCCATGGATCATCGCCCAGAAGCATCATATCACCCTCATCATCAGTAAAAATAACAGACCATTTACCATGGGGACAAAGCTCTCCCTTGATATCAAACATTTTCTCCAGCTCATTTACAAGATCATCATATCCTTTCAATACAGTCAAGTCAACTGCACGACCAACTGCAATCCCTTGCATGTGTACCTTTTGAATCCAAAAGTATTGTTTTGATCACGAACTTAACTAATGAATGCAATTTAACAGTAAACCAATAGATACCCCAAAGTTTACCTTAGTTCGAGTTCTCATTGAAGTAGCAGCACCCTGCTTAGCCTGCTTCTCCTTTGTTGATGTCTCTGATGCAACTTGCCTCTGTTCCTTTGAAGACTTCAAAGTTTCTGGATTCTGATCAATATGAGATGCAGCTGGAATCAACCCTCTCACACCATTATAATCGACAGTTGTGCTTGCTTGTTCCTTGTCAGGGGGCACAGATGCACTAGTGCTGTCTGTCAAATTAAACCCAAACAACCGGCAACCTGTGGAAATCTTGGATTTTTTTCCTTTTTCAACTTGGTCATGCATCAGGCCCTTGCTTTGCCTTGATTGAACAGAAGAGGCATAACCAGCGAGAACAGTCTGAGGTGTTCCAGTTTTGTTGCTGTCATCGATTGAATCGGGAAAAAGGTTTAGAGAGACATTCATATGAGGAGAAGGTGGCCAGGCATTTTCAGGTCGAGTCCTTGGGTTATAGCCTCCACTACTATTGATAAGACTATTATCAATTTCTTTCTGCCTCATAGACCACATAACTTTGCTTTCACTGCTTTGGACATCAGGTGTGCTTCCTCCTCGGGTTAGTTGATGAGACTGGGTTGACCCGCGACACCAGAAGGCTGAACCAGCTGAATTTGTAGTAATTTCTACAATTTTAATTAATGAATCAAAGTTAATAAAGTCAGCACCCAAAATTCTACTGAAAATACTTGAAAGAATAAAATTTTCCCACACCAGAAGCTGGAATATCAACCGGTCGTGGTCTTTTGCTCTTTACAGCTGGTTGTACAAGATTTATAGAAGCAGAGGCCACAAATGGTTCTATTTCCCAGGGAGAAACTCTCTCCGGCCTTTGTATTGTTGCAGGTTCATCCCATTGAATCTAAAGGGAGAAATAGTTGGGTAGAACTACTATCAAAAACAAGAAAAGAATTTAGGATTTCAAATCAGTACTTCAAAACTATATTCAACCTTCAAGGACCGCCATTTAGATTCTGACCAATGTGGGGAAATATCTCCAACCCCAACTATGGTACCAGTGAACCTGATTTTGACAAAGAAATCCAAATACGGAAAAAGGATCAGAAAAACAAAAGGTAAACATTAGAGCACAAGCACACAGACACAAAATACCTTCTCTCAGGAGACTCTTCTCCCTCAAATCTCATCTTGAAACGCATGCCAACGGAGAATCTGTTGTTAATAGCCTCCAGATACTTATTTACTCCTATAATGAATTGGCTTGTCCTGAACAAGAGCAAAGTGAAACTCAGTCCCGAGATAACCAGAATAACAAACTAATACTGCCCACTATGTTTACACCAAGAAAGAACATTAAACCTTGGCTTGTAGTACACAACAAAGAGGGTATGAGTTGTAACAGCATGAGCAGCAGTAGCAAGCACTCCTAAATGCATGCTCTGGCTAGATATCACAGACGAAGGCATTGTGCTCTGTTGACGAGCAAGCCGCCGAACTCCAACTCTTAGTTCTCCATTATCACCTCTAAAAAATGCAAATGCAGTTACAACAAAAGAGACTGCAAAATGGCACACCTGAACCAGCATACAAGCACAAGAAGAAAAAAAAGTTCCACAAGTCCAAGTACCTGAGAAACACAAATGCATCACCTGCAACCAATCTCTTGTTTGTGACAAAGGTGCTCCACCCTGTTGTAAGTAAATGTCTCCGTGGTTGCCCTGATCATATGTAATTACAAGTTAAAAACAGATCAACAAGAGAGTTTCATATATTCTACTTAAGAGGTTTATTTACTGCTTCCGAATCATGACAGGTTAAGAAAGCAAATCTGAAACCATTACCCCTAAATATATGCTTGAACCTCCACTCATGCCCATGAAGATCTTTGGCAGTCAACTCCTGAGTTGGGGTTGCTTGACTCATATCCTGGTTTAAATGAATAGAAACACGGGCTTAATCAAACACCAGAATGTGACAGTCTATTATTAACAGAATAAACCAAACTTATTACCAAAGGAGGCAAAGACTCAGTGGCATGCTTTCGGAGAACAGAGAATCCTCCATGAGTGCTTGTGTCTGATGCAGTTAAAATCTTACAGAAGGAATGAACCGTCATCTTTGGAGCCTCAGTCGGGCAGGGATCAGGACTTGTAGGTTCACTTTGCTGATTTGATAACATAAGCATGCATAAAAAACAACTAGAGAAAACAATTAAAAAAATCTTATCTCTCTTCAAGGGAGACAATAACTTAGAAACTATCCAAATCTTGAGACTTATTTAAGGCACTAATATAACTAAATAATAATTAAATTAAGTTAAATTATATGTTTTCATTCCCATTTCCTCAGAAAATCTATCAACCGGAAAAAGAAAGGTATGAAATAGGGAACAATAAAAAGAAATGAATGGACGGGATAGGTTTACTTACATCTACTTCAGGCTGCAAAGTGATCTGAGCATAAACCTCATCTGTCTCTTTTTCTGCCTATTTAAATAAAAAAAAAAAAAAGACACGAATAACAATAAGAGGACCTCTTCAAGCTCGAAAAACAAAATAAAGAAATAATAGGAAACAGAATCAGAGATAGAATACCAGTAACTGGAAGTGAAGAACGCGACATAGGATCTTAGAAGGAAGATTAAACAGCGGGGCTTGATTATTAAGTTCCTGATTAGTTGATGCTTCTAACTGCAGAACACAACAGTGCAAACTCAAAAAAAAAAAAAAAAAACAGAAATCTTGAACAACAAAGCCAAGAAAAGAGAAATACCAGTGGCAGATTTCAAATTTTCGATCTAAACCGAAGCATTTTTTTTATGAAGAAAACAATAGTTTCTAAAAAAGGAGAATTACTTGTTCCATGTGACCCTGAGGGAAATAAAAGACTCGCTCGTGAACCCGAGGAATCTCCACCAACGGTCCTGCACATAACTCCCATAGCTCCGGATATAGATCATCAACACCCACACCTATTAAACAAAAAATAAAAAGGAAATTCAACAAAAAATATTTTTTAGTTATGATTTCAGAAAGACAAAAAGTAAAGTCAAACCAGGTCCAACAGAAACCATAGAGGAAAAAAGGAAAAATCAAAACTTCAAGCTCCTGTTGGTTGCTAAGCAAACGCAAAAGAACAAAAGCATAGAAAGTAGAAACAAGCAAAATTACCCAGCAAGGATTTGTCATGATTTAAAGCCTTCAAAAAAAGTTTAGCTCCAACTCTACCAAGAAAAATTCAAGTTGCTCAACTCAACCCAGTTGGGCTTGCAAAAACACCAATGTCCGTACCGTAACCATACAACAGCAAAAAGAAAAACCCATTTTTTTCCTCATAGATTCTGAGCAGCCAAGCAGAGCCATTTTTACAGACATACAAATTTTTAAAAAAAAGTTAACCCATTTTTCTGTAACTCAACACTCACCTGACTCCTCATGAGCAATCGAGGAAACCCTTGGATTACCTTCTACATGAGCCATCAAAAGGAGGTCGTACAGACGATGCAGAGAAAGCAAAGCACTAAAGAAGAAACACTATAGCTAAAAGGCAAAAAGTCTTTGAAGCAGGCAGAGTCTACCCCATTAATGAGAGCAGAGAAGATCCCCCAAGAAGACTCCAAATAACGAAAGAAAAAAAGAGAATAATAAAAAAAAATAAAAAGACTAAATAGTAAAGACGGTTATATATGAATTCATTGTTGGTAGTTTCTCCGTAAAGACTGTGTGGATTTTTCTTTTTTCCCTCTTTCAATAATCTTTTTCCTGCTCTGCTTCAGTTACAAAACCGCTTTCTGCTTTTGTCCAATGAAACCACTTTTTTTGGAGTCTTCAATACCGCTTTGTTTTCTTTTCTTTTCTTTTCTTTTTTTTGTTTTTTTTTTTTTTGGGGGGGGGGGGGGGGGGAGGGGTGAAGCACTTCCGTAATGTAAGAGTGAAGTTGTAGTTGCTACCGTCTGCGGTTGTTGTCGTTCTTCTTGTTTTTTTTTTTTTTTCCCTTCCTTTCCTCTCTAAGAAAGAGCCCAGAAAATTGTATCGATGTTACCAAATCCCCAAAACCGCTCTCTTTGTTTCTCTCTGTCTCCCTCTCTGTCTCTGGTCTCTTTCTTTAGTTTACTCTCAAGTTTCTCTCTCTAGTCTCTCTGCTTCAGTTGCTTTTTTTAGTTTCTCTCATAGATGAGTTAGTTTTAAGTCCTTTTTCCCCTCGCTTCATGTGATTTTCTCTGCACTTTTTCTATCTCACCACTCATAACTTGGTCACGTTTTTTTATCATTAAAATTGTTTTTCATTTTAGTAGTTCCAATACTTGTGTTTACAATTCTAGAATGAGTTTAGCCATGACAATGGGATGATTCAGGTGTTGGTTATAAGTCTGATAAATTCAAATTCGAGTTATTTTAAATTTTAAAAAAAGTGGATCAATTTTGGATTGAAGGCTTTGAATCCTTTCAAGTTTAATTTATTAATTTTTAAAATTAAGTATAATTAAATTATTTATTTAAGTTTGAGTCAAATTTTATTATAATTTTTTTAAAAAAATAAAAATTAAAAATTAATTATTTTAAAATTAAATATAAACATTGTCATTTATATGCTTTAAATTAAATTTATTTTTTATATAAATAAAAAATATAATTTTATTAGATTTTATAATTTTAAATACGAAAACATTAAAATGTTATAATAAAAAATATATGAATTTAAAAAAAAATATTTCATATTTAATTATATCGATATAAATTTTGACATATGTTAGATATAAAAATTATGTTTAATTAATTAATACCATACAAATTCACGTATAAAATAGGCAAAACATGTTTATCTTGTTTGATGTGTTTAATAATTCTATATTTATTTTAATTTAACATAATTATATAAATACTATTTTAATTTTTATTTATAATACACAATTGCATATTTAATACAATCATAGTAAATTTATTTTAAATATTTAATTATAATAGACATTTAATATGCAATTATTTTTTATATTATTTTTATATTAATAACATAACTATAATAAAAATAATCATTTTAGTGTAATTGTAACTCATTATTTAATAGTTTATTATTTTAGATTCTAGTATAATTATAATTTATTCTAAATTATATGATTAAAAATTAATAATATAATTATATCGTAAATGTAATTTATATACACAAATCAATAATTTATTTCTATGCTTTACTCAAAATCACATGATAATTAATATCCATATATAATTAAAAAGATATAATTTATTTTAAATCATATTATAAATTATAAAAAAAACTTTATAAATAAAATAACATATATAATTTATATTAGTTTGATATTAAGAAATATATTAATTTGATATTTTCAATAATTTTAATAATTTTTTTTGTGTTATATTTATAATTTTTATTAAATTAATATTTTTAAATAAAATTACACTTAATTTAATATCCAGTTAATTTTTTTGATCATTTTTATTTCTAACTATTTTTAGTTTAAAATAATTTGAGTTTAAATTAATTTAAATTATTGATATAAGTTTGAGTTCGATGAATTTAAATTATTAATTTTTTATAATCAATTCAAATTAGAATGAATTCTTAACGAGGACGCATCTCCCTTAAAAAAATGTTTCATCCTTTCAAAGAAATTGAGCATGTGAGTAAAACCCTGCTCATGATAGCTTAATTGCCATAGTTATATTAGCAATATTCAATGTACTTGATTAAATAAAAATAAAAGTTTCGGTCCTTAAGTATAATAATAATTTGATTATTATTATTTAATTCATTTCATAATGAAATGGAGAGTTGACAGCTTGATTCTGATTTTTTTATTATAAAAAGTGATTGAGTTTATATCATTTTAATTATTGATTTTTTTGTTTTTACAAAATTACTATTACAATTATAATATAATCATAATCAAAATATTACAATCATTTAAAAATATTTCAATTAAATCAATCAAATCAATCAATCAACTAACACATAACTAAATAAATATAACATAAAATTAAATTTAAAACTTCAAAATTTTAAGATTTTTTTATTACCACTAAAACAATATCTCAATAATTTTAATCTTGAACTGACAATCATTTAAGAAATATAATATTATCTTATATAATTTATATTTGGATAAGAAATTATATTTGAGACTCTTATATAAATATAAATATATATATATATATACATGCAATTTATCTCGTGAGAATGTTTTCATAATGAATCTATACACATTCTCTTTTATTTGAAAATGTAGATTTTGTAGATAAAAAACATTAAAGTTTTGCATGCTTATGCTTTTATTTTTTTCTTTCTCGTGATTATATGTTCAATGACATAACAATCATTTATAATCCACCATCGAATTATCATTAGTCATTGAAATGAAATTATGGCTATTAATATCATATCAGATAATATTTTGATTTAAAATATATATATCGATGGTACAAGTTATTTTGATATATTATTTTAAATTTTTTAATTTAATACATATAAATTTATAAATATACATCATTTGTACATAATAATATTATTAATAATATATAAAATAAATTTGTAATATTTTTAAAAACCAAATAAACAAATTTAAAAATACAAGAAACATCATCATCAATTTATCATAATATTTTTAAATACTTAATATGATTATATAATATTTAAATGAGTATTTTTTATGTAAATATTAAGATAAAAACAAAAATATGAAAAAAATTAAACTTTGCTTCATAATTATTAAATTTTAAAAAGAAAGCACAATTATTTTTTAAAAGATATTAAAATATTTATAAATCTTGAGTTAAAAAATAAAGTATAAAAAAAGTTACAGTAAAAAAATAAAAAAACATAAATTTTAAAAATTATTTCGTCAATTAATTTTATTTTTTAGATTAAAAATATTCAAATAATAAAAAATAAATTTATAAAATATAAAATATAATCACATTTACATAAATTAATTTATTTAAAATTATCAAAACAAATTAAAAGTAACTAAAATAATTGATACTACTTTATATCAAATTTAATATAAAATAATATTTTAAAAATATTATATTTTAATATAATTAAAGCATATTGATCAATACAACTAATACCAAAACGGCATTAATAATATTAGATGAAACAGACCCAATACATTCTACAAAACAATACAAGAGGAATAATGATCACCAGCGTTACACATCTACACAAATTAAAAAAAAATTTACTCATAGTAGGAGTAAATGTAACGACCGCAGTTACTTTTTATAAATAGGAATCAAACGAAAACCGTACGACTGGCCCTGGAAAAGGGAATGCAGGTCGTCTGATAAAGGCGGCTTACAATTGAATGATTGTACATCACATCACTGATTGCTTTGTTTGACGCCACCTAGGGAAACGTAAGGGCTTGCCTTGGCGGAGAAAAAAAAAAAAAACATGGGAGTGGAAGCTCCGGTCTTTCGCGTTACATCTGTCGAGGCCGTTAGCCTTTTTTCTTTTTTTTTTTGTGGCCGATCGCCGTCTCTTTCTATGTATGCATCATGCCAGGCAAACCGTGTTGGCTCGTGTAAAGCCGGCAGAGAATTTTGGGGTTTATTTTTGGTTTTCTTCATATAAAATAATTAATTTTGTTTTTTCGGTAATGAGTAATTAATGAGGGCTGTTTTGGGATTTTTCATTTTGCAGTTTTTTGCATTGAGGATTTACCCATTTTGCCCCTGTCGCTTTGGGACCCATCGAACGCATTGTAAGTGTGTGGTTTTTCAATAGATTGTCAGATTTGTTGCATTTGATCCCACGCATCCTTTAGGTTGATTGTATCACAAGCGCGATAATTATTTTTAATGCAAATTTGATTTTCTGTTATTTTTCCTTGGCTGAAATAAAATAAATAGAAAATTTAGTTATTTATTTTTTATACTTGAAATGTCAAAAATTAATTTTTATCATTAAACTTAAAAATTTAACACTCTAATAACAACCATTCAACCATTGACTCTTTATAATTTATAATTTATTAGAATAAAAATAAATTATTTTTATTCATGTTATGTCTTATACGTATAATAATATGAATTATTAAAATATAAATATAACATAAATTATAAAATTTTTAAATAATAAATACGAATACGACATATTTAATATATTCAATACAATACGACTAATAAATATATAATTAATTTATTTAAATATAAATTGAATAAATATGATTAAAATATGAAACAATTATCCATTTACAAGTTACAATTAACCAAGTAAAACTAACTACTAAATAACTGAAGAATTAAGCAATAGTTTATCATGTCATTAACGAGAAAACAATCAATTTAATTTAAGTATAAACATTTAACATTGTTATCAATTATTCTTCAATCAGAATTTAATAGAAGTATATGAATTAAATTCATTGAAATTAAGATAATTTAAAAGCCTAGAGAGTCCAAAATGATTAGAACTCTATGGCAACTTTGATTATTAGAGAAAGGGTTAATATGTAATTTTAAATGTATAATCTCTTATATTAATCATTATAATTTAAAGTAATATATTATCATGATTCATATTATTAATATAATTATATAATTTCTTATCATTATACATGTTAGTTAAAATAATTTATCAATATAATATCATATAATATATTCATGTAATTTTGATTAGTTTGATCAATGAGACAATGACCATAATGTTAAACGTTACTTGTTATTAACAATTAAATGTATATTATTATTTTCAATCTATTTTTTTAAATAACAAAACTTCTATATATATTTAATATGTTAAGATTTATACATATTTAATACATACATTACTAAAATAAAAATAATAAATGTATATATAACCATATTTGTTTTTAACAATAATAAATTTAAAATATGAGCTATTAAAGATTAAAAAATAAA